AAAACCAGAAGCACTTCTTAAATACCAGACTTAATACTTGACCACCCAACCGTCAGTCACACACACAAAAACTTAGCTAACTGACGACGATTAATCTGATGAACACACGCAACCACTAGCCTGGCGCGGTATGCACGACTACTGATGGACCTCTTCAGTCCAAGCAAACTCGACGTTTTGTAACCTGTTTGCCGTGCCCTTAACTGGAACCAAACTTCACATCTTTCAACACGTCACGGTGTTTACCAACAGGTAGCCACGGAGTTCTCCACGAATTCACACGACTAAATGAAATTCCACTCGCATCGATTGCTCTAAAATTTGTGAGTTTCTGACATTATTTTTCGGGTGGAGATATGGCAAACATCTCACAAATCAAGAGAAACTTTCTTAGCACTACAATGAGTTTCTGCTGAGTGACAGAGCCGCCATCCACTCTTCATGGTCCATTCCTAAAAGATCAAGAACGAACTTTTTGATTTTACTTATACTATAGTGAGGCAGATGGGGAAATATTTTGGGGGAATAGTGCCTTTGATGATACAAGCATGGCATTTTGGCACCAAGTCAGAGTAATAAGAAAGATATTTGGCTATATAGGGCCATCGCAGATTTGTCCTTTGAAAATATATAGGTAGAATAACAAGCAATTTTCAAAATGGCTGCCATAGAGATACCCTCTAACATTAGGTGAAGCCAGGAACCTAGATTTGCAGTACATTGCATTGTCGCACCTTATCTCCTTCAGACAAAATGCATGGGGTGTGGTTGGCCACCCCGGCTGTCCACTGCCTAAATTCACGTCCTTGGTGCACTTGTGAAAAACAAAATGCAGTGCTTTTGTGGACTTGCTTTCATCCAACCTTACGTGGCACGTTTCAAAGTAAAGTCTTGAACTTTTTAAGTTCAGGCCAACGCCCTATCCACCATCAGCATCCACGTGGCGGTTCGTGAAAGCTTTATTCGCCCAAATCAACCGTGACACGAGCTGAAATTTTGAGTAAATTGTACTACAAAAAGAGCGATTAACAGGACATTAACCCGAGTTTTTTTCTCACCTTTCACACGATTTCTTGTAAAACACCTGATTTAAGATAGTTCTCAGGTGGTTCCAGGTAGCATACGTGCACGCAGTCTGTTTATACTTTTGCGGTTTGGGATTATAACTGTCTTGTGGATATTTGGCATAACCGCATTAACTAGTGGGGGTCGCAAACCGCAAGTATCTGGCAAGTATGGGATGGCTGGACTTGACAGAACAAGGTTTGCATGCTTGGTCTTACCACAGAAACCAAACCTTGGGGAGTACAAGCCCGTTTTGTGAGTCTAGACACTTTCAATTCCCTTCGAAAATTGTGGTAAAAGTTCGTTGTGACAATTTTTCTGAGTACGAAAACTGAACACGTATGAATAGACCTTATCCGTAGCAGACATCTTAGAGGGCAATGCCTTTGTTTTGCTGAGCGATATGCATGAGTGAACATTGTTACTGAATTACAAAAACAAAAGATGACCTCTAAGATGGCCGCTAAGCATAAGGTCTATTGAAGCCCAGGACTGGAACCATACAGCGTATCCATGGGATTTTATGCAGGAAGGAATCTAAAGTCTACAGATATAGGTGCTGGAAAGGAAACCTCCAAGCTCTGCGCGGTTCACATGTTACTTTACCATAGTCAATTATTATCTAGAAAGCCTTAAGTTTCCGTTTAGGTCTATAAGGCTCGATTCATTCTGACATTATTTAAGATGGCCTGCACCAGTTACTTATAAAAAGAACATTTGGAGTTCTCCAAATTCTGACTTGGAGTACAGGTATACCAAGCACGAAAGGGCGTGTCCCATTATGCGCCTCCCCATCTAGGTTCTTGGTGCATTCATCCGGACCGTTCCAGTAGACGATTCGAAACTGACTACAGGCAGATGGACTTTGCCAGAACGGACAAATGATTTCTACCGTATAGTTGAGGCATGTAGGCCTGTGACATGCCGACACATAACCACGATTAAATTAACTACAGAGCTCGGTGTTAAGTCTTTAACTCCCAATTTCAAGTCATATATGGTCCTAGTTTTGACACTGGTTTCAACTAACACTGATACAACATACAAACTGCAAGTTTGTGCGAAAACTTACAGGTTTTCTCACTTAAGGTTAACCAAGCCTTCAAAGAGGGAAGTTGGCATAGACGAGCTATAAGGGCCTGATGTTTCGCACAAGCTTTCAAAGAGATATCCGTATTTACTTCGAACAAATTCCTATAGCATTGGAGCCACACATGTCACTTTTAGAGTAACATCGCAAGCAACATGAAAACAGGTCTGGTTTATCTGTGGTCCAACAGCTGATGCGCAATTCTAAGTTCTGACAGGCTACATTAACCAAACCACCTCATAAGGTGTGAATTTACAACCACCACCATCCTGGACCCTGACTATTGTCTGCTTGCGCCGAGATGCGCCGTAAATCACCGGCCTGATCATCAGCCGTCGCACGGTCGGCTTCCCGGCATTGTGGGGTGACTCCACGCGCCCCTCGAAGATTGCTGGAGAGTGAATTTGAGTTCTTCTATAGCTTATAAATTTAGTCAAGTGTGTTTCTGTTGGTCTATAACTAAATATAAGCTTAGAGAGGGTCAGCCCACTGACTGACTGACGACTGAATTCCAGTACCTCCATGGACTGACTGACTGACCGACTCTGTCGCTACTTCGACTGACATAAGTCTCACCTAGCTTAGCCCAAACATTCGTACCAGTTGCTGTTCAACCTGTTCACATCAACGACCCGTTTTCTTGACCCACCCTAGTGCAAAAGGGTTTATGAAACTTTTTTTCCAAAGTGAACCGAGCCTTTAACATTGGTGGATTCAATATTCATCAGGACTTCTTCAATAGTTGCGTTATCATATTTTGTTGTTTGTTTTAGGTGGGGGGGGGGGGGCTTGTTCAAACAATTCATAGTTTGCTCCTCAAGGAACACTCAGCGATGCATGAGTGATCGTGGTTTGATACAACCTTGGGATTTCATTTGAATCCAGGATTAAGAACTGCGCTTGCGCTGTTGATGCAGCTCAGCAGTATATTGTGCAATTCTTTTGCTTCCATTCAATGAACAAAGGGTGGTTGTCACCGCGCGATGGCGCTATGCTTCAAGGACGGAGCATCAACTTTCGACAATTGACAACGCCGCACACAGTGGTGGATCCACGTTTGGCTTAAGGGGTGGGGCGGTGTGCTGTCAGTTGAGGGGACATTTGCTACTTTTTTCTGCACGATTTTCCTCTTTTTGCGACCCAAAGGGGGGGGGGGGTGACCCCCTCCCCTTTCCTGTAGAACCTGCCACTGTTGGGTGCGTTCTCATCTCCGGCATGAGGTGTCCTAAGCCTGGGTAGTGTTGCAACGTCATCGGAATTTGGTTGATAGGCCGCAAAGAAAACTCACACTAACATAAACATATGTTTCAGCTGGTCTTAAAAGAGGGCAATGGCCCTTGAAAACACAATGTTGCAAAAACATCCTTGACTTAATGTTTGCACTTTTGGGGGGAAGAACAATGATTGCTTCGTACCCAAATAAATAAATCATTCATTTTACTAGCCCATTGAGACAATTTGATTCGTTCATAAATTACCGCTATGGCGTGCGGTATTACGACACATGGTTAGTTTTGGTTTTCAAAAAGTTGACTGAAATTTCTGGTTTCTTCGTAAATTCTAGTGACGAAGCTGCCTCCCCCGCGAAGGTAGATCGCGGTGCATCCTGGGAGTCATAGTTTCGGGGGCACTATACCATTCGCTCGTCCCCCCCCCCCCCCCCCCTGCAACCTGTTTGCAGGGCGGGGGTACGAGCGAAACCGTATGCCACTGATCTAAAAGTGTACAATAAATAAATAAATAATTAAATAGATAAATACAAAATACATATAGATCAGCGGGTACTATACATGCAGTTTCTGTACCATCAGCAGATATTAGTTAAGATTTTGAGATGTCATATTAATGGCCTTGCGCATAAGCTGGAATATTGCTAAATGTCCTCGATATTAAAATGTTTGGTTGCCCACGTAGCAATGTTATTGGATACCAAAACTCATTTTGTTGGATAAATCAACAAGGTCCTGTGGGTTAATCTGTTGCATCAACCTTCACTCCCGTAATGACCTGCATAAATTTTGCACGAAACACGTAAAACATGCAGAAACACACAATATTCGATGTATATTTCTTTCAATAAATAACATTCGCTCCCACACGTCCAATCTCCGTGGAACGAGCGGGTCACACGAAAGGTACAAGTAGCGAGCGCCCATGAGACTGCACGGGCGTATCGTGTCGTGGGCCCCCATGCGGCTTGCGTGCAGACCCGCTAAGCTCCGGCAACAAAAAAGTTCTCACCTCTGAACGAGAGTGCAATGAAATCGCAATGGGACTTCCGAGGGGGTATGTTCTTAAAAAACAAAAGTGCAAGTGTGTTTCTTGTCTCGTTTTTAACAGTTCGTTAAAACTTGTTGTGCTATATAGGGTGGTGTGATTGTGGGCGTGGCTTGAGTGATATGACATGCGTCTCAAACTAGAAAAAGAAGGCATTAATGTATTTATTCATTTAGGGAACATTTTTTTAAAATTCAGCTGCTAGCTTCTGTTCCACTTTTTTAACTGAATGGAAGTACGGAAAAAGATATGTGCTTTTTAATATTTTCTGTGTGTCCTCCTCCAAGCAACTAATACATGACTTCGTTCGGTTCGGCTCAGATTAATTCGATACTAAAAGTAAAAGTTATGATTTTTTACAACTAAAGTTCCATTAAACTAGTTCCCAGTCCCTCTATTATCCTTCGGACTTCGAACACCAGTCTATGAAGAAATTGAAGTAGAACTAAATGTACTGTGGGACATTTCTTATGGGAGAACTGATGCAAGTCTATGCACGCTGCATAGGCCTACGTGTGGAACGAGGAGGTGCTGCTTTGTGCACACTTTAATGGGAAGTTTCCGTCTTTTGTGTCTCTGAGTTCGAGGTTGTGGTTGAGTTTCTACGATCCGACCTCTCTTCCGGGTTTGCCACCACTCCCATTTCATAGACGAGTCGAAATTCCTCTTCAGAAATCTCAAAGGTAGGTGGAAATTCAGTCCTTTATCTTCCTTTTCTTGTAGAGATGTGCTCAGATAAAGTTAATTAATCTGGTCATTTATTTATTTGTGTGCATATTGTGTTTAGACGTCTTTTTTCACGAGTAAAAATTGGTCAAGTTTCGTGCACTTCTCTTTGCGAGACATTTTGTGCAAACGTTTGTTGTAGTTGATGATGGCGACCACAAAGTTATAATAAACTTTTGGTAAAGTGTCCTTGGAAAGAATTTAGTATCGAGACGCCACTTGTTTGGTTGTGTACAAAGTCTATGGATAGTCGAGTGCATTTTCAAAGCATTTTCTAACAAAATTGGAGATGTTTCGCAGTCCCAGATTGCAAAGACTGACCACCATCATAAATCATGGAGAAAATATGATAAAAAATGCATGTGTAATGTATACGAGTAGTAGGCCTACACCATATCTCGTACTGTCCATTGGATAGCCCACCCGCCTAGCAAGCAACACCGCTTGAGTTCAAGTCCCAGGGTGACTGATGTTTTTGAAACTTTATTTTTTGTGTCCCGAAAGATAAAAATGTTCTTCTGTGTTAGGCCTATTGTTTTAAATCGAATCTTTATTTAATTGCAGAGTATTTCATCTTCTTTTTCAGCTTCTTTTTCTGATTTGTGGCTCTGGAGGATTTTGTTTTTTGGAAAATTAAGTCGAAAATTGTAGGCCTGATTATATAAAACACAAAGTCACAACAACAATGTTAGTATGGTACCAGACGAAGGTTCGTCATGGTAACAATTTCGAAGTCCCAAAAAAACAGTCACTGCGCATGTTCAGTGCCGTACTGGAACAATACTGAAAACAATCAGGGACCGGTTCACGGTCAGATTGATACCGTGGGAATCAATGCAGTATTGTGCATTCACTTAGCATCACACATGAGCTGACACACCCTGCTGTCTCCATCTTCATTTTCATGTTGTGTTTTGTCATCATTTTCTTCGTTTTTCCCCCATAATGTCCCTTTCGCTCAGTTGGTTTTGCATACTTTACGGAGGGTCATGAACAGTCGAGTTGTAAAACTTTAACGACAAATGGGAACTTTCACCAGGCGTTTTACAAAGGCTTCCATCTATGAGGTCACTTGGTAAATCTCAGGGGTCATTAAATTGAAAATACATCCCATCATGCTCAGTATTATACAAATAATTTAGTTTTGGTATACATTATATTTAGGCCAAATAAAAAAAAAAGTGTTAAGCGTCCTGCCTTTTTGAAAAAAGGAAGGAGGCCTTTTTTTTTTCTTCTTCCAAAATGGCCGCCCGACCCGGCTATTTTTCAAAATGGCTGCCAACTTTTGTTTTAAATGGCTGCCACTTGGACTCAGGAAATGACATACCAGCTTTATATCGGCTAGATGCAACAGACAAAGAGGCCAAAATGATGGGTGTTTAAAAAATAAAAGAGAAAAAAAGGAGGGGGCCTCCAAAAAGGAAGCGGGCGGGGACGCTAAGCATGTTTTTTTTGTTTTTTTTTCATATTTTTATTATTATTATATTATTCAGTTACAGTAATAAAGAAAATTTGTGAGACATCATAATTCTACCCCAAAAATCACTTCTGATTCTTATCTTTAAATCGATTCTGCAAAAAAAACAAAGTGTGCGCACATAAAAATCATATACACATCCATTTTTTTATTAAATACACATGTATACAATTAAAGGAAATGAAACAAATCTTAATATCTTCAATCATGGTCACACAGACCGATGCAGTCACATCTAGCTCAATACTTAGCTGTATTTACCAGAATTCTCAATGTTTATACTCAGTGTGTGACGAATGCCAACCCGTGACTTGCCATATATAGCATGCATGGCAGTCAGTCAAAATAAACCTGCTGTGCAGCTGTCGTCCATTGCAACCTTGTGTGCATAGCTGAGAGATCATGAAATGGCTGTATGGATTGCAGGCTAGCACTGCAAAATGTTCTGCATTGAATTCATAGATGGTCTCAGTCTTGGTTTTAAGACAGCATTTTTTGCTTGGTTTTCCCAGCATCTATGAATACAAAACTTTAAACAGGTCAGTGTAACAGTATTTGCTGTAAAATACTAACCCCCAAATCAATCCATTTCCGAAACTCACAAAAGCAAATGATGTATAGGCCCCCTATTTCCTTTAAAGGGAAGATACAACATTTGCAAACATCAAAAAACGAAATGATCACATTATCACGAAATATCTTACTGGATTGTTAGGGAATGACAGTCTAAAGCATCCTGTAAAGTTGTGGCTCCTGGTGTGCTAACGTTTTCAAGAAAAACTTTATTTTTCCAACGCTGGTCGGCCGACCAGCGTTGGAGAAAATTGCCCTTTTTCAAAAAGTGCTCCTACTTTTTTATATTTAGTTCGTCTGCATTTTCTTTGCAATTGATTACACACATGTGAAGACTTAAACCCTGCTAGACTGATTCTCTGATCTTACAATTCCCCAAAGTCTATTAATTTGTCCGTTTTATCTTAAGTGGGGTCAGGGAACCAGACTACAATAATATGATTGGTTTTCTTGGTTTTTCCAGCATCTACGAACCCAAAACGTGAAACAAGTCAGTTCTATAACATACTAATCCTCCAAATCCATTTATTTCTGAAAATTGCAGCAAAAGCAAATGTTGTACATTCCCTTTAAGAGAAACAAAAGCTAACAGAATAAAAGAAAACACAGGACAGTGAATTAGTGTGACATCTGGTAGAGGTGTTACAGTAGTGCACCTACCTGAATGTTTGAATAGTCATGGACATGTGTGAATTCATGAATGGGGTTTTAGAAAGTACGACAAAATGTGCATATGGGCAATTCCACGGTTACTCACGTTACATTTTTGATGTACTTTTTAGTTTCCTTGGGCTGTAATTACCTTACCTAAAAGGTTTAATAACTGTTGTCCCCATGGTAGATAGAGTAGACCTAGACCTACCTAAGCACCAAAGATGACATCCAGAAAAATGTGTTATGTATGATAAACAAAACGCACAAAATCGGTTACCCACGTTACAAAAATGTAGTGTGAGTAACCGTGGAATTGCCCATATTTATGTTCTTTACTATGTATGTAAGTTTATGTGTAGTTTTATATGCACTTTTTTATTTGAGGTAATTGTGCATGTATACAAATGGTGATATCTGTGGTGTACATACATGTATATGTACATGTTTCCACATGTACATGTAGTAATGAAATGAAGGATGCTATATTGTAGATATAGCTCACTTGCCCGAAGAAACCTGTCGAGAGTGAAGCATTACCCCCCCCCCCCCCCACCCACCCCATTTTTAAAAGAGGAGGAATACCCAAGATAAAAACATTGCCAAATTGTGACGTCACATCCCTCCCAGGTCTGGCTGACTTCCTGGATGTTCCCAGACTGCAAATTTACATTCTAAATTCATCTACATTTTCTCAAATAAGTTCCTGAAAATGGTAAAGTGTTGCCACACTAGGCTTGTGAAAACCACAAATGTGGTTATTTTCTCTTCCCTAAAAAGAGATTCAGCCGATTATAAAACTTGGTTTTATTACAACCACCATGGCGAAACAGTGTTCAAGTGAGTAGGTGCTGTGGTGATGAACTAAGGGATGCGCCGAGTTGACCTCTAAGGGATATCATGACTTTGGTGGTGTACATATACATGTAGGTCAATCTGAGCACGCTATCAATTCTATCACGAAGGCCCCCTTCAATGGCCAAAGCATTGTGGCTGTGCAGGTAAAGCCCGGTTTATACTTCAGGCGAAAGCGAAAGCGAAGTGAAATTCGTGACGTCAACAATACATTCGAAGCGCGTCCACCATTGTTGACGACATGAATTTCGCTTTGCACAAGCTTTCGCGTGAAGTATGAACCGGGCTTAATCCATCACAGTGCAGTTTCTTTATACAATGGGGTGTATAATGGTTCCTCCATTGAAGGGGGGCCTCGTGAGTGTACAGAGATACATGCTGGAGAAAATTTAACCCACAGAATCATGTAGTAATGCTATGTTCACACATCCCGATTTTTAAGCCGAATCGCCACGAATAGCAATTCTTGTGTAAATCGGGGATGGTTCTTGTCTGCCTCGGGATGATTCTGTTTGTTCGGTGAAAGATCGTTAAAGATCGGGAAGCGCCTCGACAAATTGAACATGTTCCAAATTGTCAGGGTGATAGGCAGAACCAATTTCAATTCTTGGTTTATTCTTGTTTTATTCATAACTAATTTGGGAATGTGTGAACCTAGCATAATCGAAAACTCGGTTATAAACCTATGTGGGAGGCGAGGAAAGTACAGTATGAACGGCTGTGCCACCATGACTCCCTTGATTATCGTTTACGTCTCGTTTCAGAGTGATTCCAATCCAGCATGGCCGACGCTCTTGTTTCGCAGCTCGCTACGCTCAGCGGCAACCTGAAGTCTGAGGCAGACAAGATCGATGAGGTCACTGCCAAGAAACTGAACGATGCCATCATTGTCTTGCAAGGCGTGGCCAGAAGAGCCAGTGGCGGTGAGTAGGGGGGAAACATCATGAATAATTCATTTGATTACACCTCATACTTATTCATGAGCCAAACACCCTGCTTTCATTGGTCAGTGTTCCAACATGTCAGGGTAGCAAAAGCAGAATTCTGTCCAAGTATTTTTTAGTACTAGGGAATGAGTACCTCAAGATTAGCTCCTGGACATTACTGATCACAAGTGAGGTCGCTGGTGGAACTGTACTAAAACCTCCATAAATGGCAAATTAGTATTTTTATAAGCATTCCTTGGGAGGTTTAGATGTGATAACAAGGAATGTTTACTGCACTAACCAGATATATTTTCTAGTCATTCACAAGTCAATCACGAGTCAATCACGAGTCAAGCAGAAGTCGATCTCAAGTCAATCACAAGTCAATCACAAGTCAATCAGAATTCAGTCACTAGTGAATCGCAAGTCAATCACAGTCAATCAGAATCCAATCAGAATTCAGTCACAAGTCAATCACAAGTCAATCACAAGTAACAGGAGATGTACATGTGACATGACAAAATAATGTTTTTGCCTCATTTCATTTCGAAAATCTTATGACTAGAGAATCTTATTGACTTGTGATGACTTGTGATGACCTACCTTAATTTATTTGTCTTGTTCGTGAATATGAATGACTTCATGAGCTTGACCAATGGCATGATTATGTGACATGATTAACATATTGCAGACACGCCTCCCTTTGTGAGTGCCTTTGATGACTTCATCTCAGAACACGTTGCCAAGTACCTTAACCTGTCCCAAGAGATCGGAGGCGTTGTCTACGACCATGTAAGTCTTGTCCTATTCTTCATTTACCCTACCCATTGTTTTGTGGGCAATGTTTGGGTGACCCTACTAAAGATGTTTAAGCTGACCACTTCAACTTTTGCTGCCTCTCCCTAGAATTTTCATCGGCTTTCTAGTTCTTTTCGTCTCCCACATTGCATTTTAGCTAACAACACAGAAAACTACTTGATTTTGTGGATTCCTAATTAATAAGTGATGTGAGAAAAAGGAGATTTCAAAATCTGGTTATCCGAGTTTCAGCTCGCAGTCCTGCCAACAAAAAGTGACGAGTGAGGTGCTGCATGAAATGCCCTCCTAACGATTGCGTACACTTTGCAGGATTCAATGACCACTGGGCCTTTACAAAAACACTCCAGAGCTATAATGTTGAAAAATGGGTGGGAACTCTCTGATAAGTTGAATGAAGCTGAAACAAAACCGAGCTTTGAGAAAGGGCCATCGTGTTTTGTTTTTGCCGTGGCGGCTGCCTGACCTAAGATTCGTCAGAAATAATAGTCAGAATCTTTTGGTCTGGGAACCAGACTGTTATTAACTGAGTGTAAAACTATGTTTTTGTTCTTGACTTCTCCTCTGCAGGCAAAACTGGTTGAGAAGTGCTACAACCTACAGAGGGAGTATTTACACGTTGCTGCGAACAGCAAACGGCCGTCCCAGGTTTGTAGATGAATTTATTCGGCAAACAAAATTAGACGCCATTTTTTTAGGAGGAACCACAGCCACGCTCATGCCGCACGCGTTCTTAAAAATGAAGCACGCGCACATTTTGGTAATGCTAAGGAAATAAATATTTGCTTGGCAGGTTTTAAACAAGTACGTTGTTAATGGCCTGGAAGCGGTTAAGGTACTTGTTTAAAACCAGCCAAGCACATATTTATTCCCATTCATAAACACCTTTCAGTCAGCGAGTCAAAAAGTCACAAATTTCCAATGATTTTGTTCAACAATTTTACTTCATGTTTTGTGAAACACCCTTCTGGTCATGTGTATGGTATGTGCTTCGTGTGCGTAGTGCACGAGCGGCGCGAACTGCCTGATGTAGCGCAGAACGCAGCTGTGCAGGAATATTTAAAAGTGTTGAAAACCGGCTGGCATTTTTATCAGCGGTGTGTCCTGTGCCATATCAAGCAGTACACACGATGTGCACGCCAATCTCCATATAAGAGTTGTTTATAAGTACACACAAGACGGCCATACGGAAGCTTAGCTAGAGGGGTGTTTCGAAAAGCATGAAAACAAAATTGTTCAACAAAATCATTGTTAATTTACAATTTTTGACTTGTTTTGACTTTTGGACCGAAAAGTTTTGATTTCTTGACCGAAAAGGCATTGATGAAAGGGAATAATGCTTGGCAGGTATTAAACACTATGTTTAAGACTCCAACCAGTCTTAAACAGAGTGTTTAAAACTGGCCAAGCACACATTTATTCCCTTAATAGTAAGTAGATGACCTTTCAATAGTCCCGTCATGTTTGTATATTTATATTGGACCCTGCAGAAGGATTACGGTGGTTTCTTCCAGCCGCTTCAAGTTCTTGTTGAAGACGTCATCAAATTCGCTGATAAGAACCGCACTAACAAGGAGAGGCAGAACCACCTGATGACCGTCAAGGAGGGAATCGGCTGCATTGGCTGGGTCACTGTGGTGAGTAGGCATTGGTGGTGAGTTCAGGGATGATAGAAGTGTATAGGTGGAGGATTTAGTCTGTTGAGTAGGTCACTGTGGTGAGTAGGCATTCGTGGTAAGTTCAGGGATGATAGGAGTGTATAGGTGGAGGATTTAGTTTGTTGAGTAGGTCACTGTGGTGAGTAGGCATTTGTGGTGAGTTCAGGAATGATAGGAGTGTATAGGTGGAGGATTTAGTTTGTTGAGTAGGTCACCGTGGTGAGTAGACATTGGTGGTGAGTTCAGCAGCTGATGGGAGTGAATAGATGGAGGATTTAGTCTGTTGAGTAGGTCACTGTGGTGAGTAGGCATTCGTGGTGAGTTCAGGGATGATAGGAGTGTATAGGTGGAGGATTTAGTCTGTTGAGTAGGTCACTGTGGTGAGTAGGCATTCGTGGTAAGTTCAGGGATGATAGGAGTGTATAGGTGGAGGATTTAGTTTGTTGAGTAGGTCACTGTGGTGAGTAGGCATTCGTGGTAAGTTCAGGGATGATAGGAGTGTATAGGTGGAGGATTTAGTTTGTTGAGTAGGTCACTGTGGTGAGTAGGCATTTGTGGTGAGTTCAGGAATGATAGGAGTGTATAGGTGGAGGATTTAGTTTGTTGAGTAGGTCACCGTGGTGAGTAGACATTGGTGGTGAGTTCAGCAGCTGATGGGAGTGAATAGATGGAGGATTTAGTCTGTTGAGTAGGTCACTGTGGTGAGTAGGCATTCGTGGTGAGTTCAGGGATGATAGGAGTGTATAGGTGGAGGATTTAGTTTGTTGAGTAGGTCACTACATGAATGGTGAGTAGTTTGGCAAGTAATGGGAGTTTACAAATGGAAAATTCATTGGCACCTGCTCTACATTATGTATTCTTTCGTTTCCTTTCGTAGGAGCCCAAGCCTGGAATGTATTTGAAGGAAATGTACGACCAGTCTCTGTTCTATGGCAACCGTGTCATCAAGGAATACAGAGGAAAGTAAGTAGACTCCTCCCTCTCCGCAATTATTACCCCTGTTCGTCTGGCGATGAGACCATTTTCTACAGCAGCTCTAGATCAGTACAGTCTAGTCTCTACCCTAACGGGTACCCATTTGTGCTCCTGGGTGGAGAGAGGCAATTGTGGTAAAGCGTCTTGCCCAAGAACACAAGCACACTGTTTTCAAATGGGGGTTTGAACCTTTGTATCATCAGACATGAGTCGAACATTTTAACCATTGGTCTCTGCCTTCACAGGTACCCACTTATACTCCTGGGTGGAGAGAGGCAATTGTGGTAAAGCGTCTTGCCCAAGAACACAAGCACGATGTTTCCAAATGGGGTTTGAACTTTTGTATCATCAGACATGAGTCGAACATTTTAACCATTGGTATCTGCCTTCACAGGTACCCACTTATACTCCTGGGAGGAGAGAGACAATTGTGGTAAAGTGTCTTGCCCAAGAACACAAGCACCATGTTTCCAATTACAGTTTCAAAGTTATGTATCATTGGACATGAGTCAAAGACTATAACGAAACGTTAATTTTTCTTGTCTTGACAGAGATGACAAGCAGGTAGAATGGATGAGATCGTTCACTAACGCCATCATGAGACTGAAGGATTTCGTGGACAATTACCTCAACACCGGGGTGACATGGAACCCGCAGGTAACATCTATGTTATAAAAATATCGACTGCTTTCAAGTGGTATAGTACACAAATATTGACTGCTTCAAGTGATGTAGTAAAATTAGCCTTCCTGAGGTGATCCATGGAGTCTTTGCACACAGACTTTCACATGTTAGGCCAAATAAAAAAAAAAAACTGCTTTCAAATATTGACGGCTTTCAAGTGGTATAGTACACAAATATTGACTGCTTCAAGTGATGTAGTAAAATTAGCCTTCCTGAGGTGATCCATGGAGTCTTTGCACACAGACTTTCACTTGTTAGGCCAAATAAAAAAAACAACCAATTTTTTTTTTAATTGAAACCCCCCCCCCCAAAAAATTATAAATTTAATGATCATTTTCAGGAAAAAAAAAGTCCAACTTTTAGACTCTAAAAGCTGGTATGTCATTTCCGGAGTCCTAGTGGCGGTCAAGTGATGTACATGCCCAAGTATCGTACATTCCCAAGTGACGTACATGCCCATGTGATGCGCCTGCCATAGTGACTTCAGACTGGTTCATCAGTGCGAAGCATATTCATTAGCGTAGCGGCGGGCGTCACCATGAAACTTCCATTGTTGACGTCGTGAAATCCGCTTTCGCTTTTGCTTTTCGCGCAAACTATTCACCAGCCTTTGCCAAATATTTTCGTAAACAGTCATAAACAACTATTAACATGTCTAAGTAAGCCGTCGTCCCAATCCATCACTCTGCATGTCATTTCTATGTCTGTTGTGTCTGAATCCACACAATAGCCAAGATTTAATAGAGTTAATTTATACCCGTAGATTTGTAAGAAAAAAAAGTCAGACTTTTGTAACGCATTAAAATTGGTTGAAGGTTGGGGGTTGCCCTAGGGGTAGCCCGCCAAGGACAAGTCAATGAAAGAGACTCCAGGGAAGTTTGTCCGTTTTGTAGAGTGGAACTAATTAGAAATATCTACTTGGAAATTGCTCTTGGCTAGCCAACAAATGAAACCCCCCCCAAAAAAAAATCAGGTCGGATGCACAATGTTGTTAAGAAAAAACGGAGGAATAAACTTTTTTACTCGCACTGTGAATACTCTTTCAACCCAATTTTTTAATCCTGATTTCCTTGAGTGTTACACTTCATTTTGCGATGGATAACCCTAACCCCAAAATGACTCTAAACCTGTTTTCCAGAGAGGGGGAACCTTGTGTGGACCTGGCTTAGTCCACAGAAGGTTCACACAACCTGCAACGTGTGGACCTGTTTTGTTTTAAGGTCCACACAAAGATGACAAGGTGGGCACCACTACACGTACTTGGTTTCTGGTCAGTAATGTTAGACTTTGATCAAAGTTGCATCACTTTTTTTAGTTTCAGGTTTTGTAGTGAAAATTTGTTGGTGTTCTTGGCATTTTTCAAATAATTTAGTGTTTGTTTATTCTAACTTCAACTTGATTGAATATTTGGATATTCAAAATTCACTGATAAAGTTTTACATATGCGATGGAGATTGTAAGTGCAGCTGTGCTTGTTGAAAAATTGACAAAGAGCTTATAAAAAAATGTAAAGAACAGATAGAAGATTGGCTGATATGTGACCAATTTTAAAGCTATACTGTGATGCAACCTTAATCCTGCAAAATCCTCCAACTGAAAAATGACATAGAAAAGCTTCTATTTCTTTAATATGTCGCTTAAAGGAAGGCCAGTTTCAAATTTAAAATCAGGACATTGATTGATAATCGTGACTCTTTAATGGGGTCTAAGTTCTCCATTTGACTGGTCAATCCGTCATAGCCGGCTGACCGACTGGCATGTCGCAGACAATTGATGACCAGTGCACTGGTCGAGGTCCGTGACAATTCGTGGCAGGGTTGGCTGATTTAAATAACGTTGATTTAAATTTTAAAAAAATCTGATTTAAATCGAAAAAATCTGATCTAAATCAAATAACCACAGGTTTTTTTTATATTTAAAGAGTTAGTAGCCAGTTTTGTTTGGAAAATGAACAGCTACTAAAATTGAGGTGAAAGAGTTTTTTGCTCCTGACAAAGTTTGTTATAAAAAAAGGTAAATTGGTTTATACTTTGTTCCCCGTAAAAGCTTTAAGATTTTTTTCTTCAGGAAATTGCCAACATTATTTCACTTATATATGCTCATAAAAAACAGTGGTGGACAAAAAGTCATTTTATTAAAACCCTGCTAAAGGCAACAGCGATGAAAAGTTGTTGCATACTGTTCATTTAGCAGTCAACTTCAAGTCTTATGGTTTGTTGCATCTTGTTGCATTTAGCAGGGTAAATGCTCATAGTGCCAAAGCTGGTGCAACAGAATCCACTGTTGCAATTGGTTGCATTTAGCAGGGTTACTGCTCATATTGCCACAGCTGGTGCAACATAATCCATTGTTGCATGTGGTTGCATTTAGCAGGGTAACTGCTCATAGTGCAATGGCTGGTGCAACAGAATTCATTGTTGCATTTGGTTGCATTTAGCAGGGTAACTGCTCATATTGCCATAGCTGGTGCAACAGAATTCATTGTTGCATTTGGTTGCATTTAGCAGGGTTACTGCTCATAGTGTCATAGCTGGTGCAACAGAATTCATTGTTGCATTTGGTTGCATTTAGCAGGGTTACTGCTCATATTGCCATAGCTGGTGCAACAGAATTCATTGTTGCATTTGGTTGCATTTAGCAGGGTAACTGCTCATGGTGCCATAACTGGTGCAACAGAATTCACTGTCACATCTTGTTGCATTTAGCAGGGTGGTACTATTGCAGCAAAATCTTCTGTTGCATTTTGTTGCATTTAGCATGGTCCTCATTTCAGCTGTGCTAGATTTTGTTGCATTAAGCATGGTACCTGAAAAAAAACCTGATCAGATTAGAATGAATATTCTCTATATACATGTACAGTTGAGCTGTATAATCTAGCCCTAGTTTCTAGTCACGTCTGGGGGGCACTGGGGTGGCAGTTTGCGGTACAATAAGTGTAAGTTACCTTTTGTGCATAAATTGCAAAACACGCACAGATACAACAATAAAGAAATTGTACCGAGTAGGTAAACATGTTTTTGTATTGTCAGTATGCTTTGAGTACATGATTGATGTATCCGTTCCGCAGACAACTATTGCCGAAGACGTGACCCGTTTAAATCACCGCCTGCGCGACATTGTCAATTTATTTCTTCTTTTCAATTAAAAAAAAAGCAATTTCACATCATTTTATAAGCTGGCAGTGTAATCATAATGTTTGTGTTCATGCCTTGGGAAAAGATGTAAAAGGTTTTAGAAAGCGGAGAGACGAATTGTTCGTACAGCCCGCAGACATATTGTACGTTTCGATTGACTGGTGTTGTGAATGCCCAACTGTGGCGGCTATGAATTTCAACAGCGGAAAACTTTTTTTTTGTGTTGGTTTGATAAGATTTGAAGGTTTGCTTGGTGAAGTCAGCAATAAGTTAATTTTACGGTCGGGGGGGGGGGGGGGGGGGGGGGGGGGGGGGGGGGATGAGTTCCAGTCGTTGCAATTGTTTTTTAATAAAATCTGCTCATTACGGTCTCGCCAATGGTCTCGTTACTCGTGAGTAATCAAGTTACTCGCCCAGTGGTACTTTTAACTCTAACCTCATCTCAAGCTAGTAGTAAACTGTGGTATGCAGTACTTCAGCATATAAGTGGGCACAGCACTCATAGTAATTTGTGTATGTGGTGCCTGCATGCATAATTTGTGTAGTATTCTGTAGTACTCAGTTATTTATCCCAAAGTAATGGCTAGGACATTTTGATACACAACTAATATTATTGTGTATTGCACAGCATGAAAACTGAATTTTTAGTGCAAATTTTGTTAAGCCAAAAAAACAAAGTCTCCGGTTTCTGGTATGGAGCTTGCCCAAAAAGTGGTGCGGCGACACGGCTTTTTTTTTTTTTTAACCTGCTTTTTTTTTGCTTCAAATGTCAGCGGATGACTGCAAATGGTGCCCGACTAAACTTAGTGCAAATATATGGGAGTCCAGAGAGGCCACATAAAGCTTATTCTCGATCATAACCCCATCTAAAAACACGTTAAAATTGTGCAGCAGCAGGATTCCAGTCAAACCAGTGAGTTTGGTGGTTTTGAGACATCATCTTTCATTGAAAAAAACCTTTTTCATTTTGCCGACGCGCATGGCTACGGCGACGCGCGCGCATACCAGAAACCGGAGACTTTTGGCCTTACAAGATCCAATTCAGTTGCAGCCAAAACTTATGCAAATTGCGTCAAAGGCCACACCCCCTGGCTGACCTTTTGATGTCCTAGCCCCGCCTAGTGGGCCGTCCCAAATTTAAACCCGCCCTCCTATTTAAAAAAGATTTCCTCATTCACCTTGACTGCATGTAATTGATTCAATCTCCAGTCACACAAAGGAATTGCTGGCGACACACAACACAATAACTAGAAAGTAAAAGAAGGAAAGTTTGCTGAGGCTGAACAAGCATTTTTTTAATAAAAAGCCTTTCTGTTTTTTTCACCGGAGTCAAACTGATCAACCAATTTTTCTTTTGTTAATTCAGAGGACTTTGCCTCAGGCTGTGGTTTCCAACCCTTAATTTTGACTTAAAAACATCTTTACGCACCATTTAGTGCAAATTAAAAACCCGCCTCCAAAGAAAAACGGGCGCAGTTTTTGTGAGGTTTTTCTTGTCATGTCATCCATCTTGGATTGTGATCGCTTCCCCTGCCAACGGCTACACCACGAAATGTTTTTGTGACACAATTTCTCTGAAGACACTCACATACTCACAGTTTTTTTTTTTTTACAAGTAGTGTCACAACACCGATTTTTTTTGCCAGAAGTCCTTGACATTAAATTCGTCAGCCCTCGCTGAATATGTTGGAACAGAAGCTGTTTTTCCCCCTGGTTATGTTCTTGACAATGATTAATGATGAAGCTTTTCCCACGGGTAATGTGTTAACACACGAGTGATCATGTTGTGCTATTTACTGTTTCATTTTTGAAACGTGCTTTGACAGTGTAGTTAAAGGGAAAATACAACATTTGCAAACATCAAAAAATAAAACTACCAAATCATTTTGAAATACCTTGCTGGACTGTTAGTGAATGACAGTGTAACGCATCCTGTAAAATCATGGCACCTGGTATACTGTCATTTTCAAGAAAAGTGGTATTTTTGTATCAATTTCCAACGCTGGTCGGCCGACCAGCGTTGGAAAAAAACTGGCTTTTTTCAAATACTGGCCCCAATTGACCATCGCACTTGTTTGCAATCGATACACACCTATGAACGGGTACAAGCCAGCTAGACTGGTTCCCTGACCTTACAATTCCCCAATGTATGTAAACTCTGTTTCTTCTTATATGGAGTCAAGGAACCAGACTACAGGAAAATGATTGTTTTTCTTGGTTTTTATAGCATTTTCGAACCCAAAACCTCCAAAAAGTCAGTGTAACTATATTTGCTATATATTTCCAACCCGCCAATTCCATCCATTTCTGAAAATTACAGCAAAAGCAAATGATGTATATTCCCTTTAATGTAGTCACGATAGATTGATTTTTTTTCCCACGATGAAGTTTTTCCCATGGGTAATGTGTTAACACATGAGTGATTATGTTGTGCTATTTACTATTTCATGTTTTAAACATGCTTTGACGGTGTACTTAATGTAGTCACGATAGATTGATTTTGCTTAAAGGCATACAGGTACAATTGTACATTTATAGGATCATTTGCTTTTCATGCTTTTTAGTTCGTTTCCATTACACCGCTTAAAATCCAAAGAAGAATGTTCAAAACTAAAGGCCAAACCAAAATAGTTCTGCTTCCGATTACATGGCATTTGGTTCAAATCTAAGGCCAAACAAAAACAGTTCTGCTTCAGATTACATGGCATTTGGTTCAAATCTAAGGCCAAACAAAAACAGTTCTGCTTCAGATTACATGGCATTTGAAAATAGGGTAGGCAGGTAGGGATTTTTTTTGGAGGCAATTTTTTTGTGTACAATCATATGGAGGTGTCTGCATGTAGTCAAGGGTAAAAGGTAGTAATTGATGGTTTTGGGGTTATTTTCCCTCCCCCCCCCAAAAAAAAAAAAAAATTAGGGTCTGGGCTGTCAAAGTAGGGTAGGTAGGGTAAACGGAAGCAGAACTATTATTTTTTTGGGCCTAAAATGTTGAAGTTTTAGCTCTGTGGATATTACACCTTTTGAGAAAACGGGGAAAAACCACGCATAACTTTTTGATCACAAAAAAAAAAAACGATTTCATCCATAGCACTTTTTATTTCCAAAAATCAGTCGATTGAAATACTGATCATTGGAAATCACTTTGATATCCTGATTCCTGTTTAGTACAATCTTTAATCCAAGTAAGGTTGTTAATAATAATTTGGTAGGTTACTTTTAGGATTATGCAATTGAACCTACATGCATATGGCCTTAACCCTAACCCCCTAGGCCCTTGTTGCTTACAACCATCCTCAATCCTCCAAAATCCTCCAAATTTTGCAACTCCGCCTAAATTTTTCAAAATTGTCAGACAGTCCTGCCTCAAAATGCATTCATCCTCAATCCTCCAAAATCCTCCTCATCCCTAAACTTTGCACTCGTGTTTAAATGAAGGATAACCAACGCCAAATCCTTCAAAATCATCAGACAGTCCTGCCTCAAAGTGCATTCATCCTCAATCCTCCAAAATCCTCTTGTGCTTCAATCACCATTCATCCTCAATCCTCCAAAATCCTCATGTGCTTCAATCACCATTCATCCTCAATCCTCCAGAATCCTCATTTGATTCAATCACCATTCATCCTCAATCCTCTAGAATCCTCCAAAACCGCCGGGAGGATTTTGGAGGAGTGAGGTGGGTTAGGGTTAATATGGGTCATGTATCGGAAGTAATGTAACAAGTGGCGTGCCTTTTTTTTTTGAATGACGTATATTATGTCTCCTTTTTAGCTGCGGGATAGTAGCTCAATAAATCATTATGTCTCGCCGTTAGTTCGTTAGATAGTTAGTTAGTTGACGCCTGACGCTCACGCGAAGACGCTGTTGCGAATTCAGGAAGTTGTGCGTACTTCGTGCGCGAACCACTACAGTACAGTACGCACACGCTGTGTGTTCTGTCCACAGAACTCTCAAAAGTGGTAAAAACCCACCCTCTCTTGTTGGTACACGGAGCCCATATGATCCATGAAACTTATTTTGTGGAGTGGGAGTGCTGTGGCCTCGTGGTCTGGAGCACTGAATTTGTGGTCTGCAGCACTGAATTTGTGGTCTGCGGGTAATTCTGCAGGTTGTGGGTTCGAGTCCAGCCTGGGGTTATGGTGCGTGTGCCCTTGGGCAAGGCGCTTTGTCACTAATTGCTTCTCTCCACCCAGGAGTAAATGGGTACCTGTGAGGGCAGAGATGGTTATTGTGATTGATTTTAGCTGTTTTGCACCGAAATGGCAGCATCGAGCTGTATACTCCCCAGGGAGCTGAGATAGTATTTGAGTGTTTCATTGGCCCAGTGAGCTGGATGATAATGATGTAGTGCCTTGAGCACCAATACTGGTGGATATGTGCACTCTATACATGTACATTATTTTTTTTTCCAAGCTACATACATATCAGGAAAATAGTATGCTCAACAGATCACACATGGAAGGCTAGTTTTACTGTAACACAGTGCAGTCAAGATTTGTAACCTACACTGCCTTCAGGATTTATACTTGCATGACGTCTTCAAATCTTATCAGTGTGTTCCATTCTTTGAAAACAACTTAATTATTTGGTTGTGTTTCTCTCTTTTTTCTCATTACTTACAGGGGAAAGCTCCTGTTGCCCCCGGTGGTGGTGCTGCTGCCGGCCCACCCCCACCCCCTGGGGGAGCTCCCCCACCCCCTCCCCCACCGGCTGTGGAGGCACCCACTGCCGCAGGGGCCAGTAGTCAACCAACCGCTGCTGCGGCACTGTTCGCTGACATCAACAAGGGAGAAGGTGTCACTACAGGTAACTGCGTCCACTAAAACCGGCAGCATTTTAACCGAGCACTGCAATGTAGTGTAACCTACAGTGATGAACATGAGCTTAAAGTTGGAAATTGCCATTTTGTAGTACATACACAGTGGGTCAAATCCAAAATTCGAAGCGGTGGTCGCTTTTTTTCGTTTTTAGGTGAACCTCAATCTGAAAGTCCCAAGTACTTTTCTCCAATTTGGTTCGTTCTATCAAACATCTTTAAAACCTATTTCATCCCGTTTTTATCATGTCGTCCTCTATTCACTGTAACACAACTGCAGGATTACAAATGCAATTTTCTCAAGAGTCAGTTTGACAACTTCTAGTAAGGTGGCAGTCTATATTTCCGTTACTGAACTTGATACTCCTTAATGTTGTATACCATTGAAAACCTCTTGTTCTGCAGAATCCAAATATATAAATATCTCATGCTATTACTTTGGTTGCTATGCGCATAGTTTTTTTCCTGCGCACAGCAAGATAGCAAAAATAGCGAATACCGTGTGACTTGCTCTCGGCCAATCAAGATACAGAATCTGTGGGTGAGGTGTTATCATCGATATTAGCTTCCCAAGGTATTGGAAGTTGATAAACTAGTTTCCGAAGCATAGCCAAGGGAACTAGTTTGTCAATGTTCAATACAGAATGGACTGGTGAGAATTCGGCTTTCGATCATTCATGTAAATGAGATATAGTTATGACATATGTTATGCCTTTGTGTTCAAATTAAGGTGCCATGAACAGTTATGCTCAATGTTGTCCTTCAGGTTTAGAGAAAGTCACCTGAAGGTGCCAAGAACAATAATGCTTAATGTTATCCTTCAGGTTTGAAGAAAGTCACCTGAAGGTGCCATGAACAATAATGCCCATTATTATCTTTCAGGTTTGAAGAAAGTCACCTGAAGGTGCCATGAACAATAGTTCCCAATGTTACCCTTTAGGTTTGGAGAAAGTCACCTGAAGGTGCCATGAACAATGATGCCCAATGTTATCCTTCAGGTTTGAAGAAAATCACCTGAAGGTGCCATTAACAATAATGCCCAATGTTATCCTTCAGGTTTGAAGAAAGTCACCTGAAGGTGCCATGAACAATAATACCCAATGTTATCCTTCAGGTTTGAAGAAAGTCACCTGAAGGTGCCATGAACAATTATGCCCAATGTTATCCTTCAGGTTTGAAGAAAGTCACCTGAAGGTGCCATGAACAATGATGCCCAATGTTATCCTTCAGGTTTGAAGAAAATCACCTGAAGGTGCCATGAACAATGATGCTCAATGTTATCCTTCAGGTTTGAAGAAAGTCACCTGAAGGTGCCATTAACAATAATACCCAATGTTATCCTTTAGGTTTGAAGAAAGACACCTGAAGGTGCCATGAACAATAGTTCCCAATGTTACCCTTTAGGTTTGGAGAAAGTCACCTGAAGGTGCCATGAACAATGATGCCCAATGTTATCCTTCAGGTTTGAAGAAAGTCACCTGAAGGTGCCATGAACAATAATGCCCAATGTTATCCTTCATGTTTGAAGAAAGTCACCTGAAGGTGCCATTAACATTAATACCCAGTGTTATCCTTCAGGTTTAAAGAGGTCACCTGAAGGTGCCATGAACAATAATGCCCAATGTTATCCTTCAGGTTTGAAGAAAGTCACCTGAAGGTGCCATGAACAATAAATGCTCAATGTAATCCTTCAGGTTTGAAGAAAGTCACCTGAAGGTGCCATGAACAATAATACCCAATGTTATCCTTCAGGTTTGAAGAAAGTCACCTGAAGGTGCCATGAACAATAAATGCTCAATGTAATCCTTCAGGTTTGAAGAAAGTCACCTGAAGGTGCCATTAACATTAATACCCAGTGTTATCCTTCAGGTTTAAAGAGGTCACCTGAAGGTGCCATGAACAATAATGCCCAATGTTATCCTTCAGGTTTGAAGAAAGTCACCTGAAGGTGCCATGAACAATAATGCCCAATGTTATCCTTCAGGTTTGAAGAAAGTCACCTGAAGGTGCCATGAACAATAAATGCTCAATGTAATCCTTCAGGTTTGAAGAAAGTCACCTGAAGGTGCCATGAACAAAAACGCTCAATGTTATCGTTCAGGTTTGAAGAAAGTCACCTGAAGGTGCCATGAACAATAATACCCAATGTTATCCTTCAGGTTTGAAGAAAGTCACCTGAAGGTGCCATGAACAATAATGCCCAATGTTATCCTTCAGGTTTGAAGAAAGTCACCGCGGACATGCAGACCCACAAGAACCCAGCCCTGCGCCAGGGCGCCAAGCCGTTCTCGGGCGCTGCCCAGTCCGGCGTCAAGGCAGTGTCTGCACCCAAGGTCCCGGCTAAGGCTGTGGTCAAGCCGCCTCGGCTGGAGCTGATTGCGGGCAAGAAGTGGGAAGTGGTAAGTTTGTTCTGAACCAAGAGGGCCGGCCTAGTGTCCTCTTGAGAGCTGGGCAGTGCTGTTGTATAGGATTACCCTGTAACGCCAATGATTGGGCTAATTCGGGCTCATTGTGTAGACCACATGCATGAACAGACTTCCAGCGAATAGTCAATCTGAATTAATTCAATAGAAAACCTATTGCGGTAGAATCGTGTTGACGCAGCTTTTGAAATATTGTCCAATTACATGATGTACAAATGGAGATATGGAGTAGAGATATTGAGCAGAGATAATCTTCATTAGAGATATTGCCTACTTGTGTCCTTGAGCAAGTCACTTTACTACAATCACTCTGCATATTCGTAATGTATTCTATGAATTCCACGCAGAAAAGGCATACCAGTAATGTGATGTTTCTCTTGCCAAACTTTTTGCAGGAATACCAAAAAGACAAACAAGATATTGTGATTGAAGGTCAGATGATGCAAACCATCTACATCTACAAGTGTGAGAATAGCGTCATTCAGGTCAAGAACAAGGTCAACTTGATCACATTGGGTAAGCTGACTTCTGCAAGTATTCCTTGGGGGGGGGGGATTCCCTTTGCATTTTACTTGTATGAAAATCCTTTATTAAATTTCTGTGTAACAGTGACTAAAGGGTTCACGTTTCGTGCAATCGTAAGCTTAATGTGCAGCTGTGCAACAAATTTGTTGCGTCATTCCTACGCATGCACTGTTTTGTGAAATTGGCTGCTGTTGAACGGTGCTCCATGGTATTAGTGACCCCACCCAGATTTTCATATTATTAGATCCCTAGTACAAGTGTGCTTTCTCTTTACAATTCCAGATAGCTGTAAGAAGACGGGCTTGGTATTGGACCAGTGCATGGGATCGGTGGACACCGTCAATTGCCAGAGTGTAAAACTGCAGGTCAGAGCCACTGGTTCCCTGTCAGGGCAACCAGTGAATTGAATTGGATTCAGATCAGAGATCCTTCACAAGTCAAATCTATAATCGATCACAAGTCTGTCACAAGCCTGTCACAAGTCCTTCACAAATGTATTGCAAGTCAAATCGCAAGTCTGTCACAAGTCCATCCCAAGTCAATCACAACTCAATCACAAGACAATCAGAAGTCCATCACAAGTCTGTCACTAGTCAAATCGCAAGTCTGTCACAAGTCCATCACAAGTCAATCCCAAGTCAATCACAACTCAATCACTAGACAATCAGAAGTCCATTGCAAGTCAGTCACAAGTCAAATCGCAAGTCCATCACAAGTTCATCCCAAGTCAATCCCAAGTCAATCACAACTCATTCACAAGACCATCAGAAGTCCATCACAAGTCTGTCACAAGTCAAATCGCAAGTCTGTCACAAGTCCATCACAAATCTGCCACAAGTCCATCACAAGTCAAGTCACAACTCTGTCACAAGTTCAACACCAGTCTATTGAAAGTCAAATCACAAATCAGTCTCAAAACCATCACAAGTCCATCACAAGTCTGTCACAAGACCATCATAAGCACATCACAAGTCTATTGCAAGTATTTGAAGAACTCCTTACTTGAATTGAGAGTTGACCAGAACTCTGATTCATATTGTCATAAATATTTTGTTATTTCAGGTGACCGGCAAAGTGCCTATCGTCAGCATTGATAAGACGGATGGAGCTATGCTGTACCTGAGTCCTGACTCTCTGGATACGATCGTTGTCGCGGCCAAGTCATCTGAGATGAACGTCCTGATACCCAAAGGCGACGGGGATTACGTAAGCAAAGTTTCTCCTTTCTAGATGTCCAACACCCATTTAACCCATTGGAATTGCCCATTTGGTTTGATGCTAATCTGGGAAAGTTCTGTAAATGTTCGCGCTTCCCCCTAGAAATACAAGACTGTGTTTTTTAAAAATTTAAATTAGATGTTGTTTTTACAATTACTGTAATTAACACTGACTTTTTCCCAACTGAACATAATTTTGTTTCTTGTTTTTTTCTTTCCTTGTTCAGACGGAGTTTCCGCTTCCCGAGCAGTTCAAGAGCACGTACAACGGCAAAACCTTTGTAACAGCATGCAACGATTCACTCGGATAAACTCCAAAAAATATTTCTAGGGAAAAAAAATCCAGCAATTCTGGTGCGAATTACAATAGCAAGTACATTATTATGAGGGAGATAATTGAATTTTTTTTTTTACTTAACTCTAAACAAGTTTATTTTGGGAGTTCATACAACTGTGGCATTCGACTTTTTTCTGCAGGTTTTTGACAAAATTGTTCTCAAATATACAGCCTTATTCAGATTATGTTGTCTCACTGTTAAGTACAAGTGGACTGTAGCAATTTCAAAATAATTTTCGGAATGTACGGAATGATTTCACGTAATGTTTAGGCGAGGAAAAGTTTTCTAATTGTAACCCTATGCAATCTCTGAAGACTTTTTTAATGGCACTAAAATTGGCAGCCGTGTTCTGAGATTTGATAATCGAGAATACTAACTATCGCTATTAAGCTCTTAGCATGTCTAGGCGTTGAAAAAGATTTATGAATTTATTCAGCTGAGCTAACAAGGAATTTTTATATAGAAAGTTTAGTGAAGCATTTCTGTTGCATATAACCGTCTTTAGTTGTGAGGTGACAGAAATTTAGCTATGATCCGAAACTTGGTAAAACGTGAAGCAACGTTTCAAGGTATGGAGTTGGATCAAACTAAGTTCTCATTGGTTGATTGTTTAACCAATAAGAGGACAGGACTACGTTGCTCATGAATATGCATGAATGCTTGAATGCAGATTTGGTAACATACTTTGAGGTAATCATGGAATATCTGTTAAAAAAATTATTGTGGATTTAACCAAAGTGAAGAAATCAAACAAAGTTAGGGGGCCTTATGTTTCGATCTTTGAAAATAGATCCTGCTAGGTTTGAAATATTAGCCCCCTAAACTTCTTTGATTTGTATATTTTAGGTCCATCCAGTCAGTTAACAGTTTGTAGCATTTTTATTCATTTTCAAAATGAAAAGTAAATTTTAAGGTAAATTTAATTAAAACTAACAGTGTTTATAACTTGAACAGTTACTGCATGAAGTAAAAGTGAGCATATGTTTGCCTTTGTTTGTAAAATGTCACGTCTTGAGGTCACAAAAACTGTCTTAGAAATGGTTCATGCATTTTCCATAGTACAAAATACATAAAACTTTACAGCTCCGTTGGAATGGCCCTGGAACATGTATATTTTTGCAGCCCCTACACCGCCATAGATTTCTGTTCAGGTTTTCATGTGAGCTAATGCAACATGTAACAAAAAGAGGGAACCAGTTACTATGGCAACTAGCAGACAACCTCAGCGATGTCATGGCTACGACTTTGAATATTTCATGTTCTTCTCTATCATTTTTCAACGGATACCGCAAAAATGACTTTAATATACGGTTCAAAAATTCATGATGCATTTTGATCAATGCGGAGCATGTATTAATTAACGACAGTAAACTTGTATATGCCATATAATGTGGTTTTGGTTTTAGTATGACTAATTTCTGCTATTCTAAAAATAAAATATTCACTTCCTGCCTGGGCATATATGTTTTTGATTCTGAGAAAATAATTGGAAAAACATTTATACTTCCTGGATTTTTTTTATGTATAGATTGTTTGCTTAGAAGCCATGTTTTTTAGTGTGTTGTTTTGTTCAACATGGAATACGCATAAGTAGACCTTGTAGCTCTGGAGATATGGGAGTTTGTTTTTAAAATTAAATTAAATTAAATTCAATTTTGTTGATCCAAAAATATATAATTGCAGGAAAGAATGCCTTGAAACAAATGACTGGTATTTGTGAAAATCAACAGATAAATTTGAAAAAAAAAAAATTGTTGACATTATCCAAAAAATTGAATCGTCATCCTTTATGTTCAAGGAATGAAACGTACACTAGCGTAGGATAATTATCTTATTCTGTCGATTATTTCTGCAGTTATTTCTCAACTTTTAAACAGATTTAAACTATTATATCCGTTCCACTGAATGGTATTGGTATCTCTGACTAATTTGTACTGACAAGATTGCATTATTTCGGCTCGTAATGCTGAGCACTGAATGAAACTAAAGTTGATTTTTGTAACTTCTAAAATTTCATTTGTCAAGTGTACGGAAGAATGCTCATTAAAAAAGTAGAGAAAGTCACAAAAGGACTTTGATTGGATTTTATTTTATTTGTGTCATTTTATTTTACCCTCCTGCTATCTGAACAGTCACAGACAGTCAAAAAAAATCAATTGTCTTCCCTGCCGTGCCTTTTACACATGGTAGTCACCAACAGTCGGATCATATTTAAAAGCAAGCACTGTGACTAGCCAAATTCAGTCAACAGACAAAAGCAGGCAAGTGGCAGGCACAGCTGGCTTATCAATCACCTACAGTCAAAGCATAGCTGTTCAAGTTACACAAACAGTCACAGCCAGTCAATCCTGCTTTGTGTAGGCTGGGAGCTCTTAACTGTAAACAGTCACTTGATTGATTTTGACTGAAATAACAACTTGGCTCAGAATGTATGCTTGCATTTGCCTGTACATGTTACGGTATTTTTTATCAGAGCAAGAAAATTAAGTGTTCCTTTTGGGGGGGGGGGGGGGGGGGGCGAGTAGGGAGTGGTCTAAGCTGGTTGGCTAACCATTCCCTTTTTCGTCCGACAAATTTTATTTGCAAATTACTGGAAAATGCACAATTTCTTAACTTTCCGTGGAAAAAATACACAATACATTATTTATAAATCACGGTCTGTGCAGGTCTTTCGAGTTTGAGGTCTTTAGAATCAATTACTTTTTACGTGTCGGTTTACAAGAATGTGTGTTATCCCTGGACAAATGGGGCGTGTCTAACTCTGAAAAATTGATCGTCTGCTGACGTCTGGTACCCGGTACACAATCACTGACGTGACAAGCAAGCATAAATGAAGCAGTGCACCAGTCTTTCGGCGTACGTGCAGGGTTGTGTACGGCAGGCACTACATTGTCTGTCAGAAAGGTCACATTTTTTACCCAGTTTTAACCACCAAAAAAATCAACTAATTCACCAAAATGTCTGGTGGTTTTGACGAAGAATCCCAAAACATCAAGAAGCTGAAGGCTGATATGCCGGACATGGGCTCAATGGGACGGACGATGTCCTTTTCCGGCGACGACAGTTACGTCGATACGGTGTCAAAGTTCGCCCGGGCCGGCCAGGGCTTTGGAATGGTGGGCACCGGTAAATGCGTCGCGGTCTTCACGAGCGGAGGCGACTCGCAAGGTTCGTTCAATAATTTAATTGCCTCATTTTTTGAAAGTTTGTAGCCAACCACCAGGTGGGCAGTGATTGTGTATTAACTCCTTGGTGGGAGGAATATTTAATTTAGATTTGATGATTGTCTGTTTAGCCTTCGCCTCGGGCAACAGAACTTCAGAAGTGAGATGGTGAGACTGAGAAGAAGATTTTTGTTTTGTTTTGCATTGCAGGAATGAATGCTGCTGTACGTGCTGTCGTTCGAATGGGTATCTACGTTGGATTCAAAGTCTATGCTATACATGAGGTTAGTAGACCAGGAACACGTTCAAAGCAGTTAATGCAGTATTTTTAATAACTATGATTTTATAATAATATGATTTTTTACGGCTTCTGACAAGTGCTCCGTGAACATAAAGAAAGCGACACATTCGTGGCTGTCAACATAAGGCTAGATTCCCTTTGCTGTGCATTTGAATTTGACGAAGTAAAATAAAAAAAAAACAGTGGGCATCCGTTGAGACAGTGATCCTTGTTAATCTTTTTTTCTTGGATTTCAGCATTGGGCAAGAATAGGCACAATCGCTGGTCGCAAGATACATCAGTTTATGTCATCTGACATGCACCTCATGAACAAAGTGTATAGCGACAAATTGGGTGACCGCCCACTACTCCTAGAACTATGAGGCTCCACGTAGTGGAGCCTCATAGGTTCAGAAGCCCGCAAAATTGTTGTCAGCACAAAACACTAATTAAGTACAAAAACGTCCATCCCAAGCAGGCCGTTTTTCACAGAACCGCTGCACAGTTTGCCCCTAAACTCCATACAATACCTCATGACATACTCACGTTATGTGCACCCAACAAACATCGGTGGATTCTGTCTGTTTTTCGGCAAAAATGATGAAAAATATGCCCTTTCCGCACTGAGCCAACCTAACACTTGAAACGAGCACGCGTGCAGAATGATCGCAGTCATTTTCGGTTCGATCGCTCGGAGCGCGCCGCGGGGGGTATGGTGTAGGAGCGGAACGATAGTATGCGCATGCGTACAAGTGCAAATACGTACCCCCCGCGGCGCGCTCCGAGCGATCGAACCGAAAATGACTGCAATCATTCTGCACGCGTGCTCGTTTCAAGTGTTAGGTTGGCTCAGTGCAGAAAGGGCATATTTTTCATCATTTTTGCCGAAAAACAGACAGAATCCACCGATGTTTGTTGGGTGCACATAACGTGAGTATGTCATGAGGTATTGTATGGAGTTTAGGGGCAAACTGTGCAGCGGTTCTGTGAAAAACGGCCTGCTTGGGATGGACGTTTTTGTACTTAATTAGTGTTTTGTGCTGACAACAATTTTGCGGGCTTCTGAACCTATGAGGCTCCACTACGTGGAGCCTCATAGTTCTAGGAGTAACCGCCCACCATATACAGACATCTACATGTAGAGCTGGATAACTTTGTCCGTGAAGCTTTGGTACGGTGCTCTGAAGATCATAGATTTGAGTCCCACTCGTGTCAATTCCTTTTCGACATAGTACAGTTCAATCATTGTGCATAGTAATAGTGACTCGTTGCTTCTTTTTTTCTGCCAGGGCTACCAAGGCATGGTTGATGGCGGCAACTGCTTTAAAGATATGACGTGGAAAGACGTCTCTGGTATTATTCAACGGGTAAGATGCCTCGCTCATCAATCCATAGTTGGCACGCATTTTTGACTGACTGACTCACTGTCACTTGTGAAGTTGACTTGCAAAAAATGTCACAGTGGACCACTTTGTAGTTCGCTGGTTGCAGAGGGCCGGCTTACAGTCCGTTTTGCACTTATCTCTCTGACTGACCGACTGGCTGACTCCCCCTTGTGAGTTAGACTTGTATCAGTCTCACCTTAGCCAGATGACTATCTACATCCCTTAGACCAAATTTGTTAAATTGTTTTCTACCAACCTTAAGTTTGTAATATCGCATATTCTTTCACCTAAATGGTTCTCAACCGTCCTCTTTGAACGAGCTTCATCAGTGGAATCTACCATTTTTTATAGGGGGGTACAGTGATCGGCAGTGCCCGGTGCCAAGACTTCCGCGAGCGCTGGGGAAGGAAGAAGGCGGCGCTGAACCTGATCAAGCGTGGCATCAACAACCTGGTGGTGATCGGTGGGGACGGCAGCCTGACGGGGGCTAATCTGTTCCGGCTAGAGTGGGCGGAGCATCTGACTGAACTCTCGGAGGAGGGTGCGATATATACTTGACCCTCACTGCTTCAAATTTCTGCTGACCCCAGAGACATGGACGTCAATCTGTGGGGGAGGGAGGGGGGCAATTCCCCTCCACTTTTTAAAGTGGAGGATATCACACCGTTTGTTCCCCCACTTTTTCATCCCCGAATAAAAATTGTAGCCTACATTTGATTCTGTAGCTCAGAATAGCAGGTTCAATGACTCCAAACTAAAAAATGATGTTTAAATGATGATGTTTTGCTCAAAGCTTTAGTTAAAGTGGTCAAAAACTGCCTCAGACCGCACCACAGGATTGGCTGCCACTTTGCTTCCACAAAGCAAAAGGATTCATTTCATTCATATATTTTCTGACTGTTTTCCATATTCGATCAAACGAAATGCACTGTTAAGTCTCACGCTTGATTTTTTTCTTCACAGAGTTAATCACAGATGCAGAGAAAGAACATTGCAGTCACTTGAACATCGTTGGAATGGTAAAACCTTTGCTTCATTTTGTCATTGTGATTTGAGAGAAATTATCTAAACCCATTAGCACCTGTACTACATTGTATTACATTGTATTACATTGTACTACGTTGTGTTACATTGTATTACATTGTATTACATTGTATTACATTGTATTGTATTGCATTGTATTACATTGTACTACGTTGTGTTACATTGTATTACATTGTATTACATTGTATTACATTGTATTGTATTGCATTGTATTACATTGTATTACATTGTATTACATTGTTTACATTGTCTTACATTGTATTACATTGTGTTACATTGTGTTACATTGTATTACACTGTGTTACATTGTATTACATTGTATTACATTGTATATATTCCCTGTTGAATCCATAAAAAAATAGAGGCAGTTCGGTGGGGGGGGGGGGGGGTCCAGGGAGGTACAGGCAGGGCAGTTTTGGGCGGTACTTGGACTTATCTGTTAACGCGGCTCACGAAAATAATTAGCCATTTCCATGAGTCGGCCATTGTGCATTGTTGTGAATCCAAAGTGAGGCTAACCCTGTGAATATGATGTTTCAGGTCGGTTCCATTGATAATGACTTCTGTGGTACGGACATGACCATCGGAACCGACACTGCCTTGCATCGGATCATTGAATGTGTGGATGCCATCTCAACAACTGCACAGAGGTGAGAGGCTACCATCCCCAGCCTTGTCCATTTCTAGCCCTGATGACCACCCTCAGGGCTGTCCATTCCCAGCCCCGCTCACTTAAACCCTAACCTTGCCCATTTTCAACACCTTCACCCCTAACCCGGCCCACTTTCAACCCTAGGCTTGCCCACTTTCAACCCAAACTCTGCCCAACTTCAATCCAAACTCTGCCCAACTTTAATCCAAACTCTGCCCATTATCAACCCAAACCCTGCCCAACTTCAACCAAAACCCTGCCCATTCTCAACCATAACCCTGCCCAACTTCAGCCCTCACCCTGCCTACCTTCAACCCCATCCCAGCCCACCTTCAACCTTAGCCCTGCCTACCTTCAACCCCAGCCCTGCCTACCTTCATCCCTCACCCTGCCCATTCTAAACCCTAGTCCTGCCCACTTCCAACCCCAGCCCTGCCCACCTTTAGCCCTCACCCTGCCTACCTTCAACCCCATCCCAGCCCACCTTCAACCTTAGCCCTGCCTACCTTCAACCCCAGCCCTGCCTACCTTCATCCCTCACCCTGCCCATTCTAAACCCTAGTCCTGCCCACTTCCAACCCCAGCCCTGCCCACCTTTAGCCCTCACCCTGCCTACCTTCAACCCCATCCCTGCCTACCTTCAACCCTAGCCCTGCCTACCTTCAACCCTAGCCCTGCCTACCTTCAACCCTAGCGCTGCCCATCATCAACCCTAGCTCTATCTGCCCACCTTCCACCCTAGCCCTGGTTTGCCTAGCCCCACCCATCCCGGCCCCACCCACCCTTACCTGTTCCAAAAAAAGGGTAGTTTTCTCCATGTCAATGCTGTGAAATGCTTTGCACCATTTTACAGTGTCCCTGACAAATGGCAGAAACTGAACTGATTTTTACCCAAACTTCCAGATATTCGACCACTCATTGCTCAAACTTTACTTATTTTGTCCCTCGACCAGTCATCAGCGGACCTTTGTTCTAGAAGTCATGGGTCGTCACTGTGGTTACCTGGCCTTAGTGGCTGGTTTGGCCAGCAGTGCTGATTGGATCTTCATCCCAGAATGGCCTCCCGAGACCAACTGGCAAGATAAACTCTGCAAAAAATTGACCCAGGTAAGAAACTGCATTAAAATTGCACTATATTAGGGTCCAGTCAAAAATAGTGTCCACCCAAAAATGTTAAAAGGGAATATACAACGTTTGCAAACATCAAAAAAACAAAACTACCAAATTATCACGAAATACCTTACTGGACTGTTGCTGAATGACAGTCTAAAGCATCCTGTAAGGCCAGGTTTGCCTAAAAATTAATGGAGTATGATGGACTTGGGCCCGGAGGCCTAAAGCAAAATCTGAATTGGAAGTAGTGTGATTGATGGATTTTGGCGGACTTGGTCCAGTACTCAGTAAAGACAGTAGGGAGTTGGGGTTAAAATTAAAATGTCCGCATATTTTTCCCCCTCAGACTAGAGAGTTTGGCAAGCGGCTGCATATTATCATTGTTGCGGAGGGTGCCAAGGATCAACAGGGCAACCCTATCACAACGCAGCAAATCAAAGATGTAAGTTGAGTCATTATCGGGGTTATCTTGTAAAACTGGGCCCACTGTTTTTCCTGTGCCTGTTACAACTGTGTAATATTTTGTAAATCCAGCAGCCGATTTCACGAAACTTTACGCAACGGCATAAGTCCACTTACGCCACAATTTATCACGCCAGTTTCAGTTATGACAATTTCACGAAAGTTTCATAGTGTGTAAGTCCGCGACTTGCGCAACAAATTATGGAGTAACTTGCGCAATCATTTTAAGGGGCATAAGTTGTGGCTTAACGACTGAAAATGACTTACCAGCAAATCGTGATCATCGTGGCGCCAGTTATTGCACAACTTATCAAGGTTGATACAAGACACTCACAGCTTAGTATTTGAAGTAAATGAATTGCTATTTTACTTGTCCATAACACTTGCAGTGTAATGGTTTGTATATGTGAAATTCATTCTATTTTTGTCTATTGTTTCCCAACAGTTGATAGTCACACGCCTTGGCCATGACACGCGAATCACCGTTCTTGGTCACGTGCAGCGCGGAGGGAATCCCTCGGCATTTGACAGAATTCTAGTAAGTGTTAACTGAGACTATTTTCTCTGAATGAGGCAAAAATAGTCATGTTGTATTTCCCGGTTTCACTATCAAAAAAAAGGAAGAAAAAATGGTTAGATTTTTAATACAATTTTGTTTTTGGATGGTCAGTTCAAATGCAATAATGCAACAGGCATTGCTCAATTTTTTGTTATTGCAGCTTTTAAAAACTTTTTAATGTACTGTAAATATGTTTGGATATTTGTTCATATTTTTCCAGGGTTGTCGTATGGGAGCTGAAGCTGTACTCTCATTGGTCGATGCCGATCAGGAAATGCCGGCCTACGTGGTTACCTTAGATGGCAACAAGGCCATCAGAACGCCCCTGATGGATTGCGTCACTAGAGTAAGTGTCTTTCCTAGAAATGCCAAACCCTCGTCCAAAATTTTGCAAGTATTAGTCAAAATGTTATTCAGAATTGACTCTAAATTTCTCTTGCAAATTAGCAGTGGAAAAACGTCCGAAGTGTCAATAGTGATGAACTGCAGTGGTGAATTATTATCAACTAGTCTTGTAGTCGAGTCCATCACAAGTCGTCATAAGTCATCACAAGTCATCACAAGTCAATCACAAGTCAATCACAAGTCATCACAAGTCAATCACAAGTCAATCACAAGTCAATCACAAGTCAAAACAAGTCAATCACAAGTCAAAACAAGTCAATCACAAGTCAAAACAAGTCAATCACAAGTCATCACAAGCCATCACAAGTCATCACAAGTCATCACAAGTCAATCACAAGTCATCACAAGCCATCACAAGTCATCACAAGTCCTCACAAGTAAATCACAAGTCAATCACAAGTCATCACAAGTCATCACAAGTCATCACAAGTCAATCACACGTCATCACAAGTCATCACAAGTCAATCACAAGTCATCACAAGTAATCACAAGTCATCACAAGGCAATCACAAGTCATCACAAGTCCATCACAAGTCATCACAAGTCAATCACAAGTCATCACAAGTCATCATAAGGCATCACAGATCATCACAAGACATCGCGAGTCATTCCTTCAATTTCTTATCATGTCTTTTCTTACAGACACAAGCGGTTGCCCAGGCTCTAAAGGAAGGCAAGTTTGAAATGGCGGCTGAGCTAAGAGGAAGGTTCGTTAATGTTTTTCTTTTCCAAACTGTTTTTTTTTGTCTCCTGGCAAAACAACTGGCTTCCTTTTATTCTGATCTGGCTTTCCTTTATTCTGATTTGTTACCGATTGGAAACGAAGAATGACTTAATGGTGAGCGATTGGAATGATAACTCATTAGCATGTTTACTACATTGTATTACATTGTATTTATTCTCTGAAAAGTTCATAAATGTTCTTCAATGACAAGAATACTCCACATTTTTACCATTGAGGGTATAGTTACGCAGAGAGTCTATATATCAATTAACTCATTACTCACAGATCAGGTTGCATTTTCCTTTTTACCAACAGGAGCTTTGTAAACAACCTGCGTACATACCTAACCTTGACTCGCCTGAAACCACCAGACAAAGTCTGCAGCCTAGACGGAAAGACTTGCGCGGTAATTCACTTCAATAATAACCTGAACTCCGAACACAATCCTTAAACAATCCTGTCGTCGCTCAGTTATTTATTTATTTACTTTTTATTTATTTTATTTCTTTCTGGTAATGAAACCAAGGATTCCTCAAAAGTACCCTAGGCACTGTAGCTCGCAAGCCTGAAGAAACCTGTGGAGAGAAGACAATGAGAAGAAATTACAGTTTTAGAGGTGGGAGGAAAAGCCCAGAAGAATATTCTGGGGAAAACCCATGGAATCAGGTAGGGACTGAAAACCCAATCCACATATTGGCCCAGGCGGGATTCGAACCCGGGTCACAGCGGTGGAAGGCGAGGAAAGTACCGCTACGCCAACCTGACAAACTATGCATTGAAATTATTTTTTACTTTCCACACAGGATTCAGTTATACAGGGTGAGTAAAAAAAAAGCGGAACCCAAACCTGAAGAAATATATTTCATATTTAAAAAAACGTTGTAGCACCAAAAATAATTATGATTGGTAAGCCAATTTCACAAACTACTTTTAGATGAAAAAATTACTTCAATAGCTCAATATATATCACCATGTAACGAAATGACCCTAAAATCAGTTTCATCCAAAATAGCGATTGATTGTGTGTTCTGACTGTTTGGAACAACAGCAAAAATGACACAGAATACTTGTTTCAACAACTGTAGTACACAATATCTTTATTAACAACCTTGCTTTGGCGAACAATAGGATTTATAAAATCCACTTTTTTTTAAAGACTGGCCTTCAAAAGGACTTTGTTGAATATTTGTAACTTTTAAACTGAGGTTTTATCGCTGGTGATGTTTGAAGACAATTGTGACAACAATGCTTGAAATCAAATTTTTGGACGAAACAGATTTTAGGGTCACATCGTTTAAATGGTGATATAATTTGAATGGATTGAGCAATTGAAGTAATTTTTATTCATCTAAAAGTAGTATTAAATTGTCTTACCAGTCATAAATATTTTTGGTGCTACATATTTTTTATAAATATGAAATATATATCTTTGGGTTTGGTTCCACTTTTTTTGACTCACCCTGTACCGTGGTGAAAATCAGGACAAAATATATTTCAAGGAATTTTGATTTGAATTCATCATTTGGAGTCCATATTCAGTACGGCTCCTCATGACATCTGCGTTAGGCCAAAAAAAAAAGTCTCCAGTTTCTGGTATGGAGCTTGCCCAAAAAGTGGTGCGGCAGCGCGGCTTTTTTTTTTTTTATCTGTTTTTTTTGCTTCAAATGTCGGCTGAGGACTGCAATTGGTGCCCGACTAAACTTGGTGAAAATATATGGGAGTCCAAAGAGGCCACATAAAGCTTATTCTCGATCATATCCCAATCTAAAAACACGTTAAAATTGTGCAACAGCAGGATTCCAGTCAAACCAGTGAGTTTGGCAGTTTTGAGACATCATCTTTTATTGAAAAAAACTTTTTCATTTTGCCGACGCGCATGGCTACGGCGACGCGCGCGCATACCAAAAACCGGAGACTTATTTTTTTTTGGCCTTATCTTTCTCTATTTCAGTCCAATATGAACGTTGGCGTGATGAACATTGGTGCTCCCGCAGCCGGCATGAATGCTGCCATCCGTGCGTTTGTCAGGACGTCGCTGTTCAACGGCTACAGCGTGCTGGGAATCCATGATGGCTTCGAAGGACTCCTCGAAGACAACGTAAATATGGGATCTTATTTACTTTTTTTTTCATTTTATTTTTAAAAGTTTTTTGGGGGGGATATATATCGTGGTCAGTTGTATTGGTGTGCTGAAAATAACGAATATCCAAATAGTTGATCAGAGACCGTTATTTCTGCTATTACTGTTAAGGCCAAAAAAAAAATAAGTTGGTCTCTGGTCAGCGCGCGCGTCGATTTTAATCATGCGCGTCAATCTTTTTTTTCTTCAAAATGTTCCGCGGTAGCTCCAACAGCGCCCTCTATTGCCGCACCTCCTCATTTTTTTTCTACCAAAGAGCACCAAGGAATGGGAAATTGCACCAAGGCAGATGATCAAAAGCACCAAGGCAAATTATGGAGGACACCAATGTACATGAGGACACAAAAAAAGCAAAATTGTACCCACCTTGTCTGTACAATCCAAGCTCGAAGAAAAAAAAAAAAAAAAAAAAAAAAAAAAAAAGCCGCGTCGCCGCATCAATTCCGGAACTTTGGTCTGACCAGAGACCAAATATTTTTTTTTTTTGGCCTAAGTAGTGCTATGAAACTGGGCCCTGTTCTTAACAGGCATGCAACTTTTCCTCGGATCAGCTGAATGCCTCTTTTTTTATTCTCATTTCTGCCATTCAAAATTGAAAATCACTGTACAAAGTCTTCTGAATTTAGGAATTTCCTCTTTTTTGGTGAGTTTAGAGTTGCATGCCTGTCTTAAACAGACATGATAGTTTTGTGTAAATTTGTGATGAAATAAAGCATTGCGTCTCTGACATCTTGCTGAGCTGTGTGACCTCTCCCCTTTGACCTCTAGGTCCACCATATTGGCTGGATGGACGTGGGGGATTGGGTCCGAATCGGTGGCTCATTGCTGGGAACCAACAGGTAAGACTAAAAACAAGGGATTCTCATTCAAAGCAAAGTTGTGTATTTGAAGCATCTTCTTACATGCACAGAGACTGCAGTGCGTGAAAACCAACCCCAAAATTAAAATCTCGGAAGTTGCTGTTAAGATTTTAATTGGCATTCTCTGGTTCTTGTGAACGGACTTCTGATTTACTTGTGATGGTCTTGTGATTTACTTGTGACTGGACTTGAGATGGACTCGATTACACGTATATCTTGTTTATTATGTCAATGCTATCACTTAGAAAAATTTAGTGATGCGTGTACATGCATGTAAGGTAACATTTTGCTGTGCAACTACTTTTCATTTACTTTCCCTTTTTAGAAGAATTTATATCCCCCCCCCCCTTTTTGTGATCTTTTTTGGAACCCTTGTGTCAAGCGTTGCCATGTTCTTTGTTTTCTCCTATGTTACAGTGGTCTGTTTCCAGGGAATACCAGCCCAATGCCTCATGGGTATTCTTGTTTTTTTTACGTATTTGAATTTCTCATTCTGTACATGTCGTGCAGATTCCAAAATGGGCATTTTCTTAGTTGGGTTGTTGTGTTTGCCCCCCGGGCAAGTGGCCACACTGACCTGGGTCTGGTAGCCCGCCTGCTGAAGTGCATTCTGTAATGGAAGAGATTGGTGTACTGATCGGGAAGTTCCATTACCAATGTCCACTCTGTAGCTGTTTAAAAACAAACTTCTACAGAAACTGAATAAAAATCAAATACCTTTCATCCGGTACAAATTGACCCACCCAAGTGTATGCTATATACATGTACGCCTTTAAATGTGTCTTTTTTTTTCATTCTGAGCCTAAACCATTTTGTTATTTTGTACTGACTGAATGCTTCTGCTTAATACCCAAGCCAGCAGAAATGGGGGTACTGTGGGTGCACCTACAACTGTTTGGATGGGGTCCTAGAATATACTAAAGCACCCCCTACTCCCGTGCAAAAAAAAATGCGTTCAAGCCAGTGTTCCAGCCAGGCATTAAATAGCTCAATGAAGGCTATCGTGCTGTTACGCTATAAACTTTGCTTGCTTAAAAAAAGCTCCTTCCGTTTTTTTTTTTTTTAGCACGGCGACTTTGAACGTCTCGCCCAGTCTGTACGATTATTGATACAGGGCGAAGCGTTGACAATTAAGCGCTGTTCGATAGATAACAATTTCCAAAGTCTATTTCACAATGTCGTCATCCACAATTACGGTATATTTTTTACCTAAAAAATGATTCTCATATAACTCATTATTCATATGGACGAATTCTTGATATTATTCATTAACTAGTTCCTTTTTCTTTATAACTGTTTGTAATGATTAGCGTCAAATGTTGAACGATATTAAGCACAAAGCCCAACTATAAAATGCTCAATTTGGAAACATAATCAGTGCAAACGGTACGCTAAGGAGCTACTAATCACAAACGGCTTAACCATTGCTACTGGCAATTCATCTTTTACTTTTTTGTTCATTATTTTTTGCCTGCCTCAAAAACTGCTGCATTCTTTTAAGAATTCTTCCATAGAAGCTAACAACAATGGCAATTCCATAATTCCTTTTTTTTTAATGAAAGTCTGTTATAAACTATCGTCTTTCTCTTAAACTTAGATTTTTTCCCTTCGCTGGTCAAGAATTTCTCACTTTTGCAATCATGTTGATGTATCTGCCGACTTTCATGAACTTAGTTGTAAATTTTGCTCATTTGGTTTTGGCATATTTTTTTAACTGAGGTTTCAAAGGGTACGGGCAGATTTGAAATTAATCATACGGTCACGAAGATCAGGCATGTAACTGGGACTTTTGAAAAACGAGGAAAGTCCAAACCACACAAGACTTTGTAAGGTATTTTTCAATTTGTAATGGCATTCATGAGAAGTAAAAATACGAGGAAATCAGCGGATCCGAGGCAAAGTTGCATGCTTGGAAGATATAGATCTGAATGATTTCCGTTCTTTGGTTCTGGTTTTTGTTAAATGAGATAATGGCTTGAGTGAAATAAAGCATGGTATGGGGTGGTGTGTTGAAATAGAAATTAACCCTTTTTTTCAGTTTGGGCTGTAGATGGGAGGGGGGGGGAGGGTGGAGGGGGGGGGGGGTTTGAATGTACGTACAAGGGAAGTAATGCATGAGAATTGTGAGTATTAATCCAAGAGGAATGAGTGACTAACAAGGCATGATTAACCTTAACTCCCTAGGCATTTTTGCTAGGATGCAACCTAGAATTTTTTTTCTTGCATGTTGTCCTTGGAGGGGTGACAACTGCCTCAATCCTGCAAAATCCTCCAGTAATCACTGCCCATATGTTGAGGCAGAGCCAGTGACATTCTGGAGCAGTGCAGGGGATCTCAAGTATAATCTAGGACTAAATTTATGCACGGCGGAGCATAAGCAACACAAGGTTTAGCCCAAGACCTTGACACAGTGCATCCTGCAAAATCAGCCACACATTTTTGCCATATAGCCTCAATCCTGCAAAATCCTCCATTTTGCAAAGAGGATTTGGAGGATTTGCGAAGGTTAGGGCTAAAAACAGCTCATATACCATTGCAGTAGGATACGCACTTCTAAGGTTCTGTAACTAATACCCATTACACGAGCGGGCGCGACGGTGTGTGCAAAATGCACTGAGATAAAAATTGTCAACTTAATCTGAGTGAGAGCAATATAATCGCAAGTTAAACCTGTTGGAGTGTCTAATCTTGTAAAGTAGTAGAACTCTTTTTTTTTACTGAGGCATCCTGCTCAATACACGTGTGTCTCCCGTGCCAAAGTACAGCTTCTAGGCTAGTCTTGTTTCAAGAAGTTGTTGTATATGGGATACGCGATCACCCGCCGTTAGAGGGTGTTATCAAAACGAACCACTTTCACCCACGAACCGCTACCACATAAGAAACAAAATATGTCTGTAATTGCGGTAAAATTTTGTAAAGTCTGACCATATTTTGTCTCATTACTATTTGCCATTATAAGTCAGCATTGCACCAATGCTCAACATTTGCACCTACATGTACATATACAGTAATTGGTCAATTACAATCGAAATGTTAGTGATTTTCTCCACTTTTTTTCTCAGAATTTTTTTTAACTATTATTTTTGGGTTTAAATGTCTGTAATTACTTTTTTTTGTAACCTTTGCAGAATGACACCGGCAAAGATTCTTGACAAAGTCGCCGAGAAATTCAAGAAATTCAACATTCACGGCTTACTGGTGATTGGGGGATTCGAGGTATGGCAAATCACCGAAATAAAAAAGAGGAAATTCCAAAATACAGACTGAAGTAACTCACTTTCTAATGAAGCCAATAAGTTTGCTGTTTTATAATTCAATTTGTGACTTTGGATTCACCTGCTTTGTATGTATATGTGGAGTGCCATTACCTTGTGGTCTGCAACATTGAACTCATGGTCTGTGGGTAATTCTGCAGGTTGTGGGTTCGAGTCCAGCCTGGGTCATGGTGCGTGTGCCCTTGGGCAAGGCACTTTGTCACTCATTGCTTCTCCCCACCCAGGAGTAAATGGGTACCTGTGAGGGCAGAGATGGTTATTGTGGTTGATCTTAGCTGCTTTGCACCAAAATGGCAGCATCGAGCTGTATACTCCCCAGGGAGCTGAGATAGTATTTTGAGTGTTTCATTGGCCTAATGAGCAGGGTAAAAATGATGTAAAAGCGCTTTGATCTAAAAACACTGAAAAGCACAAAATGTAAAAGCACTATATAAAGTACCCATTATTGTCCCATTTTTGAATGAGTAAACTGCCTGAATCCTTTTAATGATAGTTGTCCAAAGTAAGGCCAAAAAAAAAAATAAGCCAGTCTCTGGTCAGCGCGCGCGTCGATTTTAATCATGCGCGTCAACCTTTTTTTTTTCAAAAATGTTCCGCGGTAGCTCCAACAGCGCCCTCTATTGCCGCACCTCCTCAATTTTTTTTTACCAAAGAGCACCAAGGAATGGGAAATTGCACCAAGGCAAATGATCGAGGGCACCAAGGCAAATTATGGAGGACACAAATGTACATGAGGACACCAAAAAAAGCAAAATAGTACCCCACCTTGTCTGTACAATCCAAGCTTAAAAAAAAAAAAAGCAAAAAAAAAAAAAAAAACCGCATCAACGCATCAATTCCGGAACTTTGGCCTGACCGGAGACCGAGTATTTTTTTTTTTGGCCTAAAACACATGTTTTTTTAACGATTTATATTGATCAACAGAGTTAAAGATCAAATAACCATCCACAACAATGAATTTTTTTTCTTTTTCACAGGGTTATCAGAGCATCATTGAGATGTCGGAGGCTCGTGATAAGTACCCATCACTCTGTATTCCCATGGTCATCATCCCAGCTACGGTCAGCAACAATGTGCCAGGCGCAGACTTCAGTCTGGGGTGTGATACCGCCCTCAACGCCATAACAGAGGTACGTTATACGTGTGAATACATCTGGATAGATAGACAGCAAATCAATTACTTAAAAAAATATGCCGATGTACACACGGTAATCTCGATACTACAACAGGCGTTTGAAAAAGTTGATCAGCGGCCCATAACGTCTATCGCCACATGCAAATTTTAACCGGCGCGCTTTGCATGCAACTTTTGACCGGAGCGGCACAAAGTTGCAGCTGGCACGTATAAAACCTGATCGGTGAGTTTCGAATATTCGATGAAACTTTTCAAATAATCAAATACTAAATTATTCAAAAATAAACAGCCTTAACCCTTGGCCATTTTATGCTGCTATAGTAAAGATATTACCCGTTTTTGCTCATTCAGATGAAAAATTGTTTGCACGTACTTTGCTATACAATGCCACACTTACTATTTACGCAAACCAGTGTGCAAAAGCGTTGATGTGTCCTACACATTGAGCTCATGTGAGTAGTCAAGCGTAGTGCCATCTATTGTTGAACGCCTACCTTGATTGACTTTTGACTTTTAACCTTTGACATCTCCAGGCGTGTGACAAGATCAAGCAGTCGGCCAGCGGCTCCAAGCGCCGCGTGTTCATCGTGGAGACCATGGGCGGCTACTGCGGCTACCTCGCGACGATGAGCGCCCTCGCTGGTGGTGCTGACGCCGCATACATCTTTGAGGAGCATTTTGGCATCGCGGACCTGCAGGCGGACGTGGAGCATCTGAAGGCCAAGATCTCGGACAATGTGCAGAGGGGACTGCTGCTCAGGTTGGTCAAGTCCATCACAAGTCAGATCACAAGCCATCACAGGTCATATCACAAGCCCATCGGAAGTCAAATCACAAGCCCATCGCAGGTCATATCACAGTTCATATTACAAGTCAAATCACAAGCCACAAGTCAAATCACTAGTCAAATCACAAGCCCATCAAAGTTAAAATCACAAGTCAGATCAAAAGCCCATCACATGTAAAATCACAAGCCCATCAAAAGGTAAATCACTAGCCCATCACAAGTGAATCATAAGCCCATCACAAGTCAAATCACAAGCCCATCTCAATTGAAATCATAAACCCATCACAAGTCAAATCACAAGCCCATCGCAAGTCAAATTACAAGCCCATCACATTTCAAATCACAAGCCAATCACAAGTCAAATCACAAGCCAATCACAAGTCAAATCACAAGCCCATCACAAGTCAAATCACAAGCCCATCACAAGTCAAATCACAAGCCCAACATAAATCAAATCACAAGCCCATCACAAGTCAAATCACAAGCCCATCACAAGTCAAATCACAAGCCAATCACAAGTTAAATCACAAGCCCATCACAAGTCAAATCTCAAGTCCATCACAAATCAAAATCACAAGCCCATCACAAGTCACAACAAGTAAAAGAGGTCACAACGATTTCTCATCTCTTTGTTTCTCCTTTGATCCTCAAACGTCTTCTAGGAATGAGAAAGCCAACGCCAACTTCTCCACGGATTTCATCCAGCGGCTGTTTGCTGAAGAAGGCAAGGACGTCTTCACCACACGCAATAATGTGCTGGGACACATGCAGCAGGTTGGTTTATATGTCGGTATTGGATTCAAGTCCTCACAAGTCCTCACAAGTCCTCACAAGTCCATCACAAGTCCATCACAAGTCCATCACAAGTCCTCACAAGTCCATCACAAGTCCTCACAAGTCCATCACAAGTCTTCACAAGTCTTCACAAGACCATTATAAGTCATTTTGTCCCAAGTCAAGTCCAGAGAAATATTGTTCCTGTTAACCTGTTCGCGCCGGATGACGTGTATACCCACAAAGGTTTTGCGGTATTCAGAACGAATGAAGGATAAACACGCAGTGAGCGAGGCCGGAAATTTCTGTCAGCAACTCGCTCGCAGCGAGCTAGGCCGAAAATATCTGTCAGCAACTCGCTCGCAGCAAGCGAGGCCGGAAATATGAGTGTGCTGCCCGAGGGTGATGGCTTCAACCCGCCTGGCTTGAGGTCAAGTGAAAAGAAATCCCGCGCCTCGTTCCTTTCTTGTCAAAATAAACCCAGCGTGAATTGATTCAAACCCTAGATGTAAATCTGTCCTTTTCTTCTCCTTTCCAGGGAGGCTCACCATCTGTGTTTGATCGTAACATGGGCACCAAGCTTGCTGTCCGGGCATCGGAGTTCCTCCGAGAACAAATCGAGAAAAACGTGAAAGACGGTAAGTGTTACTGACTCTAACAATGAAATTTTAGCTCAAATAAACCCAGAGGGAAACCAACTAGTTGTGGAAATTGTTGAAGTTGAACAGAGAAATTGGCTGGAGTGTGGGTTTGAACCTGCGACCTTCGGATTGCCGTTCCGGCGGTCTACCAACTGAGCTATCCAGCCTTATGTTGACGGTTAATATATTTGTCCAAGTGGCATTAGCCAGAAGCCTCCAACCCATAATGCCGTACAATTTTGCTAGGACCATTCCTGAATCCTCCAAAATCCGTTCTCATTCAGCCGATTGCAGCTACGCGATGTCACACACTGAACCAACAAAATAGCAACCGCGCGCGCAAGTGCGTCATGTCTACACTTGCACGCACCTATTCACAGCTTCGCCGAATTAAAAACGAACTACTAACAGAAATTTCCAAAAATGCGTCTTTATACACATCTTTGGAAATGTCTTCTTTAATTGTTTTTTCAATATGACAGCATGCCAGAAAGAATAATTTCACAGGGAGTTTAGTGCCATTACTATCTTTAAACCAATGCTTTTCAACAATAATTTCCTAACTTATATTTTGGAAAGCTATAAATGATATACTCGACTTTTAAAAGTACCTTGTTGCGTATTACCCACCCCGAAAAAAATGGTAATGTGACCATTGTGATGTTCGTTGCCCTTTGCCTACAGGTGTTGTGTACACCAACAGTCCAGACACGGCCTGCTTGCTGGGCATACAGAAGAGACGTCTTGGCTTCAGGCCAGTCCAGAAACTGAAAGCAACCACCGATTTTCAGTAAGTTTGCATCCCTTGGATGAACACATTTCAACTCTTGCGAATGTTTTGTAACTAATAATAATAATAATAATAACAAGCATTTACAGAGCGCTCTTACACATAAGGCATCACAGCACTTAACAGCAAAGTAAGTTATAGAAAAAAGACTCAAAATAAGTGAAAACAGTGAAGGCAGTTAAGGATTGAACAGAAAAGTCTTGAGACAGTTCTTGAACCCTTGAAGTGTTTGTGCTGAGCGGATTTCCCTCGGAAGACTGTTCCAAAGACGTGGGGCATGAGCATAGAACCCACGTTCCCCTATCGAAGAATGCACTTTAGGAACTACAAGCAGTGTGTTGTCTGAACCGGACCGAAGGCCAGGTCGTCTGGGGTGGTACACGTCAATGAGAGTGGTGAGATATGAGGGGGCGTTGTTATGGAGACATTTGTAGACTGTGGTGAGGATCTTGAAGACGATTCGGTGGTGGACCGGGAGCCAGTGAAGTTGATGCAGGAGAGGTGTATTAACGTGTTCATACTTCCCACATTTGTGGATTCATTTGGTAGCATGGTTTTGAACCCGTTGCAGCTGCTGGGCATCTGAGGACGAACTTCCTTGAAGCAAGGCGTTGGCATAGTCAAGCCTTGAGGTGACGACAGCCCTGCACATATCCCGGGACCCAATTTCATAGCACTGCTTAACAGTTAGCAGAATTACTATAGCAGAAAATTATGCTGTGCTTAAGCACTATTTCATGGCGTGGATGTGCTGCTTGATTTTACTGTATTTTATAACTAATATCCAAATTTTGTATCGTCTTTTTCAGACATCGCATCCCCACAAACCAGTGGTGGATGAAACTCCGCCCACTGTTGAGGATCCTTGCCAAGCATGCCAGCACGTACATCGTGGAGTCAGAGGTACAAGAAACCTGCTGTGAATGAAAGCGGGCTGCGTGTGAGTCCTTAATTCAGCCCAGTTGTCAACCAATACAAATTGCCTGAATTCAGAACAACTCAGAAATATATACCATTAACTCTCGTTAATGCAACCTTGCCCTCGCAATTATTTGCACAATAGACCTTTATCATGCTGCCACCATTTCAGCCATGTTCCCTGTATCCAGTAACAGTACTGAATGATAATGTTTATTGTGCAAATAGGAACCAGACTATTTTTCCTTTCAGCCTCACTTTGGTTATGTTGATTTGAATGGGAAAAAATCAAGATGGCCGCAACGTGATAATGGTCTATATTTTTTTGGACAAAATATACACTTAATCTGACTGGCATACCACTCAAATAAAAAGGTCTAGTTGTTCCCTTTCATTTGATGCCACATTTGACGTTGTGATGCTTCTGAAGTTTTCATAAATTTTCCAATTTTCAGCCATGACCACTTTCTCGTGGCATTGCCCTAATTTAATGTACATATATTTGGTTGCAGTAAACAAATGTAGGCATAGGTTAACAACTGTCATTTATTTTGTATGACTAACATTTTATCATGCACTTCTGATAATCCCTTGATATGCTGCACAATGTGTGTGCAGTTATAATATACAGTCGACTCTCGTTAGTACAAACTCTGTTGATACAAAATTCTGGTTATAACAAACATAAACATAAAACCTTGGTCCCGACTGTGCATTTATGTGCACAAGGAATGGGACTGACGTTCCTCTTAATACAAAATTCTGATATAACAAACAATTTGGCTAGGTCCGAACGAGTTTGTATTAACGAGACTCAACTGTATCTTTATTGATGTATAAAGTTCAAACACTTCCTGTGAGTTAAGCCCGGTTCATTCTTCACGTGGAAGCAAGTGCGAAGCAAAATTCATGTCGTCAACAATGGTGGACGTGCTTCGAAGAGTGCTTTTGAAGAGTGTTGAATATTGCATGCAGAAGTCTGCAGTGTCGTGCAAACGGTTACTATTGGACAGAACCTTAAAACAGCGGTTGTGTTTAAAACTCCGTAACTTAAAAAGTACATGAGTGATTTGAATGATTTTTGTACTAAAAGAAAGCTTATGAATTGGGCTTTCATATCCTAGATTTTGAAAGTGCTACATGCAGAACTTCACTAAAACAATGGTCCCGACATTTCGGTTTTCAGTTTTTTTTACTCACCCTGTACAAGAAGCACATCCAAGAATATATACTAGATCTGAAATTGGATGTGTCCAATTTATCTCCCTAGAATAGAAGCACACAGTTGTTCAAAATATTTTGAACTTTGAAGTGAAGTTTTAAATTTCAAATCTAAGTAATCTACTAAAAATCAAGCTTGAATAAACATTGAGCTGGAATGTTATTTATGTGGTGTCATTGAGTGCTCCTGAACCCATAAAATTCAGCTGGTGTAAGGTTGCTAAAGACTCACTTTGCATTCATCTCTGAAAGAGGTATTTGATAAATTTCGAAAAATTTAAATAACTTTCACTTGATATGCACTTTTTATATATATTTTAGTTGTACTTTTATTTTGTTTATTGTGTATAGGAGCTTCACCATTGCCAGACATGCATAATTTACACCGCTAAATGTTAATATTATGTTGTAATATGGTGACTAAGGCTAAGAAAGGTATGTCTAAAGAAAGGTATGTTTAGCCTTTGGTGACTTTAACACCATTGTACTTTATCATATGGCAGCGTATTAACTGCTTCATTATGTTCTCTCACTGACATAAGCATGCACAAATTTTGATAGTTGTTATTAATGCCTCGTAATTTATTTAAAAAGTCGAAATTTGTTGTGCTTGAGAGCGTTTACCAAGCACTTTTGCCTAACATTTAACATTTTGACAGCCTTTTAAGTAAACAATGTGTGACAACTTAATCTTTTTCGTGAAGAACGGTCTGAAATAAGAATATTTTCTTGACATTCTTTAGAAGTATGCCGTAGTGGAGTGTTTTTCTCTTAAACTTTGTTTTGATCTGAATATTTTTTCCCACACATTTGTGCCAAATATATTGTCAAATATGACACTATTATTAATGTGTTAAATTGTAACCTAACTTGATATATCAGATTACCAAAAATGTATTGAAATAGTTGCGTATTGGTGAAAGTGTCCATTTCTGGGCTCTGTGGGTAAAAAAATATGTAAAATCGTAAAATATATGACTGTCTCTCACCTTGCTATATGCTCTCAGTAACGTATCACGGAGCAGTCTGTTTAGTATGCTAATTTGAAAATTGTTGGACATGTTATTCATGCTTTCTTCCAAAGGCAAAAGATCTATCCCTTAAGCTCCGCCCATGGTGTTTCCACCAATCAAACCCGTTCTTTATGTCAGACTCGCGTGCACGTGCTTGTGACGCGCGCGCGGGGGAGGTGCACATGTTGTTAAATTGTACGTCCACGTGTTTAGTGGGCGGGGCTTAAATGGATCGTTCTATTATACACCGGGTGATTTAATGAATAAAACAGTAAAGTACCAACTATTCTTTGTAATTTGGACAGTATAGATATTGCACATCATTGTTAGCATAACTGTCTTTCGCGTTAAACGCTTTCGACTTGCAAATGCAGTGTATACAAAGTTAAGTGCTATATAGCAATAAGTATTTATAGAATAAAAGTGAAGTGATATTTATTGTAAATATTGCAGAAATGTGATTTCATAACTTGTGTTCAGTGTGTCGGCGTAGGGCTGTGTGCGCATACAGTGATGACGTTTTGCAAGGAAATCTTTTACCTCGATACCTAACCCAACAAAATATTCAGGAAGAAAAAAGAAGGTGCGGAAAATAACCCACTCGCCTTGAACCCGCTATCTGAACACGTCTTGGTATATCGCAATACAAATCGTGCCCTTAAATATGGAATGTTCCAAATAAAATATGCATGCTTAGAACTCCGATGACAAGGGCAACAAGATGCTTAAAATTCCAAGTCCTCTGACCCAATAGTTTGGAGAAAATCGCAGATGTACTCAACTTGACCCGCTAGTTTCAATTTGTGCAGGTACGGTATAAATTGATGATGTATCGCAATAAAATGCCCTTGAAAATGGAGCATTCCACAATACACGCTGTTAAGTAGGGTGACAAGATGCAAAAAAAAAAGGACAATATTTCACATCCAATAGTTTTGGAGAAAACCGCAGGTGTAGTCAACTTGACCGGTAGTTTCACTTCATGCAGTACACGCAATGCACAAATTTAAAGTTCCGAAAACTGCACCCCCTAAATAGCGCCCTCTATATTTACAAACGCAAATTCACTCTTGGAACCACAATCAAGATGGCCGCGCCCATGCGAATTGAGATGAGGCAACGTACTACCACCAATTTCTAAAGTTGTGTTAAAGTACAGCTAGAATAGAGTTCACTGTCTTGTTATGCATGAAATTGATTAAGAAATGTTCTTAGAACTAAATAGTTACATTGGATTGGATGCAAACGACCCACCGAAGGTAAATTATGACCGGAGAAAACTGCTATTTTTGTTTAGTTGTAAAGTTGTATTTTGTATAGGCCTATTGGTAACAGGTCATCTCGTACCTTGGGCAACTCGTACCTTGGACAACTCGTACCTTCAACTCGACGTCATTATGCCGAGTCGTACCTTGGACAACTCGTACCTTCGGCAAGTCGTACCTTCAGTTAAGACGACTCGTACCATCACGCGTAAGTCAAGTCGTACCGTCAATCAGGATAATGATCCGAGGCTGAATAAAGTGGACCGTAACTCATTGAAAGTGGACTGCTTATTAAAAAAAAGGTGAATCTCTTTTTGGTATGGGCTCTCTTTCCCCCCCAAAAAGAGGAATTTATTTAGCGCGAAGCCGGCCGCGGCAGCTTACTGTGTGCGCGGCATGCCACGCGGCATCCGTGCAAAGTGACACGGTTCTTGCGCCGCGCTGACCGGTCAATATGGACGTCTGTGCACGGTGACATTGATGCAGTCTGCCGTTACGTTTAGAGACTTAGGCTACGTGAAAATATTATGGAACTGATGTTTTTATCCAAGATTCACGTCTTACCATTATTTTTGCAATGAATGACCATCATTGAGATGATATATATATATGAAGAAAAAAGTGGCGTCAGGTTGCAACATTTTTCCTATTATTGATCCCTACAATCGCCTGAACTACTTTTTTTTTTCCCGCAAAAATGATAAGACGTGAATCTTGGACTGACAAATATTTCCAATTACACCAAATCCGCATCTGAAGTTTCTCCACTGTAAAATTCAATCTATCTTAACTTATCCATTAAAAACAGAATGGCACTGCCGCGCGCGCCGCGCAGCTCGCAGGCCGGCCGCTTCCGAGTCACCGGCATCGGTACCGCGCACGACCGACCGCTGCTCGTGCCCTCGGAGGCCGGCCCGCCAGGCCCAATGCGGAAAATCATGCTGCCTGGCAAAGCCATTAGATCTTGAATGTGGTTCTGTGAGATAGAAATTAACTTTGACTTGAAAAGAATCATATCGTTTCGGAGTCAAGGAACCACACACTAAGTCACGCACGTACAGTGTACTCTACTTATTATTCTGATGGTACGAGTCGTCTTAATTGAAGGTACGAGTTGTCCAAGGTACGAGTTATCCAAGGTACGAGATGTCCAAGGTACGAGTTGTCCAAGGTACGAGTTGTCCAAGGTACGAGTTGTCCAAGGTACGAGTTGCCCAAGGTACGAGTTGACTCGAAAGCGGCCTATTGTAACTTTGCTATGTCAGTTACACGTCCACACAGCGGAAAGAGTTTGCAACCTGACGCTGTTTTTTTTTCTTAATAAATCATCTCAATGAAGGTTATTCATTACAAAAATGATTGATGATATTGATAAGACTTGAATCTGGGACTGAGATTGAGAAACGTGTCCAATTATTGTTAGGAAATACTTTCCTTGACTCTCAATAGACAACCGTTGAAGTGGCATCAGGTTGCAACACTCTTTCCCTCTGCTTATTTTTGAGAAAATGTTTTCCCTTATTTTTATTTGCGCCATGGTAGGGTCATCTGATTCTTGCCACCGATTCTTTGACCGATGGCAGTTTCCTCGTACATCATTTCCTGTCAGCTTTTCTGAAAGGTAAGTTTCAAACTTGAACAGAAGATAAAAAAAATTAAAACCTACATGTGCTGGTCGTAAATTTCACCCTGAAATATAAATTTTGTTTTAAATTACCATTTTTCTAGCAATAGGCCTACAATTTGTTAATCACTTTTGAATGAGACATTCATAAAAAACAAAAATGGCTAGGGTATAAGTAACTTAAGTTGACTCATTTTGCTGCCATAATCTGTCCTTGATTTCAGGTGGTCACCATGTTTATTTTCTAGCCTTGGCCCAGTCCTTCAGCCATTATAATGCTGTTGCACAGAAACTGGTGAGTGAGTGTCCCAGGCTTATGGAATGCACCCTTGATAAACAATTAGCCCTCTTACTTTTAGCCGTGTAAAAACCTCCCATTCTTGGACCACCCCAGGTGGTTGCTGAGAAAATAATTGGTTGCATCGAGCCTTCCAGATTTGACAATTTTAAACATACCTAAGATAGTTTAGCCATTCCTATTGGTCGAGAGCCTGTCACGTGGGCGGTTTTAAACCGCCAATAAAACACTGGCTCGTTTTGAACACTATTCCTGCGCTGCTGCATTCTGCGCCACATCGCGCACGTACAGTTTTTATCACTATGCGCGCACATACTGGCCAAAGGGGTGTTTCACAAAACATGAGGTAATATTGTTGGCAAATTGTGAATTTTTGACTTGTTTTGTCTTTTTGATCTGCTATGGGCCTGGTTGTGGATAATGACCCTTGCCTTCGGCTTGGACCAATATCTACGTCCAGGCCACCAGCCAGTTTTAAGTTCTTGTTTAGAACCCGCCACGCACATGTTTATTCCCTTATTTTAACCCCATTTCTGTAGGGAGTTAACTTAACCTCTGCCAGAGACAGCGGCCAGCTGACATTTATCAATGGTTTGGACTTCTCCCTGCAACTGATGCATGCTGGGATTAATGGCAGCCAGGAGGACGAACTAATCGCATTCCAGTGTCTCAGGTAACAACTCTTCTCACACATGGTCCGAGCGGGGAATCGAACCCGGGCCACCGTGGTGAGAGGCGAGTGCTTTACGCACTAGCCACCCATCATGGTATGAAGGCTGAAACATCTGTCTATGACATCTCTGAAAAAACAAACAAACAAACAAACAGGGGAGAGGTTTTTTGTTATGTGTTTTCCTTTCTTTTTATAGTCATGGTTTTATAAAGATTTGTTGATTGACTACAAATAGGGTGCCCTCTTAAGACCCCAGTCAGAAAGTGGCCGGCAAGTTTCTCAGAAATTTTATGTATAACACTTTTTTAATGTGTTTTACTGGACAGAGACAAGACGGCCACAATTCAGCCTCTCTACAACGTCATCCGAGATGCATTATCACCCAAACAAAGTGAACAGGGGAAGAGTGCGACCAGATTACTAATAATCGACGACCTAAGTGTGCTCATCTCCTTGGGACTCAGTGTTCAGCAAGTGATGCAGTTTGTGCATTACTGCCAGGCCTCTCAGGTTAGTGAAAAATTGTCCAGTGCTTTGTCTTCAGTCGCTAACTTTTGGTTTTCCATTCATTAGTCAGTTGATCATAGACCGATCAAGGCACAAAGATGTGTCTGTTGATAAGATAGTCAAGTCGAGTCGAATCAGTTGCTCAAAGTGACTCAAGTCAAGTTGTTTGCCAAAGGTCTCGAGTTGAGTCACTGAAAAATGCAACTCATGTCGGACTGAGTGGAGTCATCAACTAGAGTCATAACAACTCTGCTACTTGGGCGCGAAGTCCGCTATCATCGCCTCCTCTCTCTGTTTGTCTCTGTAGCCAGAGACGACTGTAGTTTGCCTTGTTCACCACGATGCCGATGTCGATGACGAATGTAACGCCGCTCTAATCACGCAACTCAGACACCGAGCTCACTGTCTGCTTCAGGTTCAAGGTCTTGGTAGTGGCTACTCTAAGGACGTCCATGGACAGGTAATGCGAAATCTCTCAACCAGAGTTGGAATCACAAGTCATCATAAGTCAATCACAAGTCATCACAAGTCCATCACAAGACAATTACAAGTCATCACAAGTCAATCACAAGTCAATCACAAGTTAATCACAAGTCAATCACAAGTCATCACAAGTCCATCACAAGTGTATCACAAGTCAATCACAAGTCAATCACAAGTCATCACAAGTTAATCACAAGTCAATCACAAGTCAATCACAAGTCATCACAAGTCATCACAAGTCATCACAAGTTATCACAAGTCAATCACAAGTCAATCACAAGTCATCACATGTCCATCACAAGTCATCACAAGTCATCACAAGTCATCACAAGTCAATCACAAGTCCTCACAAGTCATCACAAGTCATCACAAGTCATCACAAGTCATCACAAGTCAATCACAAGCTAATCACAAGTCAATAAAGATATTTAAAAAAACACACCACACATCGGTGCAATCAGCCATTCTTTTGTAACAAACATTGTTAAACAACGTTATTTATTTTGTATTCAGCTCAAGATCGTCAAGAGAGATCCAAGCGGAACCAGTGCGAACCGGAACCAACCGGACAAGACACTGCAGTACAAAATACTGGACAAATCGGTGACGTTCTTCGCTGTAGGCACCTCGTCGGCTGTTTTATGAAAGCGCAGCATGCTAGCTGAACTCGTATATATCATGTCGCATTTTGTCCAATAACTTTTTTTTAACACGGCAAATGTTTTTTGTGCTCTCGTCACTTTAAATAAAATACAGTGACTTTCATGAAGCCACACGATCTAAGGATTCAATTTTCTTGAAGCTATACATTTTATTCCATTGGTTTTAAGTGATAACATGATCATGTCTATATACTTCTGTGAATTAAAAAAATAATAATGAGTATATGGCCGAGGTGTCACGTCATTCTGCAGATGAACTGCTATTGTTGTATCATGGAGGAAGGAATTCACTGTGTAAAATTTAATGACATTAACGGACTGAAGGAAAGTCTACTAGTGTCAACGTGAATTTAAACATCAATTTTCTGCACTTCACATATGAAAAGAGTATTTTAAGCATGAAGGATGTGCATTAATCAGATATGGCAGCAAACTATAAATTTGCAGAAAATACCATTTTTGGTCGACAAAATTAGAATATACAAGTTCATGAAACCAGTCAAGCCATTTTTAGACAGTAATAAGCAAATTTTTCTTTTTAAATCAAATGTTCATGCTATAAATATATTATAATATTGGTGGAAGCGCCACATATATAAGAGATATGGGAAAAGTCTAACCAACAGTGAACCCCCCCCCCCCAAACATGGTGCACACCACGCCCAACCTTAAAATCCATGCTTTTGAGCAGTGGAATATTGTGCGGACTGCTGGCAAGTCTAGGGAATTTTACCGATTGACTGCTCACACAAAAGAGTTCCGATAACAATAGGCGCGCCCACACAGACCGTGCCGTACCATGCCACGGACCAACTACTTGCCGTTCCTCTTGACTGCTCAACAAAAGGCCAACACCCCAACTACGATCGCCATAAAATATGCGCCATACCACAGCCCAAATTTCTAATACACCCAAGTGAATCAGACGAGAATTGACTAAAGGCTGACTGACTTCGGGGCGGAAAAGGGGCCCATTTTGCAAGCATTTCTTGGGAATTTGTGTATCGAGTTTCTTCCGAGTTTCGGCGGGTTTCAAGACGACGATGTCGTGGGGGAGAGTGCCGCTTTCCTGGGCGCTGATCGCGCTCGTGTTGTGCTTGGGTTTTTCTTCGGTGGAGAGCAACGGATTGAGTAAGTATGGATAGTGATGGTACTTTCATGGATTGAATGACACATTTGGAAATGTGACCGACAGCCGTTACAAAACCCGAAAACCCTTCTTTAAACTAAGAAAAATGCAGAATCCTGATGCAAGTTTTGTGATTATATGCCATTGAATTGTACAACATTTTATGGGGAGTCGTGAAAATGTTCTCAGTATTTTCGTATCATGTTTTATTAAATTCATTTTTAATTTTTTTTTTTTTACATATTTATTATTTGCATTGACTGACCACGTTTTATTATTCTTGGGTCTATTTTCGGAAAGATTTCCATACGAAGTTCACTCAACACCCTGTGTACAAACCCTATGAGATTGGACTGAAAAATTCTAAGTGTTTTCTAAGAAAATACTTGTATTTTCTCACTGCTCAAATTGACTTTGATGACATGAAATTGCTATCTGGGGGCTTGTTAGTCAATACAGAGGAAAATTAGTGAACTTCGCATATGGTAATCTTGCCCTATTTTCTCCCTGCTTTCCTTCAATGTGTGGTTGTACAAAGTAATTAGGTAGTGCCAGGGATGCGTTCTTATCTTATTAGTTCTAATTATTTTAGAACATAAATGGATTATTATTGTTTCTGACAGGAGTTGAAGGTGGAAGAAACTGAGACCTTTTTACTTTTAGTGGAGAAATCAAACTTTTTAACTGTCGTGTAAAACATTGAAACCCTTGACTGCAAAAACAATTAATAACAATCTTGAAAGATTCCCATATTTGGCCAATAGTTTTAGTAATCCTTACCTTTAGGACCCCTTTCCTGTATAAGGTTAAAAGACTCACCAAAACAGCTGACTAAATGACCCTCAAAAGTGACATTCTGATATTTCTTGGCACATCTGAACATTTGGCAATCACACCTCTTGAATATCAGCAGGTTTAATTTTGTAGAAAGAGGGCAGGGCTTTGATTTATGAGGGGTAAAAGACGGCAATAACAAACAGGAAATATATTTAAAAAGCAAGATGGCGAACTGCCAAAAAAGGTAGGAAAGTCACATTTTCTTTGAAAGTGCTTTCAAAATTACAACTAACATGAGTTTATCTGAAGTCAAAAGACTGCTCTAGCCTGCAAAAGTCACTTTGGTACTGGACAGTCATCTGCAAAAGTCAGTTTTGAACAGAACTCGTACAAAATAGCGGTGTCCTAAAATTAAGGATTACCCTAATTTTCCCTTAAGGCTTCGACCTATCAGCCATCAGAAAGTGATGATATGTCCTAAAAAGTCAAATTTAGCTGGGAAAATATTGAAGTATTTACCGAGAAAACACTTAGAAATTTTCATTTTTCCAATTTTTCATTATCCGACTTTTTGGGATTGCAGTATCGAGGTGAAATTCTTTTAAACTTGGTGGAGACGATACGTTGATTTAAAAAAAAAGAAGTTTGGCAGGCATTATACAGTGTTTATCCCGTCATGTTTTATTAACATTGAGGTATGTAGACTCAATTTCATGTAATCTTTTACAAGGCCATAAGCAGAGAAACCTTCAAACAGTGATTTCCCATCACACTAGGTGTGGCTTGTTTCGATGACATAAAAAGTAAAACATTAAAAGCCTACAGACTTACAACATATTTAATGCATACGCCATCGCACTGTACCCTTTTCGGGCCTCAACAACTGTTTGTTATGCTAATTTGTACCACGACCGAACTTGGTAATGCATTCCTTTTTATGATGGTCTACGCCCAATGGTAATAATTCGTGTTCGTTGACCTGAAAAAGTTCACAAAAGATGTTTTTGTTCAAGTTTGGCTGACTCACTGCCTGAACTGTACTTTTCTTTTCCACGCAAACAGTATTGTTATGGCCTTCTGGTGAAAAAAAGAAAACTGGGAAAGAATGTTGCAACCTGACGCTGCTTCTGCAGTTGTGTACAAAGTCTATGGAGAGTCAAAAAAAGTTTATAAGTATTTTTCGAACAAAATTGGAAATGTTTCTCGGTCCAAGATTCATGTCTTATCATCATTTTTGCAATGACTGACCTTCACTGAGATGATATATGAAGAGAAAAGTAGCGTCAGGCTGCAACATTCTTTCTGAAAACTTTGCTTCGGTGTTTTTCGAACATGTTACACAGGTTTTTTTTTTTTTTTTTTTTTTTAAATCAGCACGTTGCAAAAAAAGTTTGTTTTGTAATTTAAAAATTGACAAAAAATAATTGACTATTAATGGACCAATTGAACTGCCTTTAAAAATCGTTCAAATCTGTGTTTCATTCTTGATATTGAGAGCTTTTTTGGTCCAAAGAAACATGAACTCTTGTGCTGGTTGTCATGCACATCGGTGCACGTTTCCTGAAAGGTATAGCGGAGGCAAGCAACATTTTAACATGTAACATTAGTCGTTAATTGTTATAGCATTATTGCAACTTTAACTTGAAGTTGTAAGTTTCTGATTATTTTGATCATCAATGCTTGCAGTCATGCATTTGCTGTATACTGGCTGCTTTCAGTGGGCCAGTTGTCCCAGACCAGTTTTTGTCGTTTTGTAGCTGGTGACGTGGTGATATCAAAATAAAAATCAAATAAGCCTAGAGGAAATCCAAGGCAATTAATTTTGCAACCTGGCAGCACTTTTTCTTCAATCATATACAGTGAAATCTTGATAACTCAAACCTCAAGGGAACAGGTTCGAAATTTGACTTAAATTAAAAACAGAGTTTTGACCTGTTAAGCAGGGTTGTATATAAATGTCATTACTAAAGGTCAGTCATTGCAAAAATGTTGAAAGGACATGAAACCTGGACTAAAAAAAACATTTCTAATTTTGTTAAGTGATACTTAGAAAATCTTCCCGACTCTCCATAGACTTTTTGTGGAATTTTAACTAGATCGGAAACCCAAGCCTTTATGCGCATGACATTAGAAATTTGCCCAAAAAGTGCCAATTAATATTTATGTTATAGTACATATTGACATGCCTTTAGTTGTAACTCCCCCCCCCAAAAAAAAACTTGTTATCCATAAGTCCAAGTAAACAAGTAACAAAAATAAATTAGTTTCTATCCATCGTTCGCCTGTCTGTTAAAAAAAATCCTAGAACTTAGAAATTAGTACACAATTATCTGTAGCCTTTATTATATTATTATTATTATTATGATTATTGATAATTTCTGGTAATGAAACCAATGATTCCTCAAAAATGCCCTAGGCACTGTAGCTTGCAAGCCTGAAGAAACATGTGGAGAGAAGACAATGAGAAGAAGTTACAGTTTTAGAGAGGTGGGAGGAAAAGCCCAGAAGAATATTCTGAGGAACACCCACAGAATCAGGCAGGGACTGAAAACCCAATCCACATATTGGCCCAGGCGGGATTCGAACCCGGGTCACAGCGGTGGAAGGCGAGGAAAGTACCGCTACGCCAACCTCACCTGATTTGTTAATTGCAGAAATGAATTTATGAACAAAAGGCACGGTCATTCTTGATTTTAATATTTTCATTTACCGTATTTACATTTTTTACCTCTGTTTAACCTTGAAATTGTTTAAACTGTCATGAATCATAAATGTGCTTTTTGCATCTACAAAATTATGTGTAGATTCATGAGAGTTGTATTAATTCCTTTATTCTTTCTATACCGCTTGTTTGTATCAATAGCTTTAAATAATTGTCCAATGGAGATCACAGCAGACCGATCCAATTTGGTGTACTGGGCCCCGCCAACGGTCAGCAGCACAAGTGGGGCGTACACACTCGTTGGTACCCATCAGTCCGGCCGTTATTACTTTGAGAATACGACAGTTACCTACACCGCTGAAGATGATGCAGAAACACAAACGTGCACCTTCGACATCATCATACAAGGTATGCCCTTGCATTGTGCTTGTGCTGAATGGCGCCCTCAACTGTTGCTGCATGCACCCAATAGACGAATTCAGGCACATGATCACTGACACGGTGGCCTTTATTGGAGAAACCATTGTGCACGCTATTCTACAAAGTCTATTCCATAGACTGCGATTTTGTGTCTGAAGGCAGTGAAATCAAATCAACCAACAGCTCGGAACCAATAATGCGCATTACATTACATCCCCGCAAACAATGCTGTAATTTGTAAAATCGAGTTAACCTTTGGAGTTGGTATGGCATTATCATATTATACAATTATTTACAATTATTTGCTGCCTCTTATAATACAACTATTTGCTGTCTATAGTGGTTAAGACGACTGCAAACAGCCGTCAAGTGAACTTGCTGACCAGTCTTGTTGACATGATGATTGATTATCCATGCCCTGCAGCGAGGCCAGCTTGACTTACTATAAGGATTTTATTACACAACCATGCGGTTCTTGTCAGGGGGCTGGGGTTTGGCTAGGATTTTCAGGGCCAGTAGTTCAACTCTGGTTAAAGGGGCTCTCAACACTTTTAAGTGGCTATGTTTGAATGAGGAACTTGTGAAGTATGACTTTTTTTCACCAACAAATGTCAGGTGACTGAAAAATTAAGCAAACCAAAGTGCACTTCACATTTTGTCGGCTGCACGGTTATTTTTTTTTTTTTTTTGGCAGACAATGGCTCCCCTGTGATCACCTCCTGCCCAATGGACATGACGGCCACGGCCCCCGCAGGTGCCACCTCGGTATCTGCCTCCTGGACTGCCCCGACGGTGGAGGACTCCGCCAACGTAAACGTCAGCCCGGACAAATCCCCCGGGAGCCAGTTTGATCTCGGCCGCAACGTTGTCACTTACACCTTTACTTTCACCAACAATGGCGCTGCAGAGATGTCATATTGCAGCTTTGACATCTTCGTAGAAGGTGAGTTTTAAAAATCTAACCGCCCTGAATCCTTCAAAATCCTCTTTGCCAAAGTGGAGGAATTTGGAGGATGGAGGTTACGTAGCAAAAGTGCGTTACTGATGTCGTAAAATGCACTTTGTCAAGGTCTTGGGTCAGACCTTGTGTTGTTTTTGCTCAGCCATACGTGAATATACGCCTGGATTATGCTTGAAGACCTCTGTTTTGCTGCAGTCTGTCACTGGCCAAGCCTCAACATATTGACAGTCACTGCCGCAGGATTTTGCAGGATTCAGGCAGTGGTCACCCCTCCATGGACCATATTCAAGAGATAATGGAGGAATTTGCAGGATTGAGGCTATATGCTATTTTTCCCTGAGGCCAATTGGAAGATTTTGCAGGATTGAGGCTACATCCTAGCAAAAAGGCCCAGGGAGTTAGGGTTAGTACAGCTTGTCATTTAGGAGTGTTCAGTGCCTACTCTATTTGCATTTTGTTGTTGTTTGTTTTGCAGGAGGTGGCTCAGTTTCGACCCCCAGCCTGGTCTGCCCTGATCCAATAACCATCACGCTACAGGTCGGTCAGGACTCGGCGCCCGTGAGCTGGGACGACCCAAGGTACCCAGCTGATCTAGGCAGTGTCACGACGGTCTGTGCCCGCAGCAAGAACGACCAGTTCTTCCAGGGCCGAAACGAGATCAACTGTGTGGGCTACTTCGAGAGCGGGGTGGCTAAAATGTGTTCCTTCCACGTGCAAGTGAATGGTAAGCAGTGGAGTTTAGAGGGCCTATGTACTAGAATTTGTTGTAATGCAATCCTTGTAATGTACCTGTGGGATTTAGCAGGGTAGTCCTACGGGACTACTAGGGGGTTAGAGTTTTAATTAACGCGACTGATTTTAATGCACATTAGCTTTTAATGAGTAGACCACTTGGGATAATAACGTCGAGGCAGTGCAACAAGGTCGTAGCTCGATTCTGCAACAAAGTAGCATCATGCACAAATACGCTTCGTGCGACAAGGTCATATCTTGGGCAAGCGCAGTTCTAGATCCTATATTTTAGGTGGATCCAGAAATTTTGCAGGGAGGCTTGCTCAAATGTAGACTGTAGAACCGCGCCTGATCTCGCGTATCGCAACATCCATTGACTTGGTGTATTCATCCGGGATATTTTATGCAAGATACAACCTGTTAATTCAAAAATCGCGTTTCACTAACATGACGTCACACACCATTTCAGGAGATTCGACCTTGTTGCACGGACATGACGATAAGTTCTTTGATGCTGATTCTATTATCCACCCACCCCCCAGCTAACCAGGATGACCAGGTCCCAAGCATCATTGACTGCCCCAGTGACTTCACGGTATTCGTGGCTCCAAACGCTATGGGCGCAACGATTACCTGGCCCGAGCCCACCATCATCGACGACAACCAGCAAGATCTTCAGCTGGTGTCCAGCCACACGCGCAACATCTTCTACAACGTGGGCAGCTACGACGTCGTCTACACTGGAACCGACGTCTCCAACAATGAGGTTGAATGCAGTTTTCAATTCACCGTGGAGAGTAAGTCCGTTGTTTTGTTATTTCTTTTTATTGCAAGTGGCTTGGGGTAGGGCCGTTAGAACTCGCCTTTGCATTGGGTACCACTTGGACCCCTTATTCATACACCATGAACTACATCACAGCAGACGACATTTGTCACCCATACCAAAACAAAATACCATAAAATTGATTTTACATTTGATGTTTCTGGGAAACACATTTGTTTTTAATAATGGCCTGATTTATTTATTTGATTGTTTGTTTGTTTGTTTTTCTTGTACACAGATGATAACTCGGCTCCAGTATTTACAAACTGCCCAGCGCCCTCGTTGACAGCGTATGTGCAGGCGGGAGAGACGTCTGGGACCGTGTCGTGGCCGCAGCTCACCGTCATCGATAATGCTGATGATAACGTCGAGCTGAATGGCCCGACGGAAGAAAATCTAAACATGACCGTCGGCGAGACTCGCAACGTGGCCTACGTGGCCACGGACAACTTCGGCAACACGCAGAATTGTCAGTTTACGGTCACACTCCTGGGTAGGTATAAGTCACATGACCTAGTCACATGACACGGGCAGCCACTCATCACTGTTGGTGTTTGGTATGTCCACTGGCAGTTGCGCTGGTGGTCACATGACATACATGTACATGTAGGTGACCAATGCTACAACGATGGTCACATGACGTAGATGACCACATTCAATGGAGGGTCACATGATATTGTCACATCGGAATTGTCACAGTGGTTGAAGTGTTGCCAAAAAAGAGGTTAACCCTTTCCTTACCATGGGCCACTTTTGTCGACAAGGAAGTACCCCCCTGCTGCTCACCATAGGCGACTTTAGTCGACCAGGAAACCACACACAGAACACCCTTAACACAGATATATGCACTACTTTTCAGCAAGCTGGAATGTTGGTATGTTTTGCCGCCCATACATCAACCATATACCAGCAGAAAGAGTGTTTTCGGATCGTTTTAATGGTGTAGTTTATTCAGAGTGTTACCATTACAAAAATTTAGGAAAAAGGCTTCAAAAATATCCACCCACAATTTGAGGTATGAAGGGTCATGTGGTGAAATGGCTTGCAGTTTGATAAATGGGACCAGATGAACAAAAAGGCATAACTTTCTTATATTTGCACATTATGGCCTTCTTTTTGAAATCACATAAAAAAGTAAGGTTCAAGGAACAAACTTTACACACAACACCTATGTTTTAATCACTCCTTGGTAGTGAAATTCTAGGTTGAAAAAAGTGAGTTTTCGATGTGTGGTCAATTTTTTTTTCACGCTGTAGGCCTAGTGATTTCGCATGACTGAGCAAACAATTTGGTCCTGAGTCAAGTCAATATTAACAATGTGGTAATGAAAGGGTAAATAAGAGAAGACAAAAGTAATGGCCATCTTTTCTGTTTTCAACAGTGGACCAGGTCCCGGAATACACAGGCTGCAGCATGGACACTACCTACCCAACCAACAGCGGGGTCAACTACACCAACGTGACCTGGCCAGAGCCTCTGGTCACAGACGACCTGAGCAATGGCAGACTGATACTCACCAAGTCCCACGAGCCGGGCATGCGGAGAACGATTGGGGTCTACGTGGTGGAGTACACGGCCACGGACGAACGTCAAAACGTTGGCATCTGCAGTTTTGTCATCACGGTTGCAGGTATAAATTTATATCTGTTAAACTTTTATTGGTTTTTAATGTCTTAATGTATTGGTGTAAATGGTGCTGGTCCCCCGAGGGCTAGCCTGTTATCCTCTTTGTACCTATCGCACTGACTGATTGACCGACTCCCCGACCAACTCCCCGACTGACTCCCCGACCAACTCTCGACTGACCCCCCCGGCCAACTCCCTGATTGACTTCTGACCAACTCCCCGACGTACTCCCCGATTGACTTCCCGAACGACTCCCTGACCGACTTCCCGACCGACTCCCCGATCGACTTCCCGACCGACTCCCCGATCGACTTCCCGACCGACTTCCCGACCGACTCCCCGACCGACTCCCCGACCAACTCCCCACCAACTCCCCGACCGACTCCCTACTGACTCCCGACCGACCGACTCCCCGACCGACTTCCCGACTGACTCCCGACCAACTCCCCGACTGACTCCCCGACTGACTCCCGACCGACTCCCAGACCGACTCCCCGACCGACTCCCCGACTGACTCCCGACCGACTCCCAGACCGACTCCCCGACCGACTTCCCGACCGACTCCCCGACCGACTTCCCGACTGACTCCCGACCGACTCCCCGACCGACTTCCCGACTGACTCCCGACCAACTCCCCGACTAACTCCCCGACTGACTCCCGACCGACTCCCAGACCGACTCCCCGACTGACTCCCGACCGACTCCCAGACCGACTCCCCGACCGACTCCCCGACCGACTCCCCGACCGACTCCCAGACTGACTCCCCGACCGACTTCCTGACCGACTCCCCGACCGACTCCCCGACCGACTTTCGACCGACTTCCCGACCGACTCCCCGACCGACTCCCCGACCGACTTTCGACCGACTTCCCGACCGACTCCCCGACCGACTCCCCGACCGACTCCCCGACCGACTCCCCGACCGACTCCCCGACCGACTCCCCGACCGACTCCCCGACCGACTCCCCGACCGACTCCCGACCAACTCCCGACTGACCCCCCGACCGACTCCCAGACTGACTCCCCGACCGACTCCCAGACTGACCCCCCGACCGACTCCCCGACCGACTCCCCGACCGACTCCCGACCGACTCCCCGACTGACTCCCTGACCGACTCCCCGACCGACTCCCCGACCATTTATGCAATATATTTCTCTTGGGTGTACTGACCCAATATGGCGGGGAATCGTTTAGCCTTGGCGGAGGTTTGTGCTCTCTGACGCCTTTCAAATTTGTTTATGCAACATTTGATTTTTTTTTTTGCATCTTCCATATTTTTCGCCCACCAGATCAGGAGAACCCCGTGCTTGGTACTTGCCCCCCGTCGCAGACCATTGTCCTCGGCCAATCACAGGTCAGCACAGATGTCACATGGACCAATCCCACGGCGATGGACAACAGCTGCGGCCCCCAGCCCATCTGCGGCACCGTAACAGTCACGAGCAGCCGCAACCCGGGATTGTTCACCCAGGGAGATCACTCCGTGACAATCACGGCAACGGACATGGCGTTAAGGACGGACACGTGTACCTTTGTCATTTCAGTTATGCGTAAGTACAGTGGAATCTGTCTAAAGCGATTGCACCGTGGAAATATTACATGTAAAATCGTCGGCTCGGTGCTATAACGTCGTTATGGCAATTTTGGCCAAAATGAGTTTTTGGTTGCATGTTATTAAGCTATCAAAATACTTGCTTCTCATACAAAATCATTCGTTTTATCTGTTTAATTGTATTAGAAATTAACTAATTGATAAAGGGCCTTAGTTTTACTTTTTTAGTTTTACTAACGGATAATGACCTTTTGTTTCATCATGCGATACCTATTGTATCTCCATAATGCGTTATGGACAAAAGGTCACTAACTGGTAACAATTAACCTTTTGTTGCACACGACACCTTAAGGTTTGGACTACAATAACCGTGTCTTCTCAGAAAATAACAAGTTTAAACACACAACAAAAACATTCATTTTATTGAAATATGGACAAAAATCTTCCCAACTAACATATTCAGCGTGCTTGACAGATTGCTTTTACAAATTTCCTTGAGCACCAAAACTTCAAACTGTATTTTCTCAAATTCATAAAAACCCACTTAAACAACCCTGTAGCACCGAGGCGACGATGGCCAGCATATAGTGAGTGACACCTCCAACCCCCCCCCCCAACCCCCCTTCAAAACTCCAGGTGGTTATTTGACCTTTTTTGTGTTTGTTTTCTGCAGCGTACATTCCGGACACTACCCAGCCTGTGTGGAGCGTCTGCCCAAGCTCAATTTCTGAGAACACCGACAGTGGGCAACCGACGTACCAGTACACATGGGTCGAGCCCACAGCGACGGACGATCGGGGAGTTGTTTTCCGGTTTGCCTCGCACAGTCCTGGCTTTAATTTCCCTATCGGCACTACAACCGTCACGTACCGGGCAAGGGATGCTGAGGGCAACGAAGGAGTCTGCACTTTTGATGTAATTGTGGCAGGTGAGCTAGATGCTTATTTCGGTAATCCTTACTTTTAGGACACCTCTATTTTTTTACGAGTTCTGTTCAAAACTGACTTTTGCAGATGTCTGTCCAGTACCAAAGTGACTTTTGCAGGCTAAAGCAGTCCTTAGAAGTCAAGAAGGTGTCATTGCCAATTGTTCAGATGTGCCAAGAAGTATCAGAATGTCAATTTTGAGTGTCATTTAGTCAACTGTTTTGGCGAGTCTTTCCCTTCCTATATAGGAACGGGGTCCTAAAAGTAAGGATTACCCTTATTTCTTTTTCCCAGGAGGGACGGGGCCAAGTCATGCATAATGGGGTCTTATTCACGAGTCGGCCATATTGAATTGAAAGTCTTAATATTTGGAACTTGCGGAGAGAAATGAAAGCAAGTTCATTCCTAATTAATTCCAGTCTGCTTCAATGAATAAATTTAAATGTGTGATTAAAAATGCCCTAATGTGTAAAGCCAGATTAAAAAAAAAAAACAATAAAAAATAAGGCTGCATTGTGCCTGCATAATAGTCTGGCGCCATCCCATTAAACAGTTAACACTTAGTGACATACATTCAGGGAACTCGACAAAAATGGCCAATTCGTGAATAAGGTCCATTCAGTTTTTCCTTGGGATCACTGCAAGACACTTAGGTTCTCATTCTCTTTTTTTTCTTCCCTTAAATAAAAATGATCTCAGCGATAAATTTCACGGAAGTACGAGCTCGCCGTCCCTTTCACAGCTCACTCTTCATTTTTTTTAACAAACCCTCAAATTCATGGCCCACAAAACGCTCATAGTAGCAGAGTTGTGATTTGGCCTACATAGACAATTTTGGGCTGCACCCCAGGCTCTAGGCATTGAGGGTAAATCCAAAGAAAAGTCAATTCAATATTTATTCATAAATACCTAAGACAGTTTACGCATTCCTATTGGTCGAGAGCCCGTCACGTGACCAGTCTTAAACTGATGATAAAGACATGGCTAGCTGGTCTTAAACACTTTTCCAGTGTCACAATAAAATGTGGACTCCTAAAAATCCAGTGCCTCTTATCGTTTCATTGGTTGAACGTTCACAATCTTCACACAGGCATGCGCAACACTACCAGGAAGTCAGAGTTTTAAAGCTCTAAATTCATAACGCAACTTGCAGGTGCGTTCTGCGCGACATCGCGCAGAACATGATATGCGCGCGTCAATCTCCATAAAAGGGTTGTTTACATCTTACTCGCCAGCTGAACACTCCATTATTTTGCAAGAGGGATGTTTCAAAAAGCATAAGGTGAATTTGTTGAACAAAATCGGGATGTTTTGAACGAATTATATGATTTTTTTTACCGAAAAGGTATTTATGAATGGGAATAAATATGTGCTCCGTCGGTATTTCTCACTCTGTTTAAAACCACTTAGAGTCTGGGTGCTGATAATTACCCTCGCCTCCGGCTCGGGTAATTATCAGCACCCAGACTCTAAGTGGTCTTAAACAGAGTGATAAAAACCTCCGAAGCACACATTTATTCCCTTATTTAAATCAAGCTTTTTCTGTGTCTGTTTCTGTTTCTTTCAGATAATGAAGCCCCTGTGTGGACTCCTAACACAGGGTGTGGTTCAACCATCACCCACTACGTACGCACTTCCGGCAGCCTGACGCTACCTGTACCCACTCCTGCTGCCACAGACAACTCCGGGGTCCCACCCACCATCACGAACACGCTCACCACTCGAGAAACGTTCACCTTCACCACGGATATAGGGTCTTACCAGTTTCAGTACACGGCGACAGATGGGTCCAGCAATCCAGTGAGCAATTGTATGGTGACAGTGACCCTCATAGCAGGTTCGTGTACCCTTCGTCTGATTTGCTATAAACAACTGTTGAAAATCATCTACGTCGATGCAAAATCTGATTGTCAAAAATATTTATCACAATTGTAACAGGCTGTACTCGCGAGCTCAAGGTATAACGCAAAGTTGACGCAATAAAGTAGACTTCTTTAAAGTACAGCTGCTAGAGTTTGCAAGGGTCTCGACAGAAGCCTTTAATCCATAATCGTCGTTCTTGGCTCCGTAAAAACCAGTACAAACAAATAAAATGCAGATAGATTCACAATTAAGTACTTGTTAGGTCACGAGGTGAATACATGTACATAATAATGTAAATATCCAAATCCTAAGTGTGGCAAAACATCTGGTGAAAATGTCCCTAAAATGCATGAAAATACATTCTGCAATCTCATTACACCAAAGAGAATGTATCATTTACCTCCTTGCATCCTTTAGTCTACTGTAGGATTCGTAGTAATCGATTATTCTGGCTTAATCTTCCCAAAAGTTGCAAGTTTCATGCACAAACATGGTTTCTACAACATGACGTTGTTCGTTTGTTCAAGGCAGGTATTCTGTACTCCACTAAGTACACTGCTTGAAGGCACTCTGACAGTCTAAGGGTGATTCATCTGCATCAACAGCAATTTTAAGGCCATATCTTCAGTCCAGTGCCTTAAATGGCATTTCTTCTCCATTTTGATATTTGCAGACGCCAATCCGTGGACTTTGCGAGGCTCTGTCACGCTGACGCGCATCAGAGGACAGGCCGGTCAGTTCTCCAACGCTGCAGCTCCGCAACGGCTGACCGAGTTGATGGAAGATGTAAGTGCCGTTTATGCCTCGAAACGTTTACACTTTTTGACCGATAATTCAGCCTTCCCCCATCCCTTCCAATTTTCTTTGCTACGTATCTTTGACATTAAATAAAAAGTGTTTTCCCTCCCTCCTCAAATTATTAATTTTTCTCTCCAGAACTTGAATGATCTCATTCACAACTCCACATTTGTCTCTCTGGAATTTTGAGGGACCCCCCCCCCCCCCAAAAAAAAAACTGGAGGAAAACCATTCAACCCCCCCCCCCCCCCCCCCCCCGCAAAAAAAACCCTGAAACTTTTACTGAAATTGCTTAATCCGTTCAAAGAATATCACCATTTGAATGCAATGACCCTAAAACCTTTTTCGTCCAAAATAAAAATTCAATTTATTGTGTATTCTGACTGTATGGAACAACAAAGAAAATGACACAGAACCCTTGTTTCAACAACTGTTGTACACAATATCTTTATTAACAACCCCGGTTAGGCAAACAATATAATTTTAATATAAAATCCACTGTTTTTTTAAAAGACGGGCCTTCAAGAGGACTTTGTTGAATATTTTAACTTTTAAACTGAGGTTTTTATCACTGGTGATGTTTGAAGACAATTGTGACGACTCTTGAAATCACATTTTTGGACGAAAGAGGTTTTAGGGTCATTGTGTTTAAATGGTGATATTCGTTGAACGGATTGAGTAATTTCACTAATCATTTCACCTAAAGGGAGCTAATGAAATTGGCTTTCCAGTCATTATTATTGTTGGTGCTACATATTTTTTTGAATGGGAAATATAATTATTATTTTTGGTGCTACGTATTTTTTTTAATGGGAAATATAATTTTGGGGTTTGGGTTGTGCTTTTTTTACTCACCCTGTATATCCATCGTCCTTTTATCATAAAATACATACAAGATAAATATCACATATTTACCCTTCTCTTGTTTTTCTTCTCCTAGATGGACCGATTGTTCCGTGGTTCCGATGTCCGTTCCCACTTTGTCGGAGCCGAGTCCATCTCCCACATTTTCACCGGCGGCAACCCAAGAGTCACCTTCCGACTTTACTTCAACAGGCTGCGTGAGGGCCGCCACACCTCCAGGCAAATCGCCGATGCTTTCTACAAGGCCATCGGCAGCACGCTGAGTTTCGCCACCAATAATTTTGTCCTCTCGGGTTCTCTAGACTTCCGTGAGTCAACGACTTCCCTCATCTTCTTAGAGTTTATTCTGGCAGCATCCACAATTTCTCAACAGTTCCCAAGACACAGGTGGTCTGAACAAAAATGGAACCTCATACTTCCACCACCTTGAGACTCGAACCACCTGTACCCATTGATGGAGAATCCTTTTAGAAGAATTATGATACCAAAATATCCCGAGTCGGTCCAGTAGTTTTTGCTGCAGAGCCCATTTTGAGAAGGATACTTCTTTCATGTGGGTATTATTAGATAACAATCCCTCTATCAATTACAATGTAAGTCGAATTCCCGGGCACAGTTTAGTAATTCATCTGGACAAAAAGGACCCCCAACTTGCTTCCACAAAATAGGCTCACAGAAATGTGTTTGTACTCATACTCGTTCTCAGAGAACAACTGCGGTATGGTATGTTTCCGATGGGAACGCGCAGTGTTCCTAAAAGAAACCTTCCATACAGAACGGGAACATTCTGAATTTTTGAGACGCTACTTAAATGTGTTTTTAAAATACTTTGTCCATGAAATTTTAGTTTGAAACTTTTATAGAACATTCTAAATACTAGTAGCATCATAGGCCATGTTCGCGCAAGGACTATAGTTGACCAATGGTTAACTAACATTTGCCCGAACTCTGTCTAGTCGACGGTGGTTGACTACGCTAGTCGACTATTTGGAACCAACCTACTGGGGTTGGTTGCTTCGCTGGTAACCAAAAGCCGCGCGCATTCATAACGCTAGCAGAGAGCCAGGATCCAGAAGTTTTGCGATGACATTTTGACCAGCGTTCGACTAGAGACGTTCGCACGTTGCTATCAGTGCGCAGGCGTAAGGTACGTCACAAATCAACCACTAGTCGACTAATGGTCCTTGCCCGAACTTGGCCATAAATTTACAGAAATCTCAAAATCGCTGAAAATTACCCACGTGTCATTTGCAGCTGTTTCTCTCATTCGTAGCTGTGCCCAGTTCCACCTGTTTGCCCGTACTCACCTTCAACACTTTTATCTTTGGCAGACGTCCGTGAGTTTAAGATGACGTCTACCATTGTTCGGATGGGCAGCACGGTGAACCCACCCTTTGTCGGGCAGTACAACGACGACAGAAGTTCACTGTACATAGGCCTGGAAAATAATATCAACCAAGGGGTATGTACATGTATATTAGGAATATGAGATATTGAACAACGCTTGAATTAGCGTCATCTTATCGGTGGATCATTGATCACGGGTCATTAAATTATTCGTCCCGGCCGTACTGAAAAAAAAGGAGTTCCATTATTGCACGATCACACTTTTAGTGGTGCGGTGTTGTGTAAAACTTAACATGAATGTTTCACAATCGTGCAATTGGAAGAATGATTTCATGCCAGTGGCAAATGGAATGTCCCATTCTTCTCAGGTTCTCCTCGCGGATTGGAACATTCCTTCCCTCACCTCATGATATTACTCTTACCATTGCACTCATAAACATTTGTTATTTGTGTAATAATCTCCAGCAAGCAGAAATGGTCGAAGTTGAAATGTGTTTAAGTGATAACCAGAGCTGGTACGGATATCAAGATGCGAGTGTTTTTCCTAATCTGTGGATTTAACCAACAATAAACTGATCTTCGTTTCGTTTTTTTGTCCATGTCAACACAGATGGACAGCACCTACAGTGGCTTCTTTGGCTACCAAGTCTCGGTCTTAATCGACCTTCGCGATGGCAGCATCATCAACGATGTCGTTCTGGTCTTTGACGACGGCTCGCAGACGACGGAGGCGGCCATTGTCAATCAGTTCAACAACGCACTGGATACATCGGGCCAGCTGCCGGGAACCGGGCTGTATTTCAACGCCATCCTTACCGTTGAAAACCAAGGTAGGTATAGACCTTTCTATACCCTTGGTTGGCAAACTGCATATTTTGCCGACCACGGGTTGGAAGGCCCAACACTGCAAAAATGAAGAAGAGTTATCACGGATAACCAAAATATTATTTGATACTTGGAAATACAACATTGTCAACAGACATACAACATAATTTCTACACATGCCTTTTTACCATGTATTGAAGGCATCACAAGTCATCATGAAACTTTAGCAACGGGTGGTTTGCCCTTATATTCCTTGGGGAATTAATAGCCATCTATCGCTCTTGAACATTCAAACACGATGTAACCATGGGTCGTTTGATGTTCGGGAATTAAAAGTGGCCCAAATAGTGTTTAATACATGTACAACCGGTAGATTTTTTTGTTAATCTGTTGACTTTTTTCAACAACAATGTTCGGTACGTTTTGTACATTAAAACTGGGAGCCATGATGATGTTCGGTATAGCCGAATGTTCAGTATAGTGGTGTTCGGTATAGCGACAGTCCACTGTACATGTAACTGGGACGCAAATAATTGGACCTCAGATTTATGGAATGACCCAGTTCACGCTCTAATGAAATAAAATTTCCCTTCGTCTACAGAGATTTGCCCGGCAAATGAGTGTCAGAACGGGGGAACATGTACCTACAACGCAGCCTACACCAATATGTGCACGTAAGTTAGTGGTGGGATGGCCATCCATTGACCACGTTTGATCCTTTAAACCTAACCCTCGCAATTCCTTACAAATTACGTTTGGAGGTTTTGGAGAATTATACAGTCCCTATAGCCAGTCAGGTCATCTTTATAACCTATCCTTATAACATCGCATCATCATTGGAATCCCTCATTCTCTTGACGATGGGCAGAGCAAACTGTTCCAAACATTGAGTCCCTCCGGTTCTTTTCAGAACCATGCACACATACTCACAAAAGAGATTTATTCACATGGTGCTACGGCAAACTTATCTTGTCTCGATCATCTTGCCTTTCATTGTTACTGATTGTTCATTATCCTGATTCAGGGGCCACATTGTGGCATGACCCACGCCCCTTAGTGCAGTCCCTAGCCAATCAGATCATCTTGCCTTTCATTGTGACTCATTATTCATTATCCTGAATCAGGGGCCAAATAGTAGCATGACCACGCCCTTTAGTGCAGTCCCTAGTCAATCAGATCATCTTGCCTTTCCTTGTTACTCATTATTCATTATCCTGATTCGGGGGCCACATTGTGGCATGACCACTCCCCTTAGTGCAGTCCCTAGCCAATCAGATCATCTTGCCTGTCATGGTTATTCATAATTTATTAAACTTTTTCCCTTGTAGGTGTGCCGAAAACTACAGTGGAACTAACTGTGAGACTGTACCCACCACACTTAGTATGTGAATATCTGTATTGTGAAATTTACATTAATTTATGCATTGGCAATGCATGAATATGTATCGAATGGAATTCCTTCCAATAGCATAGTAGTGATAGAATTAGCAAAATAGAAATACAATACGATTTTTAAACCAAGTCACATCATTTCTAATACACCCTTATGTGCGACTTAATGTTAATGCTGCAAAAACGGACGTGCAATTGACTGCGAGATTTTACAGGAAAACAGAATATCCGGGAACCATGTTTAGGATCTACAACGTGTGTAGCGTCCTATTTTTCCATGAATTTGTGTCCAGACAAGGCTTATCCAGTCCAGGGCAATAATTGGGCTCTGTGCAAAGCAAAGAAAGCAATAAGATTAAAAAGATATTAAAAATATTACGAAACCCCGCTCCAGTCAAACCTTGATCAACTTTGACAACAATTGAATTGAATTTTTTTCTCCTTTTGTACGTTCCTCGCAGACCTATCGCCTTTGGCCATCGCAGCCATCGTAGGGGGCGCTATACTGCTGCTCTTACTCATCTTAGCGCTCTTCTGTTGCTGCATGTACTTCTGTCGCGAGCCCCTCGGACCGTACAAGGACCACCGCTACATGGAGCGCCCGTTCCAGATCGTCGACGATGAGGAGAGCGTAGTGTCCTCGGTGGACGTCTTCATGATGCCGAGGGTAAAGGGTTTAGGGCGGACTTCTTGCCTCCTACGGTGGTCCATGATGTTTCGTTAAACTTAGGGGAGGGGTAAAAGACTGTTTGCTTGTATGTCGTTGGACCATGGTGTTCCATTAACCTGCTAAGGCAAAGTTCATTCCCCGCGCTATTTCAGAGTTCCATCCCTAAAAATTGATTCCTTTTCATAATCGCTAGTTTTTCTAGCAATACAAACGTTATTATATTTTTGAGTGAGACATTTACTGAAGCAAATCAGCCCAAGCTCAGATATTGAGTTAGTCCATTACACATTTTGAATTAATTCTGTTTTGTTTAATTCTGTTCGTGGGGTAGGCTGGTTCCTGCCCCGCAATCAGTATCGATAACGTACGGACAGGGAACCAGTCTGCTCGCAAAAAGAAAAACCTTTTTTTCTAGACAGTTGCAGACAGCCAAAAACTAAAAAGGTTTTTTTTGTTGGAATAAAACATACAAATTGAAAGTATATTTCGGGGGGGAAAAAAATTGAATTTGTTGAAAAGCACGGGGAAAGCAACTAGAGCAAAAATTGCCCTAAATATCCAAGGTGCTGCACTTCAGTCAACAGTTTGTATTGAATTATTAAAGGAATTTAATCCGCAACTAAACCATCACTGTAAGATTGTAAAATTTGGGCGATTACTAATGCAGTGCGCCACCAAGAGTTTGCCACGGAGAGTTCATTTTTCCCAGTGCATTGTGGGAGATGGTCGACAAATTTGCAGCGCGGGACATTACAGTGTATGATTCAAGTATCTGTTTGCCTTTTTTCTTTTCTTTTTATCAATATGGTGTTTTTTGTAAGGCGGCAGAACGCTATGCCCCAATCTATAACAAATTAGCTCAAGTTGTCTAATGACACTCATTCAAATGCGCCAGGTTTTGTCGACGGTTAACTTGAAAAATGGACCATTGCAAACTCTTGGTGGCGCACTGCATTGTGAATCGCCAGATTTTTTTTTTTTTTTTAACAGTTTAAATTTCGCATGTTTTTTAAAATTCTTCCAACAGGAGCGCCCGTATCGTGATTCCATGCCCCTGGCCCTACCCCCGCCAGCCCCAGTCCTGGCCCTGGAGCCTCCCCCACCCCCAGAAGCCCCCATCCTGCGTCTGGATGACGACTACTACCCAATGGAGGAGGAGATGTACGGGCGACACAACAACGCCTTTGCGATGGACATGTACCGATCACCGGACATGGACACGTACCCGTCAGATGCACCGTCGTTCTCCCCCGATGGGGAGGTCTACGTCACGGTAAGAAGATATTTCTTTGGTAATATTTGCACACTTAATTTGGTATTGCAACTGCGTGCATACATTTCAACAATTTCGTCAGCTTTGAAGAAACACTTTAAGGCGTTCACTGCAAATTTTGAATTTCTCTCTGACAGGGCCCGAACCAGGTAGCCATTCGCCCAAGCACCAAGCGTAGCCACTACTACCGCTACTAGAAGGGAAAACCGCGAAGACTGCTCACGTCAAGTTTCGACAACCGAGAAAAAAATCAACATTGACTTCTTTAAGCAGTGATGGGTAAAAACATAAAGGTGACTGAAATACATATTCTCCAGGTCATGAAGAATTTGAAGCGGAGTTTTTATGTTTTGGAAAGATTTTGCATGAGGAAAGGCATTGGTTAATTTTAAGTAAAATTCTTGTGACTGGTGTTTGGAAACATTTTTTTTTGGTAAACTCATTTTTTTTTTTTTTAATACTAGCGTTTGGGAAAAAAGGGTAAGCAGTATAGGCGCAGTATGTTAAAATTTGCATATTTACCGAAATGAAATTTTGTATGAAACTCCAGTACTGATCAATGTCAAAAGTCACTACGTTTAATCTAAGAATGGTTACAATTTTAGGGGTTAAAATCCTGTAATTTTAGAACTAAAGTTTTCTTGTGTGTTGACTTTCTTTTTTTTCCATTCTGGATCTGATCTATCTTGGAGTATTGTGACTGATAATTGAATGTGAACTGTTGTTCTTTTTTTTTTTTTGGTTTTAAGGGAAACTTTCTGCATTAAAATAATTTTATATTGGAGATTCAAATATTATATCCAGAGGTGATTTATAAACATAGTAATTTTAGTGAATGTATATTCATGAAAGTATAGTCATATTACGTACATGTATGTAATCTTAGGGCGCCCTCAGGTTGACCCGCGAGTTGTATGCGCTGCGACAGAACCGTTGGCATCAAGCAGAAAAGTAATGCAAGTCACAAAACTGAGAAATCGTGTGATTGTTGTGAAACAAGCGGCATCTCGACACAAAATCATCAGAACTCTGTGCATGTCACCCACGACGCGACGTCGGTTCCTCGGTAAAGACGTGGAGTGCGTGTTGATAACAATCAGACGATATTCCACGGCAACGTCTGTTCATTCAACCATTTTTACCGCATGCTGATTGGCTACATAATAAAATGGCGATCCGGATGCGCACGTCGTCGTAACTTCACACTGGTCGACTTCGATTGATTGCCACCTGTCGGAAACGCGTTCTGTCGTGGCGCAGAAGTTGAAAATTGTATACTCTTTCAACTTGATTTTTTTGGAGTGCCGAATGGTTATCATTAATATGCCAAAAAGAATGTGGCTTATATGGCCCCCAAGAAAGATCTTCCTGGAATGCCCTGGTGCGTAGTTACATGTAAGAGATTCTGTAAACGTTTTGTACATTGGCATGTTTAACAGATATTGGTTAATGATTATTCAAAGGGAAGGTTTAATTCGCTTTGTACACATTTTGCTATCAGATGCCTTTTGTAAGATGAACCATAATTTTTGACGTAGCTGTGTACAATTTTTTTGTGCCTGAATACAGCAGTAAGCCACCGCACTTGATCGGTGTGACAATATTAGTTATCCAGTTAGCGCAAGTGGAACATGGAATAATGTAGTGCGTCTGTGTCCCACATACCACAATGCCGAAGGCCGAGTGGTATGTGGGACACAGACGCACTACATTTTCCGTGTTCAACGATCGCAAGCGGGATAACATTCATCTTCAAGCAAACTTGACGCACATTTATGACGGAGCATACACGCTGTACACAACTTTATCCTATGACACGTGCTTGCAGTAGGAATGGCGCGTGCATCTTAGAATAGCGCGTTACACAGAGTGCGGTACGGACCGTGGTATATAGGATAATACCACACGGTTGTTGCCATGGATCGACCAATCAGGATTCAGGATTCAAGTTTGCTCGAAGAGAAAAACCTTTGTCAAAGCCAACAGCATTTCTGGCTCTACACCCATATTTGAAAGCATCAAAATTTGGCAAACTTTCAAATCAGAAGTCTTATCTTACTACAGTAACGTAAGGGAAGTATGTAGCATGTATCAGTTTTACTTTGGTGTCTTTACCCTATGGTGCATGTAGATCTGCAATTTTATGGCAAGCAATGTTTGGTTACATATCAATGTAATGAGCTTGTATATTTGCTGCTAATGATACATGTATTTTTTAGAGTGATATCCCCGCTTTTTTGTATTCAGCAAAAAAAAGTGTCCATGAGATCAGCATTGAATTTCAGTACGTTGTTACAACAGCGTGCATTGTGTTTGGAAAAATGAAAGAACTGGAAAGACAAAAGAACAGAAAATTGTCAAAATTTTGGAGCAAAACATTGATCAAACCAGTGACATATATGACCAGATTTATGGAATATTTAGTGGAATTTTTATTCTTAAATTCACTCTTATAACTTTACAACAGAGTTGTTCTCCGGCAGACTTTGTATTTACACTATACAACAAATAAAGAAAACCTTAAATATTTACTTCTCTTCCAATAATATATAAAATAATGTAGATTACATGCCAAACGAGCGCGGCTGAAAAGTACAAGCACATAAGTAAGAGTAATTTCTTGTTAGTCTTCCTTGAAGGCGCTTGTGTATCATCAGAGCAAGAGTGTCATACGATGTCATGTAGCCTTAACTACATTTTTTTGCTATGAATGCTTGTTTAAAGACTAATACTAGTTTGAATGGAAGCTCAGTTCAAAACCTTACATGTACCCACATGTATTAGTATGGCCAATAACTCAAACAATTCACACATCGTTAAATGTTTTTAGTGTCTTTTGGGACAGTGATAAATGTTCACACTTATCAAATTCATGTGAAATCATCCCTAGAGACCTAAAAAGTTAATTATTCAACACTTTTATGCAACCTATCTGCTTAAATGCATTATTACTATACCTTTTTTTTAAAGAATATTTTAGCAATAAAGGAATTATGGGGAAAATTGTCTCTTGTCCTGATTCTTGTTAGTCTTGATGTACAATGAATTCTTCAAAACATCTTGCAAACTTACAATTGCATCATTAAAACCTGTTCATGTTTTCCACAACAAATTCGCAGCGCAGTTACATTTTTTTTTAAAACTGGAAAAAAATAATTTTTAAAGGAAATTTCCAAGTGGCAAAAACCGCACCGAATTTTGTCATAAAAATGTAATGCTACATCCTCTAAATCTTCCAAACTCTAATTTTTGACAATTGCCCATTTTTGTCACTTTTGTACAGAAATGTCTTAACTTGTACATGCAACAACGTTTAATTCAACTCGTAATATAAACAGCATATATTACCATGACTACCGTATTTACAAAATACAACTGCTGGCTTTGCATCCACATGACCGTAGTTCAACAACTCCTAGGGCTATCCAGTTTTCTTCCAAAGGGCTCCCTCTTCAGTCTATTAAGAGTGTCGGGTTGCCGACCTTTGACCTCAACATGGCTCCTCTTTGATGGGATCGTTTGGCTTCGCCACTTCGCCAGTCTGCAGTGTGTCATAGATCTCTGGCGGAATAGTGCCCTGGTCGATCTTCTTACACCACTGCTTGTACTGCAGAAAAAATGGAGAAAATTAAAAAAGTTAGATTAAGTCTCTACCCAGTAACGAAATTGAATAGTTATAAAAAGCAGCAGTTAACCATTAGAAAATGTACTACATTGTATTACATTGTGTTTATTTACTGAAGAATCAACAAAACCAGTGCTTGGGTGCTTTTGGGCGCTAGAGGGAGTAATAGGCGGGGCGGTTTCGGGCAGTACAGTCACTAAAGGGTTATTTAGATTTTTCGCACAGGGTACTCCGTTAGTCTTTAGAGAAACTTCTGAAGTTCAAGTGCAAATTTGATCTTTCTTGAATTGTAGGTTTTTCCTTCATTACCATATAACTGCCCAGTCCTGGCGCCGTGTTGAACATTGCAAAAACGGGCATAGATAATATGTAACAATTTTACGCTTTATGGGCCTTATGCATGAGTTGGCCATTTTTGGCGAGTTCCCTGAATGTATTTCATTAATTGTTCACTGTTGAATTGGATGGCGCCAGACTATTTATGCAGGCATAATGCAGCCTTATTTTACTGTCATATTTTTTTTAATCTGGCTTTAAACATTAGGGAATGTATTTAATTTTTATTCATTGAATTGAAGCAGACTGGAATTAATTAGTAATTTACTTGCTTTCATTTTTCTTTGCAAGTTCCAAAAATTAATATTTTACCTCACTTTCAATTCAATATGGCCGACTCGCGCATAAGGCCCATTACTTTCCCACGGCACCTTTAACCAGTGGTTGGTGCAGTAGAGCATCCATATTGTGGTCTTTCTTATTTACATATTTAGTGTTCTGTCCCATGTTTAGTGTTATGTAACACACTGCATTTCTTTCCATTGTTGTATACCACTGGAAGCTGCTGAGGTATCTTTTGGGCCCTCCCTATACAAGCCAAATGACTAAAAGTGTAGACTCTGAATCTGGTTGTTTGCTGGTGCTCTGTCTATTTCAGTTCACTACTTTCCTAAGTTATTACAAATATTAGCGTAGAGCCAAAAAACCCATTTCTTTTTAGTGCTGTTCATTCAGTGTCACTTGGAAGAAATCTTTTCCTTGGGTCTAGTGCCTCTTCTCTGCAGAAGCTAGGATTCAGTACAATCGTGAGTACATTCTTATTTCTTTATTAAATGTGCCTCATACATTGTATAGTGAACCTTGCTTGCCCACTTTCTATGCACTGTTTTAAGAAATGCTCACTATCTTTGTACTTAAAATTCTAAGGCAAAGGAAAAGGCCACAGCTAACGTTTCAGGACTCTCTATACATGTATAGAAATCACTCAGTTTTGACGAGTCTAAAATGTTTACCTATAAAAAGCCGAGACACTGTGTGATACAAAGTTCCAAGAATCTCAAGTTTTCCAAAGAAAATATTCACCATATCTAGTTCTTCTCTAAGAGCGCAAATATCTCGCTCCTTGCCAGCCACCATCTCCTCCAGCAGCTGGTATTTTTGTTTCTTCCGGGCCCGGCAGTCCCTCGCGCTCTGCCGGCTGCGTTCCAGCTTGGCCTTCTGATCTATCTTGGAGGGCTTGCGCCCTCGCTTGCCGCCCACTTTCCGGATTTTTCCGGAGGTCGTTGATGTTTTTGGCTGTATTAACAAAACAAAAAAAATTCAAATTTTAGCCCTTCTATGCAAACATACATTCTGTGCCAAGTTGTCCTTTCAGTCAAAATCAATCAGGTGACTGTTTTCAACAGTTAATAATTCCCAGCCTACCGTACATAAAGCAGGATTGACTGGCCATGACTGTTTATGTAACTCGTTACAGCTTTGCTTTGGCTGTGGGTAATTAATAAGCCAGCTGTGCCAACAACTTGCCTGCTTTGTCTATTCATTGTCAATGGACTGAGTTGGACTAGTCACACTGTGCTTGCTTTACATTTGATCTAACTGCTGGTGACTATAGCCTGTGTTAAGTATAGTAGGGGAAGTGGATGGAAATTTTGACTGTCTGTGACCGTTTGGTGACTGTCTAAATTATAGCATTAGCAGGTGGATGATTAACACACACCTAATAATAATTAATATGTAAATATCTGATGAAGGGAAAAGCAAAACGTGCTAGACATACATACTCCCATAGATGAATAGTAGTCGCTAGCTACCAGCAAACAAGGCAAATATAAGTAAACAGTAAAAAAAAAAAAAAAAAGACCTCTAAATGAAAAGTCAAAAGTCATTGAAACTAAAGTAGTTGCACTTGTTCGTACCTTTTTTGCGCCATCATCTTCCGATGAATCCTCATCGTTCTGCCGACCAACAGGCTTCGTCATGTTTGCAGAAGTGATCTACGCACTAGAATATATCACTTTTACCCCAAGAAGTCGAGAATAAACACTCCAAAATGGACTGTTAATACGATCAATGTTTGAGATCTTATTCTTAAGCCTTTTTCGCCGATCGACTGACTTTTCATTGAACCAAAACAAAGATGACGTAATTGATTGGAAAGTGCTGGTACTCGCTATTCCTCCACGTTCTCGTTTACCAGCTTCAATATTTTGGAATCGAAAGAGGGCGCTATTACAACAAAATAAGCAGACGACGCATGAAGAAAAAATTAGGGTTTTAATTTGAAGACGGCAATTTTTTTTTACAAATAACAAACTTGGAAGTTTCCTTCTCTTTTAATTAAAACTGAGAATTTCTGGGAACACAATTGCCCTAATTGTGTCTTTGACGGATTCATTACGTACTCGCCAGATGTTCTTTTTCAAGATATTCCACTCAAAGATCATGGAACAAAAAAAATCCATACGAATATCGATCGCTCGATCCCAGAAAATTGTGGAACGGGTATATACAAGCCATACTAAAATTCTTTAAAGACAAATTTGACTTTCCAGACACACCATTATGGTATTCATTAAAGTTTTATTCAATTATCAAAATCTCATCCCATTTTTTTCATAGATAGTTGTATTTCTAATCATTCTTCACAACAAATGTTGATTTTGACTCATCCACCAGCTTGTAATAGTTTTTGAATAATTATAAGAGTTTTGTATATAAGGCAACATGCAATTTGTTTCAACAAAATACCATGTCAAGGCTAGTGTGAGTGAGCAGAATTTCTCTATGGGTCTTCACTCAGAACCTTAGTGCACAAATTGTGTTGTATGACTGTAACATTGTTTTTGTTTCAACTACCAGTTTTCTTGGAACACCTCATCGAGAAGGTCCTCATCCTCTAAGGAAAACACATTTTTCTGAAGTTCCGTCTGCAAGCAGCTTTTGTTTTCACTGCTTTGTGCAACTTTTTTCCTACCCTGTGCCTTTGTTCTGTCAAGTCTATGACCCTGTACAGATGTTTCGTGGCACATGACTGGTTGAATTGGATCAGTCGATTGCCTGTTATTTGGAAATTTGGTGGAATTCAAATGAGCGTACGGAGTGTAAGTGTCCTCTATTTGTTGTGTGGTGTCTTTTGCAACATGTCCTCTGTTGTCAATAAGGTCCTCAGTATGATGACTTTGATCAGTGGATTGTCTGTCCCTCAGAACTGCTGCGGTATGAACAAGAGCCGGTGTGGGGTAAGTGTCTTTGAATTCAGAGATTGGGTTGGCAACATGTCCTCGGTTGTCAATCATGTTCTCATTTTCATCATCATTTATGTCCTCAGAGTCTTGGAGGAATTGTCCCCACTTGCTGCTGGCAGTACAGCCAGATTCTGCTGGTCCTCGGTTGTCAATGATGTCCTCATTTCCATCAACATTTATGTCCTCAGAGTCCTGGAGGAATTGTCCCCACTCGCTGCTGGCAGTACAGCCAGATTCTGCTGGTCCTCGGTTGTCAATGATGTCCTCATTTTTATCATCAGAATCCTGAAGGAACTGTCCCCACTTGCTGGTGGCACTTTGGCCGGTTTCTGCCGGTCGGTGTTTCTTGGAAACTTCTCTTACAGCTGTGTCCTCTGTTTTATCATTCCAGCTCCGGTTTGGTCCAGGTGTGCCATTTTTCACTTGAACTTTCCCAGTTTGGACTCTGTCGGTATCCGCAACATTGGAGAACTGTTGTGCTGTTTCCGGTGGACGATGGAGTGACTTAGGTGGACTGGGGAAAATGTCCTCTCGATCTTGAAAGCTGGATGCCTTGGAACTGCAGGAAAAGGCAGGCCTATTTTGTGGAGTTGCCGACACGGGCGATTTCCTGTTTTGATGGATTGCTGTCATGGAGTCGACATCGATATCCTAAGGATAGAAAAATAAGGAATTTGATTTTACTTAAACAAATGAATTGCCTGAAATCAGTGCGAGCATACAGCACTAAATAACATGGACTGGCATTACAAAAGAAAAGTGACAAGTTTGCAAGTTTTGTCGTGCAAAGTTTGGAAAGCTTGATATGAGCTTCAAATATATTAAATCACAGACAAAATATGAACATGTTTTGGGCACATTGACGGTAAACACTAATTAAAATAAGGCACTTTGCCATTATAACAAAAGGCTTAAAAGTGACAAAGAAAATTGAGTACGGAAATTAATTAAGTTGGTGTAGTTTATGTTTAATTTCAATAACAAAGCATCAGTACAGTAATTCCGTCAGTAATTTGGGGCCTTAATCTAAATTAAGGCCCCAAATTACTGCTAGTCTTGGTCTTATTACTGCTAGTCTTGGTCTAATTGGAAAATTTTCCAAACCTGATCAAAATCTTCTCGCTTCCTCTTTCTTCTGCTCTTCCATCCACCGTACCTCTTCCCTCCTCTCCCCTGGTGAACCGGCCTACTCAGTGTGATCTCGGCATTGCCCAGCTGAGGGAGTAAGTCATCATCTTGAGTGGATATCTCGTCAGTGTTGTCATCGTCGGCAACAAACGCCTGCCATCTTGAAAGAGAGGTTTCTGGCTGTTGGAAGTTATGAACAAAAATAAAGAAATGTACAATTCTGAATAAGGAAAACCAAAAAGTTGGACTTGGACGGAGTGGAATATAAGAATGTCCTTCACAAATTTGCAAACAAGTAACAGGCAATGAACAATAACAAAAGGAATTCCTTCGAACGGAGAGATTTCCATATATACGAAGTTCACTAATTTTCCTCTGTATTGACTAACAAGCCCCCAGATAGCAATTTCATGTCATCAAAGTCAATTTGAGCAGTGAGAAAATACAAGCATTTTCTTAGAAAACACTTAGCATTTTTCAGTCCAATCTCATAGGGTTTGTACACAGGGTGTTGAGTGAACTTCGTATATGGAAATCTTTCAATTCCTTCATCTTGTTCAGTTCCTTTAACAGCTTCTGAAGTTTATACCTTCGGGTTTTCAAAACAGGATTTCTGTCTGGACTCCGCAGGAGTACGATGGTCACCTTCCAAACTACCGTGGGCGAAGCCGTGGCCCTGTTCCTGGAATGAGTCCTGCGTCCCACGACCTACATTTCCGTACTCCCCAGCCGTCATGTTCAGCCTCTGAACGTGCCGTCTGCAGTCTTGACCTGAACCTCTGCCGTACTCCTGCCAAACAATTTTCACAATAATTAGGCTTTGCAACTGCGGTCTGACAGTGTGATGTTGGAATAAGATTTTGATCAACAATCATTTTTGACTCAAATTACATTGTTGTTACCATTGGCGTACTACATGGAAAAAGGCACTTAAATTTTGCCCGAGGGTGGGGATTTTGTCACTTCAAAAGTGACAATCCCCACGTCTTGGGTGGGGCAGCCCGGGGGCCGGGGTGGGGTGGGGGAAACAACTGAATGATGATGGGCACATTACATCATAAGTTTAACAATAACACTACACTTATTTACAGCTCGAGCACCACCTTTTTGAGAGACTGTTTCTCCCCACACATCTTGCACACCCACTTAGAGATCTTCTTTACTTGCTGGACTTGGAAAATCTGGCAGGCGTAGCAGCGAACCACGTGAAATTCTTGCGGCATCTTGGCCTGTACAGTGTTTATTTTTCATGAATTTTTAGGGAAGTATCCAAATTGCGCGGGTAGAAAGGGCGCCCTCTCTAGTTTTGTTAGTGAAAACGACATACCGCTTAGGTCATACCACTTATATTGAAGGTGATAATTGTTAAATTTTGTCTTATTTCGACCGTAATTTCCAGGATATCTTTTTAGTCTTTTATATTCCCCACTTGATTTTCGGGATTTAATAAAACAAATTTGGAATTATTTCTGTTGTCTATTTTGTTTTATCAGAAATTAAAGATAGAAAAAAAATTGACCCCCCCCTCTTTAAAATGGTATAACATGACATCATGTTTATTCCGAGAAATTTCCATTTGCAAATTGCAAGTGCAACCTGTGAAGTACGTCGTGAAAGTTGCTGTTATTTTTGACATTTATTGGTAAATTGATAACAACATATCTCCATTGAAGTTATTCAGGTAATTTTATTGACATTACCAGTTACGTTGTGGTAGTTTTATTAAGTTTTTGCGTTGTTTTATAGTGTTTTATAAGGGACATTCTTATTTCTTTGTCGATTGCGTTTCAGCATGTTCAGCAACTCGACTCGCTCGCAATGTCGCATGTCATTTCGCCATGCTCACGGCGGGGGTGGGTGCCGGGTGGGGGGGGGGGGGGATTAAGAGTGAGTCGAGTTTTATCGGGGGCTTGGGAAAAGATCGAAATTTTGCCTTTTTTATTTTATTATGTGCTATATTTCAGTGCCTTTTTAATTTTATTATGTGCTATATTTCAGGAAAGAATGTAGTACTACTACTACTACAATTCTGACTTTGGTCATGTTGGTTGTGTATACAAACGGTACAAACTTTCAATGTCAATGGAGAGTTCAGTGCATTTTCAAAGTAGGCCTATTCTATTTCTAACTTGGCCCAAGATGCATGTCTTTTCAAAATTATAAAATGTTCTGACGAGCTTACTGCGGACATGTCTAACAAACACCGGAAAACGTGCGGCGTCATCGTTGTGTAAATTACTCCCTTTTAGACAAATCACTGATCTACTTCAGATCTGGGTTTTTTTCTCTTCAGATTCTCGCATTGTGAAATCAGTTTCCAACATGCCTCTAGCCAACGAGTACGCCCTGCCCAGCATGGATGACTGCGACCCAGAGCAGTATGTCATCTGCCCCTACGACAAAGTACACCGGATTCTGGCCAAGCGCTACCCATACCACATCATGAAATGTAGAAAGGTATTCCCATCATTCCATTCGTCATTGACAATTATGAGCCATAAGAACACTGTCCACCACTAGTACCTGTACTTCATTGTGTTACATTGTATTACAATGTATTACATTGTATTACATTGTGTTACATTGTATTACATTGTATTACATTGTGTTAACATTATATTACATTGCACTGCATTGTATCACATTGTATTACATTGTGTTACATTGTGTTACATTGTATTACATTATATTACATTGTACTGCATGTGTTACATTGTATTTCATTGTGTTACATTGTGTTACATTGTATTACATTATATTACATTGTACTGCATTATATTACATTGTATTACATTGTGTTACGTTGTATTACATTATATTACATTGTACTGCATTATTTTACATTGTATTACATTATATTACATTGTACTGCATTGTTTTACATTGTATTACATTGTATTACATTATATTACATTGTACTGCATTGTGTTACATTGTATTTATTCCTAGAAGAATCCGTAAAATCCTACTTGCTGGCATTGTTTTGGGCGGTACAGATATAAACTTCAAAGATGTTGAAATGGATTAGAAATGATGTTCAAAAACTCCGTTTCTGTTTCAGAACCACAGGGGTGCCAAGAAGCACTTCTGCCCCTTCAACGCCAGGCACATCATTCCCGTGTCTGAGCTGCGTCACCACGTGGCTAACTGCCCGGACAGGAGCACCATCGAACCCGACCTGGCCTATGGTGAGTTCAATCTTGGTTTTATACAACGGGTTCCCGCAGTCATTTTTAGTGGCTGACTCGAGCTTTCCACCGTCATGACAAAACCAGCCTTCTTAGGTTTAGTGACCATTCAACCCTGGTTTGTAAAGGGCCCCCTGTAAGCTCCCCCCCCCCCCCTCCCAAAAAGCCCTTTCTTACCGGCCCAGCTACCGCCCCAGATGGCTAGTCCGGTGGCTGATCAAGAACTGTCCCATCCTGGGGTCTATTGTTTGCAAGTGTTGGCACATGTAATCTATCCCAGAAAACGCCAGCTTGTGGTTTTCATCCCCCAACGCGAAACAAAAGAGCCCCTTCGCAGGCACAGATCAAAACCCTGCCATGTGGTTTGGCACAATGGGACCGTAAATTACTTACTCCCTTAAACAGTTTGGTAATCTCTGGCTACAAGTCCGTAATCCGATAAGCCGTCTGTTGTTCTGCTCTGGACGTTCCCCAAGGGGAAATAAACTGATGCGCCTGACTGACTTCAGTCCGACAGACCTACATACCGGACTAGACTGGACTGAAGACCGGACGAGCTATAGACAGGCCGAGGTACCGGGGGGGCGCTTTACAAACCAGGGTTAAATGGTCATTATTCCTTAAGAAGACACTGTTTCCACATCATCTTTTCAGCATCTGTACAGAGTCTTTAAAGGGCTTGACAGTCAATCCAAAATATCAAAGTTGGACCTACCTGTCAATTCGACATTGAGATTTTTGAGAATCTCATTCCTACTAGCCACCTTTTTATGAATGTCGGACTTAATTTCATGACACTGAAATTGTTCACAAAGGTTCAACAGCAAGCATTATTAAGGTAATAGTAACAGTATTTAACTGAATGAATTTGCAGTTTTTCAACAAAGAGGTTTGGCAACACTGTATGAGGAAAGTCAAGGGAAACGTCGAAGTGCGTCACGTTAGGGGACTCCACTATACAGTAATCAGAATTACTAATCCTTTATCTAAGACCAACTTTTTCGTTCTCAATTAGCCTAATGATTCTGTTTCACTTTTTTATGAACAGCCCAGACGCAGCATGGCACAGACGGAAGCTACCTGAAGGGGGACACATCCGTCCCCAGCTACCGCCATGACTGTCACCCTACCTCATCTGAAAACTGGGACATAGGTAATTATTAACCTCACCCACAGGTTCTGTATCTTGATTGGCCGAGAGCTAGTCACATGGCATTCACTATTATTGCTATGTTGCTGTGCACAGCCAAAAGTACTATACCCATAGCAACCGAAGCACTGTACCTGTAACGACCAAAGAACTATACACATAGCATCCGGTATTGTGTGCAAATGCATACAGGGTGCACGTTGCGCAATTTGTTCCCAAATGCTAGCGCTACAGAGCTGGGTTCAAACATTTTGTGAAAGATAGTTTGGAAAAGTGCTAGTTACTTTTCAGTTACTTTGGTATTCAAATAGAAGTAGATTTTAATTAGATTTAGATTAAATTAATCAGTTATTGCTTAAAAATCAAGCAGAATCTGTGGGACAGGTGTTATAAATTGTTGTATTTCTTTAAGTAGTTTTTATGTCTTAAAGTTTTTACATAATATAATTTATTAACATTGTTGTGTTTCCTATTTAATCGGTTGGAGAGCCTCTTGACAGAAACTATGTTTCTTTTGGGTAATCCAGCGAAGCTGGTTAAATTTTAAATTGCGTATGTTTTGTCTGAAATATTCATGTGAATTTTTATGTATTGAATGTCATTGTTTGTTGTAATAAGTGTATCCCAAAAAGAAATAAAATAAATTAAATTAAATTAAATTAAACAAAAATATTGACTGCTTTTTCTCATGGAGTACTAAAACTAGCGTCCCTCTGTGATCAATGGAGCATTCTATTTTCCCTCTTTTCCCTCAATGGATCACCTTGGGACGCTAGTTTTACTACAACACTCGAAGCAGTAAATATTTGTATACTATCATCCCTCCATTTGGAGGGTTTCGGCATATCTTGCTGACTGACTACAAAATATACAATCAAAGAGCAAGGGTAAAGCGCCATCCTCAAAATTACCTCCGTCATAAAATAATTTTGTTTACAATTTTTTGTTTTAACAGAAGAGAGTGAACCCCGCAAAGCACACTACCAGGATGAGGACCCAGAGAGAATCCATTCCTTAGTTGGGTAGGTAGGCCATGAGAACAATGGTACATTTACATATCAATCATTTGCTTAAATCTAGAAGTATCACGAGAGTCGAGTTTAACGGCCCACGGCTCCAGACCCACATATGGGATATATAGAGCCCTTTTTGCAAGACCTTCGTAACTTTTCCCCACAGTGATACAAATGTTTTTTACTTTGACACACTTTTACCAATAGCCCTAACAGTCCTGAATTCCCCAATTTTAATATGATTTTGCACACCCCTAGGTAGTTAATTGAAAAACTCTTGTAAACCTTGTGATTTCCTCTTTTTTTTATGTGTTCCCGGTCGCATGCCCAAGTTCAGTGTTCTTTCAGCAAAACGAAAACAAATCACATAGGGATGAGTGTGAATTGTTTTCGTTTTGCTGAAAGAACGCACACCTTTTTTTGTGATCCGTGGACAGAACTTTAAAACGGTGGTTGTGTTTAAAATTCCGTAACTTGAAAAGTACATGAGTGATCTGAATGATTCTTGTACTAAAAGAAAGCTTATGAATTGGGCTTTCATGTCCTATATTTTGAAAGTGCTACATGCAGAATTTCAGTAAAACAATAGTCCTGACATTTGGGTTTCGTTTTTTTTACTCACCCTGTACAACTGAAAATTACCAACTACCCAAAAGGATAGTCATTCCTTAGTTATGAAAGTAATTTATTCATAAGTTTTTTTCCCTAATCTGATTGATATTTCTTCTACCATTTCATCCACAGAATGACCAAGGCTCAGAAGAAGGAGTTCAACCGCAAACTGCTTGAGGTTCATAAGAACAGTGCTGACTTAAAGTAAATTTTCTAAGATTAGTTACTATGTTTTTTATTGAAATGTCAAAAAGTAAAATACCGAGAAAAAGGCCATGAAAGTTTTGAGTTTTGTATTCGTGAAAAAGAAAGATGTCCATTGTTTTTCCTTAAAAATTATAAATTATTCCACGATTTTTATACCATTTCTTTAAAATATGTGTAGTTGACATATCGAAGATAACAAATATCAATAATTCTGAAAATCAAAGAAAAAAAATTACACCCATTTGGTTTTTGGGCATTTAGTTCCGTTTCATTTTGCAAGAACACCTCACAAATGACTGAACTCAGTTTCTGGCAAACAATTTTGCAACCGACTTTTGATAAATAGGAAATAAACTCCTCTGTTTGTTCTTAACCACGTTTGTTTGTTTGTCGATTTGTTTACCTAGCATCGATGACGAGGAACCGATGGAGCCTGAACCTCCAAGGGATGACATGAGACGTCCAAAGCAGCTACCCAGAGCAGTGGCTGGCATTGAACCGAGACAAATGCCACAACAAAACGGTAAGAGTTGTCTTAAGGCGAAACAAAACTTAACGATGATTCCCTGTGCTTTTTTTTTTGAGTTTCACCCTGAAAAATAGATTCCTTTTCTAAGCTGCTGTTTTTTCTAGAAATACAAAAAGTTACTTACTTAAGTTATTCACTTTTGAATCGCACACCGACCGAAAAAAATTGGCCAATTTTTTAACGAATTATTAATTTACACTTTTTAAATTACTAGCGGCCTGTCAACAATTCAATTCTCGCGTTGTAGGCTGGTTCCGGCCCCACAATCAGTATCGATAATATATGGTCTGGGAGCCAGTCTGCTGGCAAGGCGGATGTATTTGTGACCAAAATGAAAACGTTTTTCATAGGGTTGCAAACTCTCCCCCCCCCCCCCACAAAAAAATATTTTAAAAATAGTTTTTTGATTGGAATCAAACATACAACTTGAAAATTTATTAAGAAAAAATAACGAGGAATTTTGTCAAAAATGTAGTGTTTTAGATTGTTATTTGACACAGTATCTGAAATGACCGGGTCAAAAAAATTTACATAATATCTTTCTTTTTTGTAGAAAATATTGAAAAAGCCTGATTGTTCATATTACATGTGTAAGCCCTTGCCTAGACTCTTGGGAATACAGATTAAAAATTTCAATACGTTTTGAATAAAAAGACCCCATATTTATTTTAAAAAGACCTCTTGATTTTCCAGAGGCCGTGCATTCAATTAAACAGTGTTGCAAGCAGCCCCATTGGATTGGGAAGAGCCATGCTCATAACTAACTTCCCTTCATTTATTTAAAACTACTGCAGTGTGTAACTGTTGTTTGTACTCACATAACATTTAAAGGTGAACATTTATGCCGTTGATTTTCCAGGGGGCATGCTCCCCATTAGACAGCGGGTCCCACATGGACCCATTGGAATGGGAAGAGCAGTGCTCATGCCAGGCCAGAACTCTATGCCGAGACCGGGAACAAGTACAAGTAAGTCAACATTTTTATTGTTTATTATTGGAAATAGATTGTTTTAAAAATTAGTTCTAAAAAATAGTTTTATTTGTTTAATATTGGTTCTTTTTGTTTTTTGTTGTTTGTTGAGGCAATCTTATACGATTTATGATGTGCATGTGTTTGAAGGCATGGTTTAAATTTCTTAGAGATGGTAATTATGAAAATGTCCTAAGTGCGAATCATATGGATTTTATATGTGACTTTTTTTCTCAGCAAAACAGTTTGTTCAAAGCAGCATGACATTGTGTAGTAGCTTCAGCGACTTTACTCGGACATTATGTTGTAATAGCCCCCTCTAGTGGGACCAGTTTACATTGACAAATAAAGGGACCACAAGCCGTGATTTTCTTTTATAGAAACGTTCCATGCAATAATGCAGTGTTGTAGTGTGCATCTGCTAATGCAGGAGTTCTTGAACTCTTGTTTCTGGTTTTACTTTTAGGTTTTCATAAGTTGGCTAACTTTCAGGTTATTCTCAGGCTCTATCGCCCACACAGGCTTTCTCACGCTAAAAAAATATGAAAAAACATAATTGACTCCAACTTGAAAATTATGTTTTAATGATGATCTTTTGCTCATCATTTGCCTTTAAAAAGTGGTCCGAAATTGCCTCAAATCGCACCACAGAGCGTCTAGAATAAAAAAATTGTCTGGGGTCCTAGGAAGGCCTCGATACCCACGCCGTTAGGGCTTTTCGTTTCACGATCGCATTCGTTCTGATCGAGCTCCATCGCCAAATTCTCACGCTCAGCTCTTACTCGAGCATGGCAGCCCTGCAAGTGCTTTCTAAGCTTAGCATATTGCTGTACTTGCTACGGTACTTAGCAGCTTAGGGAATCTGGACCCTGGATAAGAGCATTCATTACAAACACTTCATTATTGGGGGGTCAAAAAAGTTAACAGACACAGCTATAACACATCGTAATGTGCTTTCATTTAACCTGAATGCAACCCCGTGATTTTTCCCATTACCCGCCCACCTGTTTCCTTCGTCCATTTGTTACACCTAAATTGCACCCCAAAAGGTGTTTTTCAGGGGAAAATCCTTTATTTTCTGGCAGGAAGTTGTGCCATACCAGAGTCCTCTGCGGGAGGCAAACGTTTGTCCAATGAAAAGAAGAACCATTAAAAGTTTAGTGTCCTCCAACAATGTGATTCCAAGGATGTCGTCACTTTCTTTCAAAGTCTCTTTGTCTCTCTGCTAGACACTGCTATTCTTTCCAAGAGACAAAAACCCATTTCTCGTGAGCCAGACGCATAAAATCTCTGCATAACAGACTGCTAGTAATCTGACAAATCACATCCGATCCGAATACGTCCTAACAGAAAAAAGAGACGTCTGAATTGATCAAAGTGGTAGAGGGTGAGCAAGTTGCTGCTGCATTAGGGCCTTAGGCAAAAAAAAGAAAAAAAATGCTTCCGATTGGTATTCGAAAATAAGTTAGGTAGGGAAGGAATTTTTTTGGGTTGGGGCAAATTTTTGTGTGTGTACGATCATTTGGAGGTGTCTGCGTGTAGTCCAGGGGAAAAAGTAGTAATTGATGGTTTTGGGTGTTTTTTTTCCCTCATTTTCCCATAAAAAAAAATTATGGTTGGCCTTACCCTTCTTTGATAAATGGTTACAAAAGGTCATCCCATATCAGTTTTACACTATTTTTGGCTTGCAATCTGTAATGCAGTTGTTTGTTGAAACTGCCTTATGTCATGAAAAATGTGACAAATTGATTGTGTTTAGGTTTTGCATCCTTCCAAAAGATGTAAATTTATGCCCAGGTAGTAAATAACAAAACAAAAAAATACAATTGGCACATGGAGGAATTAAAAGTTTGTCACTTAAGTAGCTATCCTTTTAATAGTGACTTTTACCGAGTAGCGTAGCTTTTTCCAAGGTGAATTTATTCTGATCATGCCGTGAAATCATGATAAGTAATTGGAGGCTTCTCATCAAGCTGAATACTAAATGCCACCATCGTTTACTGTGGTGTCCAAACGGATTAAGTGGCATCGTAAACATCACTACCCGCCCCCTAAAAGGCTTGGTGTCTTTAGAAAAGAGCAGTTTTGTGTCGGCACCTGCAAATCCCCCCAATTTTCCACCTGCCCCATTTAAAAAACACCTCTCCCTCCCAATCGCCCCGTCTTTTTGTTGTCAAAAGCCCAACCTTATCCCATTTTATCCAACTTCCCCAAAGAGTTAACCAAAAACAAAAGAATCAAAAAGTCTTCTTCAAATGACTCTAGAAATCAGTTTTACCCAAGCGGCCAGGCGTTTTTGTCCTGGTGGGATCTTTTTATGTCTCTCCCTTTTTTTGGTGACACAAAAGTGAGTTTGCGAAAAGAAAACTCTACAGCGGCCTTCAACGTTTTGTGAAGTGACAGTCAAACATTGTACATTTTCCCCTGAGGGATGTATTGGAATAGACGGGTGTAACAATAGCGCACCAATGCTCGCCACTGCAAAAGATCTTTAATCCCAAGCCGGCTGCTTTGTCCGGCTTTCCACCCTTGTGTGAATTGATGTGTCGATTGAATTGGTCAACCCCCCCCCCCCTCATCTCCGAAGGCTGAACATATACAGTTTCAAAAAACTTCTCCCCAAGGTTCAAATAACAAGCATTTGAGAAGCAAAAAACATTTTTCAAAACCAACTTATTTTAGAGGCTTCATTTGGTAAATACTGCAATAGTGACAGAACTTTACGACCGAACCAAGGATGCTTGCAGTGCACGTGTAACAAACGTGTCATGTGCTTGTAAGCATGTTTAGCATATAGGTTATAAGGGCCCAGTGTAGTTACCAGATTTACATGTGTATGTCTTAAGCAGAGAATCGGTGGGGCCAGTGACCAGCAATAGAAAGCTTATTGCATTTTGGTTGGTAACTGGGTATTACAAAGCAAATATGTTCAGTGCTTAGTAAGTTTTGCATGGCTAACAGTTGCCTAATTGTAATGGTAACAATTGCAGATTATTTCTTAGGTGGAAGGACGAAATAAGGGACAAAAGTTGCTCAGACAAATGGAAATAGCGCGCTCCTTTTGAATTTTTGCAAAGTCAAATTTCTTTACTAATTCCAAATGCCTTCACTGCAATTTTAATTTTTTTTTATCAAATTCAGTTTTCAGGTTGAAAATATCTTGGATGTTATTACTATTAAATTAAAAGTATTAGGCCTTTTAATAATTATTCTGGTAATGAAACCAAGGTTTCCTCAAAAGTGCCCTAAGCACTGTAGCTCGAAAGCCTGAAGAAACCTGTAGAGAGAAGACAATGAGAAGAAATTACAGTTTTAGAGGTGGGAGGAAAAGCCCAGAGGAATATTCTGGGGAAAACCCACGGAATCAGGTCGGGACTGAAAACCCAATCCACATGTGGACCAGGACAGGAATCGAACCTGGGCCATAGAGGTGAAAGGCGAGGACAGTAACCACTGCACCAACCACTCTCCCTATATTTTAACTCGTTGTGGTATTCTTCTTCTAACCTACAGTTGTCTTTTACTTTGGGCATTGCAAATCTAGTTTGAAGTTTGAATATTTGCAAAAAATGTGGCAAAAATTGGAAGATAATTTAAATCTTTCAAATCGGTTCCCTCACTTTTGTCAAAATAGAGTTTTTGATGATCAATATTTTCATTTCCTTGAAACAGCTGTACAGGGCCGTTCCATCGCTGCCAACATCTTCCACTCGCGGGACACAGATGAGGAGTCATCTGCTGCAGATGTGCAAGAGACGGGGTCCAGACGTCCTGTCACTGTTGCCATGGTAATACAGCATTGATGAATAAAATTTGTTTAAAGAAAGTTGATTTACATTGAAGGCTGTGGTCGCATTAAAAGTGAGTTGGTTTTATGTACACGTGCGTAGTTACTTTGTTTTTTTAATATTCCAACCGGAAAAAGCTATTGGATATTCAGGTGATGATCGAATATTTGGATATTCGGTATTTTCAGGACAGCCCTAATTCAAAAAGAGAAATAAAATAAGCCATTTGCGAGTTAAATTTGAATAAAATCTGGAACGCTGACTTAATCCAATGCTTTGCACATTTTAACTTTGCATTCTCCCGACCAAAGAGACTGTTACTACATCACGTGATTCGGGGCAAGCCTTTTGCTAGCAACACCCAGCTTTGGCATGGTCTGGTGTCTTTGTGCCATTCTCACCCATTGTGAGCGATGTATTGATGCTGAGCGTCTCTTACGTAACTATGCAAGAGCTTGCCCCGAATCATGTAATTAGCAACAGTGTCTTTGGTCTGGAGAATTCAAAGTTAAAATGTGCCAAGCATTCTGAGCAAGTCAGTGTACTAGATGTTATTGAAATGTAAATCCCAAAGGGTATAGGTTACTCGCAAATGGCTTGTTGCCATGCATGTAAAATGATATTTTTTTCCTGCTTATCTTCAGGCCGCAGCAAGCACCGCCCCCTCTGCCCCACCCTCCACTGTATCCCAGAATGAGTACAGCAACGTGCCCCTGCCAGGTCGTGGGCCCAACCTGGCGGGGCTAGGCAGGGGGCTCGGGGTGCCCCGCGGTGGGTACAGGCCTGGGCTAGGGATGCCTGCTGTGGGTGAGTTTTTAGAACCGGTCTTTCTTGATTTTGCTAGCCAGAGAGTAATAATAATAATATTGCTTATATTGCGCTTTCCATCGTATCAACATTCTCAAAGCGCTTTACAATTATTACCCGTTCATCAGGCCATTGGACCACGCAGCAGCCGATATCAGCGCTCAATCAGTCCTCGACCCTCACAGGTAGTCTGCTGGGTGGCTAGAGGCAATTGTAGTTAAGTGCCTTGCCCAAGGGCACAAACACCATGTTCATGGCAGGGTTCGAACCCACGCACCTTCGTACATGAGTCAAACACCGTAACCACTTGACCATGGCGTAGAGTGTGTCATTTTCGTGCATCAGTTGATCCACCATTTGGAGAAAGACAGCAGCCAACCAAATTATTTCCAATTTTTATTTTGTTTATTCTATGCACGTTCCTTCAATTATGTTTCAGGATTGAACCACGCACCGGGCTACCCAGGCATGCAACAGTGACGTCGGTTCCCCGACGATAAGAACAAAAACTGGCTTTAGCAGGAGCTGATTTTTGTTCTTACTTGAAGATTTTCTCAGAGCAACACTAAACAGAATGTCGGTGGACGGAGGAGAGACAAGAATGAGAGTTTGAAGCGAGATTAAGAATGGTTAGGAAGAGGATGATCCAAAAATTGTTGGGAAAAAAGCCAAGCGGGCAATTCCTTGAAACGTCACAGGATCGTTTGAATTCTGTTTGTTGTTTTTGCTAAACCTTTGCAATACCTTGTAAAAAGGAGAAAATGAGATCTGAAGTGAGATTTCAAGAAAAGTGGGAATAAAAAAAGCCCAAGTTATTTTTGAAGCAGGTGTATAGTGACCCTGGGTTGCAGAATTTTTTTCTGAAGGTTTTGGTTGACTTGAGAAATTTTCATTTTACAGCCAAACTCGCGACATTTTCTATTAACAGTTTAGTAATCACTCCCTTAATTAAGAAAAAAAATAGAGCTTTTCAGAATTTTTTTTTTTCATCCATGGTAAAAATTTTTATTTGAAAGGATTTTTTTTCTACTAAATATACCTAATCATCGGTTAATGAGGCAGTATTACTTAGTTTTAAGTCATATGTTATGTTGTCTTGTTACGTATGTGCACAAGTTGATTTTGTCACGTTTTGTTTTGTGTTACTTTAGCCAGTAGTTAAAAAGTATCCTATAGCAATAAGGGATTAAATATGTGCTTGGCTGTATTAAACAAGTACGTCTTAAACCGACTAGGGTCACTGATAACGGCCGGAGCGGAAGGCAAGGGATATTATCTGCGTAAAGGCTCCCAGCCGGTTTAAACGTACGTGTTTAATACCAGCCAAGCACATATTTATTCCCATTCATAAATACCCTTACGGTCAAACAGTACACGGCGTGTACTGCACGATGTGGCGCAGAATGCATTGGTGCAGGAATTTTGTGTTTAAAGCTATAGTCCATCATTTGCAGCCATCCGAAAAAGTAACTGGCGTATTATTGTTGAAAAACATACTTGGTTGAAAGATAGTAAGTAGACTAAACTCCCTGTGAAATTAATCTTTCTGGCAAGCTGTCATTTTGAAGTAATCAACGAAAGAAGGCCTTTCCAACAGTGCGTCTTAAGATGCACCGTAGGAAAATTTAAATTAGTAGTTTGTTGCATTCGGCGCAGCGTGCGCAAGCATTGGCACGACGCACACACGCGCGCGGTTGCTATAATTTGTCGGATCAGTGCACGACATTGCGTATGGCTGCAATTAAAAACAATTCAAAACATGATTCAGCAACTTTTGATTTGAAATTGAGATCCTAGAATGTTGTTTTTCTCGGAATATACAGCTGAAGCTGAGCTGAAACTTCATCAGGTTAGTTGCTCAGTATCCTTCATTAGATTTTGAACACTTTTGTTGCTTCAAACGAACAAAATGCACAAATTACAAATGATGGCCTATATCTTTAAAACCAGTTGGTGTTTTATCAATCGTTTGTAAACCACCCGCGTGACAGGCTCTCGACCAATAGGAATGGGTAAACTGTCTCATGTATTTATGAAGTGTAGTGTAAGACAATAATCACTATATAAGTTGATATTTAACTGGTGGTGATAAGTGGAACGTAAAAGTCAGCTTAAAAAAAAAAAAATGAATACCAATCAAAAATATGCAGAAATATTTATGTTTACTTTTGCTGTGCCGTGTGAATTTACGTGTAATAAAGAACAGTGTTGTAGTGGATTGTTGTGAGACTCCCAGAGAGTAAGCGTTTTTTAAAGTCTATTTCGATTTTATAAAAAAAGGAGGAAAATTTGTCTCATTTTTTAACTCAACTGAAACCCGACTGATATATTAACTAGATGCCACAAACATATTTGACACTTTAGTGGCAAAACTTCTCTCAAATTTCAAATACGGTAACCCAGAGCATTTTCTTATAGTTCAAATTTCTGACACTTTTTCTTGTCATTAATATTTTCTTGTCATTTTCTTGCATTTGAATTTTGATTTGGCAATGACTTGTGCCTATATCTTCAGGCTTGACCAAAAAAGTCATTTTTTATCGGTTTTGATTTTTTTTTCCTTTCTTTTCGGAAAAGAGCTCCTCTTCAGCAATCATCAAGAAGTTCTAAAGACAGAAACAAATATCGATTTAGACTCCACACTAATTTCAGTGTTCTTAATTTTTATCTTTTTTTCCATTTAGTTACATTGTGTAAGAGGGAGTGTGGCCAAGTGGTTAGGGTTCGTGACTCATGATCAGTGCGACAGGGGTTCGAATCCAGCTGCTGGTCATATGTTGTGTCCTTGGGCAAGCCACTTCACCCCCACTTGCCTCTCTCCACCCGGGAGTATAAATGGGTACCGGCATTAGCTGGGGAGTAACGTGTGATGGACTAGCATCCCATCCAGGGGGAGTAATAATATTCTCAGTCGTTTCATGCCAAGGAAACCGGAGATAAACGCCGGTCCGATGGGCCATTTGGCTCGTGACAGACTTTACTTTGTTTACATTGTGTTACTCGCATATTCTATGTAAAGAATAGTTTTAAATGTTAATAAACGATAATCACTTTTTTTTTAAACTTAAATAGCAACAGCATGCCGAAACCCTGAAATTTGTGTACAATCCATGGAGTTTTCATACAGTTAAACAATTTGATCACAGTGCAGATAAGATTCTTTGAGGGCTGATGGACTGGAATCAAGTCTAGTCTGGTTGAAGGTGTTTTCTAAATTCGGGGAGCATTCCAGTTGCAGCTTCATCCAGCTACAGAGTCATTTTAGAGTACTAAATGCTTGAACCAAATGAAAACACTGTAATGTAAGGGCTCATATGATTATAATTGTATCTTCACTGATAGAAAAATAGACCCACACTATGCCCGGTTTAACCAAAAATTACGAAAATAGAACCTAAACCCGAAGTTGGAGATTGATCCTGGGTTTGGAAAACTCCATGAAAGTTCATGTCCACTTCATTACTCCGTCACTTATTTTAAAAGAAAAGATCCTTCATATGCAAAATTCCTTAACCTAATTGTTTCCTCCATTTCTGTGTGCTATTTTATCAATCGTGGCATGTCATTGATTTTATCATATAAAAAATTGTATTTTTTAATAACCAGAGAAAATATTACATGTATACTGTTAGTTTTTTGGTTCATTAAAAAAGTTGTTCCTATGTTTGTGTCATAATCTTGATCCTTAATTACAACTTCCCAGGTAGTTTTGTTTGGAAGAATCCTGGATGCTTCAAAATCCTCTAAGTGCTCGGAAACCAATGGAATTCAGTCCTATGTAAAACATCAGTATCCTCCAAAATCCTCCAAAATCCTCCAAAACCATAAGCACTATTTAACTATTATGTATGTGCCGGCGCTCGCCCGCGCATGGTGATTTCTATAATCGTTACGTCACTGAGTTAACCAAATTTTTCCTCTGAGGTAAGCGTGCCTTTTGCTGTGCTTATGCTTAGTCTCCGTGAAATGTAGACGGAGGCTATGTCTGGTCAGCAGAAAATCGTGTGCTTAGCAACTCCGTGCAATGGACCGATCCAGTAAGCACCGCCCCATGGTGTTCTGACCCAATCACAGCCGTGATTTATGTCCGACGTGCGTGCACAGAAGTCCGACATGCGTGCACGCGCGTATGATGCGCGCGGCAGGAAAATGCAGTGTGGCATTGGAGAGGAGCACGTGTTAATTTGCCCAGTGTGCATGGGAAGGGGCTTACTGGATCGGTCCATTCAGCTGCATTAGTGGAGAAATTCCTGGCAGTTTTAGACCAAAACTAGGAGTGTCATAACTGTTCCCAGCCCCTGCTAACACTTCACAGTGCTTTGTAACTCGTTACAGACAAGTACCCGAGCTCCTCTTGCAACTTGGAACCTACATTGGCACCACCGTCTAACTTAACTGTTCGCAGCCCCTAGCTCCGGCCAAACACTTCACAATGTTTGGTAACGTGTTACAGACAAGTTCCTAGCTCTTCTGCAACTTGGATCCTACATTGGCACCACCGTCTAACTTAACTGTTCCCAGCCCCTGGCTCCGGCCAAACACTTCACAATGTTTGGTAACGTGTTACAGACAAGTTCCTAGCTCTTCTGCAACTTGGATCCTACATTGGCACCACCCCCTTTTCAGGAGCATTTGTTTTCCATAAGGACCCTTATCGGTCCTTTGATGTGTTTTACTAAGATGCAAATCTGCAGTCTCCACTTTCAATCGTCTCCCACTTCAGTTTGTTTGCTACCTGTTATGGGAGGCCTTCTCTGAAAGGCAAAAATGGTCTTGAAGGAATTGCAGTTAAGCAGCGAAGCCAAGCCAAGGTACTCTGACATTATGGACCTTTTCTTTTTTAAATCCTCTCCAAACTGGAGAGCACTTCGGGTCCCGATGCTCATTTGTAATGCGTCTATCTACTCCTGATGGTATGTGGAGGAGTTTTCTTGGAGATTTTCTTGAGGAGTGCGATCTCTGTTGTGGAATCAATCAAATTGGATTTAGGTTTCGACAGTTTAGGATGTCGGAAGGCTAAGCCCAATACACATGCGTTAAGGCGGGGTTTAAAGGTCATTGGTTTTGTATTGTCTGGATAGGGGTTGAGCATTCTGTGCATTCATTGTTACTAAATTAAAATAGCAAAGAACAACATCTGAGGTACATGGTGCAATGCATTAGGTCTGTAGAAAGGTATCGATGAGATTTGTGGGGAAAAGTCCGTCAGTTGAAGACAATGTACATGCACAAGGCAACTCAACAAGTACATGAAGTTGGCATAAGAAACTCATCCCTTTTTGCTGTGTAAACAGTCTATGCCTTGCATATGGCAATTGACGTACATGTAGGCCTACTAAGCAGAAAATATCTGCTACAGAAACTAGTACCGAAACATTATCTGGTAACTAGCTTTGCCGAGCAATGCTTAGCAAGTTTGAGTGTCAAGCACCTCGACGATGAATTTTTCTTTCAAGGCGTGCGGGCATTATGTAAAGTCTATGGAATATCCCCCTTGTTGGACCGGGGACAGAGGGCTAGGCTAGAGCAAGGACCCTTGCTCTATGGTTGGACAACGGGTGATACTCAGACGACGGGCAGTACCGCCATTGTCTCAAATGCCACTGGCCCAATTGTAGCTGTCAGTGGCTGCATCATGACATGTCCCCAGGAAATTTAGAAAGTAACATGGGAATAGGGTAATCCTTGACTAACCACAGGGATGGGATAACGCAGGCCTGAGATGACACCTCCAATATATCCAGATAATAGCTGCTTATTTATTTAACACTAACCGTCCAATCCTGCCAACGGCAACGGGTCTCAAACCATAACAGGACCTATGACGTCATGTCAGGTAAGCAGACACATTTTGGTGAACAAAATGGACGCTCGTTCTCAACAAAGAGAACAAGTTAAAGAAGTTGTTTACATAACGGTACATTTTGTCTGGCGATGGAGGAATACCAGGAATACCTCCGTGGCCTGGTGACATTCTTTTTTTTTTTTTACAGTAAGCATAAGGCTATTATTACTAGTATCAGACGAATGCTCGTGGGTCCCAAAATAAACAGCAGTCAGGGAGGATCATATCCATTGCAACTTAACTTGCAATAACATCAATAGGAGCAAGGACCGTGGGGTGTTTTCGTTCCTAGAAAAGCAGGTGGAAAGGAGGGTCTAAGATGGGAGCTA